CAATCATAAGGCTCCAGGAAGATTTCAGTCATAGATCCATTCTGACACACATGTGCAATGACCTGTCCAGCTGAGATTTCCAGTCCAGACTTAGAGAACTGACGATTTGTTGTGCCCGGTAAGAATACGATGTCAGGACCACCCACGGTAGCGACTGAGGAAACACTATTCCTGCCGCACACCACAAGCAAGTCCATGGTATCAGGAAAAGAAAGACAAGACGTCCAGCTGCTTTTACTAAGAGAATGCATGTGCTGCCTTTATTGCGAGGAGGGAGGGAGGGAGAGAGAGTGTGTCTTTATTGCAAGTGCTACAAGGTCTCTTTAGGAGGGAGCAGTCTTATATATACAGGATTACAGCACAGTGGAAAAACCCCAGGTGGAAGAGAGCCTGTTTTCCTCATGGTAGATGTTGATGTCAGTGGGACAATGTGGAGACAGTAAGCCAGAACTAGAAAACAGGATGCACCTGTGGCTATCACCTAACAAAAAACTCAGAGACCATGGGCGTTGGTGGTGCACGCCTTTAATCCCAGCACTCGGGAGGCAGAGTCAGGCGGATCTCTGTGAGTTCGAGGCCAGCCTGGTCTACAGAGAGAGTTCTAGGACAGCCTCCAAAGCCAGAGAGAAACCCTGTCTCGGAAAAAAAAAACTCAGAGACCCTGTGGGGACTAGGCCCCAACATCTCCCCCTTTAATTTTTTTTTGATATTTTGTTTGAACTGTTTGCTAATCTATAGAATCTTCCATACAGATTTCTTTGGCTCTCAGGCCATGTTGTAGGCTTTTGCCATTTTTCCACTGACTGCCTCTGAGGACTCAAATCGTCAACCTTTCCTGTTAAGAAATTGACTGGCTGGATGCTCCTTTTGGCTATATCCAAAGCAATTTAGGTAACTTCTTAACTATATCTGAACCAAGTTAAATATCCTTTTAATCATATCCAAGGCAATTTAAGCAGTTCACATTCATAAATTTGTATCAATAACCAACCCCGTATAAATGCAAACAAACATTTATAAACAATATTTGGGAATGTGGGCGTCGTTCTTTCCAAACTACTTCCTGCTGTTAAGGGGCGCTGAAATACCAGGGGAATCATGACAAAAAACAAAAAAACAAAAACCTGTTGAAGTTCTTGTTTTTGTAGTATGCAAAGCTGCATCGTTTCAGCTGTTTTAGATGTTGGATCACCTGGGGCACTGCTTCAGGTGGTCTTGCTTCATCAAACCATACTAGTCTGGAAGGCACCCACAGCTTTTTATTTTCTGTGGAAACAAAAGCAGAAATTATTTTCCCAAATAACCTGTCCTTATATTTAAATTTAGAAGTCAAAGCATTTTCAAAATATGTAAGTTGGATTATTTCAGGAGCAGTGATAATGTCTTTTAGCAGTTTTTGTTCCTTTCTTAGCAATTAAACAATTTAAAAACAACACAACAGCACACAGTATCCAGACTCTCCATGTATTTTTCATTTCATATACTTTAACCTTTTCCTTTTCTTTCACTTAATACCAGTACCTCATTTACTAACTGTTACCAATTTTCAATTCACCCATTTTCAATCCATCCTCCAACCGAGGATGATCCCTCAGCCAAAAGCCTTAAGATTTACTCAATCCACCCTCCAACTGAGGATGCTCTCTCAGGTTCCCCTTTCTTTCCTGACTTTGGTGTCGGGCGAAGGCCTGGAGATTTCACCTGGTACCCCTACCTTGGTACCCTTTTCCAATACACCCTCATAGCCTTACTAGCCGGTCAGCCTTTTGAGGGTGATCTTTCAGCTCCCCTTTACTTTCCTGACCTCAGTGGATTGGGCTAAGGCTGGAGATTAATTCAATACACTTTCTTCTTAGCAGGTGATCTCTCAGGCAAAAGCCTGGAGATTTAACCATTCAATTTTACTGTTAGAAGTTGAGGTACCTGTTTTCAATTCTTTTCTTTCTGGAGTCTCTCCTCTCCTGAGTCTTCCTTCTGGCCAATCTTTCCCAGTTTTTCAAACTCTCTCTGGATCTCAGTGGCACCTCCAATTTTGGCACCCATGCCACAAGCAAGCCGAGGTATCAGGAAAAGAAAGACATCCAGTTGCCTAAATTAGGAGAATGCATGTTCTGCCTTTATTGCCAGGAGAGACAGTGTGTGTGTATTTGCTGCAAATGCTAAGAGGTCTCTCTCTTGTAGGAGGGAGCAGTCTTATATATACAGGCTTACAGCACAGTGAAAAAACCCCAGGTGGAAGAGAGCGTGTTTTCCTCGTGCTAGATGTTGATGTCAGTGGGGCAATGCAGGGGCAGTAAGCCAGGACTAGAAAACAGGATGAACCTGTGGCTATCAGCTGACAAGCAACTCAGAGACCCTGTGGGGGCTAGGCCCCAACACATTCCCATTCCAGCTTGGGACAAGACAGTGTAGCTATTCTTAGAAAGAGCACTGTTGATATTACAGAGGCCCTGGGTTCAGTTCCCAGAACCCACATGTGGCTAACACCCTTCCATAACTCCCATTCCAGGGGATTCCATGCCCCCTTCTGGCCTCCAAGAGCTCCAGGATCACATTTGGTCCACGGACACACAGTCCACGGACACACATGTAATCAAAACACTCTCGTACATAAAGTAAATCGACACTGTAAGCGTTTCGTCGGGATGGGTCAGGACAGGATGGAACAGGAGTGGGTCAGGTATTCTGGCACTCGGGAGTCACAGAATACTCAGTGTTACACAGCTCAGGTGGAAAGGTATCCTGGAGCTCAGGAGCCAAGGATACTGAGTGTTACACAGCTCAGATGTAAAGGTATCCTGGAGCTCGGGAGCCAAGGATACTGAGTGTTACACAGCTCAGGTAGAAAGGTATCCTGGAGCTCGGGAGCCAAGGACCACCACAGGTTGCAGTAAGCTTGGCAGCTTACAGCCTTGCCTCAGAGAAAGGCTTCTCCGGTGTATCAGCTCCGCTCCGGCAGGACAGGGTCTTCCAGCTGGGGATGTTCGCCTAGTGTAGCAGTTTTGCTCCGCAGGAGGTTTCTCGGGCGAAGTTGCTACAGTTCAGCTCTGCTCCTGGAGAGCGGAGAGCGGAGAGCAGGGAGCCAGGAGCAGAGTGTAACAACTCTGCTCTGCCAAGGAAGGTTTCCCGGGCAAGTGTTACAGCGCTGGTCGCTCTGCTCTGCTCTGCTCTGCTCTGCCCAGGGTCGCCTCTGTTCTGTCGCCGCCGCAAAAGAAGACCTTCACCCGAAGCTCATCCAAAGGGGTTTATTGGAAGGCAGCTGGACCAGCCAAGCTGAACATATACAGGGTTTATATAGGGATTCCTGGGGTTGGGAAAGTTTTTCCAGAGTAGGGATTGGTCCGATTTCAGTGCTGAGCTCAGATTGGCTAGAGCTCTGCTCCAGGATTGGTTACTTTTTTTACACAGGATTAGGGTCAGATTTGGCTCTGGTTTCAGGGCCAAAGTGTGTTTCTTTCTCTGGTCCTTTTTAGCCTTTTGGCTCCAATTTTAGGGCCAGGGTACATTTCTTTCACTGACTCTGATTCCAGGGACAAAGTGTGTTCCTTTGGCACTGGTTTTAGGGTCAGGGTACATTTCTTTGGTTCTGGTTGCAGGGCCAAAGTGTGTTTCTTTGGCTCTGCTCAGGGTGTGTTTCTTTGACTGGTCCCTTTTCCCTACAGACACCAACCTCAAAGCCCAATAGAACCAGGACCTGGCACTGTGAAGGACGAAGGGAAATCATTGAGCTGAGCTAATCACAGTGATGGCCCGCTCGTCATGTTACAGCACACGCTGGTTTTTAACAGCTGGCTGCGGTTATACTAAGTTCCTTTCCAATGGACGTCCCACCAGTCACACACCTGTCAGTCCCCTTCCAAGCACCGTGGGAAATAACGGGGAAGAGGCATGAGGCTGAGGGGTTGGGAACACCAGGCAGGAGGGTGAGCAGCCCCACCAGTATGCCAAAGCGGCAAGGTGCTTGGCTACCTCCCCAAAGCCTAATCCTACCAGCGGCCTGATTTCAGGGGCTCTACTCGTCTAATGCCTAGGGGGGCCCTTATAAAGAAAGGGAGGCGAGCCTACACCCTGCGGAGAGGATGCCCGCTGCTCTAGGCTCGGAGGGCGCCATCTGGGAGGGCAGAGGCCATGCATGAACTTCCAGGCCTCGAGGGGATCCCTAAAGCAGTTCACTCTCAGGCCCGACCCTCAAGAGTCTCACCCTTAAAATGAGGAAACAGACATCTGCCTGTCAAGTCTCCTTCATTTCGTCAGTAATGCGACCCGGCTGGGCCAGAGGCTGAGGCCGAAGATCCCATCTGATGTATTTATTTATTTATTTATTTATAGAGAGGAGGGAGAGAGGGGGGAGGGAGGGAGAGAGAGGAGAGAGGAGAGAGAGAGAAAGAGAGAGACAGAGACAGAGGAGAGAGAAAATGAGTCAGTCTCGGGATGGAGCCTCAGTCTTGTCCGAGGACGCTTTGTGGGTATCTTGAGATCACAACCCTAATAATCGTCAGGTCTGACTGCAAGCGCCCCTGCCGTCTGAGCCCCTGCCGAGGCCAGGACCGCCCGTCTGAGGCTTCTCTCAGGGTCAATGGGACCTCGGGCTGACGGGGTCCCCGCAGGGTGGGAAGGAAGAGGCTGAGACCACAGAGAGAGGAAAACTTGCACCGACGAGGCCCGCCCTTCTCAAACATGGCGGCCGCGGGGCGCGTCACGTGACGCCCTTTTCCGACATGGCGACCCACGCCTCCGAAAGGAGTGCCCTTCTCAAACATGGCGGCCGCGGGGGGACTTGGGGGAGAGAAAGCCTCGAAGGGCGAGCCTTCCCCAGACACGGCGGTCAGATCCGGCGAGCACGCGCGCGGCAGAGGCGGCGCGGGCTCCCCGGTGTGGCGGGCGCGTCGGCCGGCTTCCGGCGCCGCGCCCTTCCTTGGCTCACGTTCCCGGAAGCCCGTTCCGCGGCCCGCCCGCTTGCGGCGCGCGATCGGGAGGCGCCGCCTTGCGGTTGGCCGCGCGGCGGTGACGTCAGACGCAGCTGCGGCGCGCGCGGGGGACACACCGCGGAGGGAGGAGCGTTGGGCCCCGGGGCGCTCACTCATGAGGAGCAGGAAGGTGAGGGCCCCAGCAGGCGGGACGCGCGCCGCCACGGGCCGTCCACTCCCCGGGGTGCCTCCTGGGCCCCGCCTGGCCGCCGTCCCCTCTCCTGGGAGCCTGGGATCCCCCAGCTCCGCCCCCGGGGAGTGCAGGACCTCGCATCCCATCCCACAGGCCCTGCCCCGGGAGCGGGGCTGCAGCGCGACTGTGCATGCTGCTGCTGCCGCCCCCGGCTGCCCCGGCTACTGCCTCCCCGGCTGCCCCGGCTACTGCCTCCCCGGCTGCCCCGGCTACTGCCTCCCCGGCTGCCCGCCCCTCCACTCTGCCTACACATGGGCCATGGTGTAGCTGACCTCAGCCAGGCACACCCGTGGCGTGTGGACAGGGCAGGGGACTAACTGTGTTACAGTAAGGGAGGGTGACCGGGCCTAATCCCCGGCCGACGCGGCCGGTGCAGGGAACCCCAGCTCCTGTGACCGCTGTCGACCTGCCGGGAGGCCAAGATCCAGGCAGACATCCCGGCCTTTTGGTGGGACTGTGTGGGCGCTTGCGTGTAGTGTGGTTGACAACGTAACTGTGCCCCGTGTTGGTACTATCTTTGTTGCTGTCCGTCTTGAATAAGCTGACGTTAAGGTTTTGGTTTTAATACTTCTTTTCCGCTGCGCTTTTTACTTCCCTGTGTGGGTGTTTCCAGAATTGCGCTGCCCCGGTTCTAGAGAGACACAGAATGGTCCAATGGCGTGTGGCTCTCTCCCTGCTTTTCCTGGTGTTTTGTTAGACATCTGTTGACAGTCCCGCCAGCAAAGCTCCTTCATGCCCACCCGCCTTGTGACCGCTTCCGTGTCACTAACATGTTGCCTCTTTTTGCCTTTTGAGAGAAGTGTTTTCTGTACAAGGATTCCCCTTGGGGGAGGGGTGCTCCTGTGCGTGTATTTTTTGGGGGTTACTGTTGGGGGGTCACTTGCTTCAGCTAGAACTCCCAGCAGTCCTAAAGCAACAGTCCTCAGTTTGTATCTGGAAATTTCTTCATTCGGGCCTTCATTTTACAAGACAGGTTTTCTGGTGTAGATTTTCTTAATTGACATTTTTTTTAAATAAATGCACCAAGTGTATTCACTGTGGCTCCCACTGTTTCTGCAGAGTAAGGGGTCAGTTTCTTACAGGTTCTTTCAAGATTAGAACTGTTGCAGGGGATGATATGTCCTCTGAGCTATCCTCTCCTCCCTATTGTGTCACGGAGGTGTCCTGTCAACTTGGAGTTGAGTTTGTTAAGATTCTTCAATGTATAGACTGTTTGCGGTAAACACAGAAAATTTTCAACCATTACTTCTTCGAATACATTTTCTGCTCTCTTCCTTTATAGTTGTCCCTTTCATGTGTGCTGGTGTGTGAATTTAAAGGCCAGCCTGGGCTGCTACATGGGAGACAGTTGTGTGTGGTGACACAGGCTGTGACCCCAGCACTCAAGAAGCTAGGGCGGATAGATGGGTCTCGCATTCAAGACCTGTCAAGAGTAATTTAATGAAAACTTTCTCAGAAAATAATTTTTTAAGGGGTGGAATTGGGAATGTGGCACAGTTGGTAGGATGCTTGCCTAGCACACATGAAGCGGGGTTCATTCCCCTGTCCCACATAAGCCAAACATAGCAGCTCACATCTGTGATCCCAGCGCTTGAGAAATAGAGGCAGGTTCAGGGGCCCAAGGTCCTCATTAGCTACATAGCAAGTCTGAGGCCAGCCCGGGTTACATAAGACCCTGTAGGAGAGAGAGACACACGTGGGTATGAGTCCATGTCCACTTGCTACAGTGGTGGTTCTTGGAAACGTACAAGACAAGGGGACTGATGGTCCCGAACCTCACAGTGGACAAGTAAACAGCCAGCTTTCGTTTCCAGCTGTATTGCATGCATGCGTGTGCGCTGTACCACCCGTGTAGCGTGTACCACAGCACAGGTAGAGGCCAGAGGACAACTTACAGAAGTCGGTTCTTTTCTTCCACTGTTTGGGTCCCTAGGATTGAACTCGGGTCCTCAGTCCTGGTGGCAAGCCCCCTTTCCCACGGAGCCATCCCTCTGGCCCTGGACCCTGTGTCTAACCCTGGGCAGTGGGGTTGAAACAGCATGGGCCACAGCAGCCTTTGGTTGTAGGTGTGGGAATGTGGCGGGCCCTGAGCTGCGCACCCACGGCTCTGTGTCTGGCATTCTGCCCAAAGCTTGCTCTCTGAGCTTCACTCTTGTCTAGCTCACAGGTGGAGTGCGATCCTCAGCACGCCTTCGGGCCCGAAGTTACTCTTCAGCCAGCTCTGCCTCTGCCGAGGACATTGCCAGCTCCACAACTGTCAAGACAGCATGTCTGGTGAGCTTCACTACCAAGAACACAAAGGCCTTGGCTCCATCCGTTCCTACAGTTGTCACTTCGGGACGTGTTGTGTGACACACAAGCCACTGCTGATGTGTGTAGCCTGGGAGGCATTTCAGAGGCCATGTGACAGTGCCATCCATCCCTGCTGTCAGGGGATCTCATCCCCAAATGAGGCAGCTGGGGCTTGGGGCACGCCTCTGCAACCGACCTCGCACAGGGCTTACTCGGGACAGCACGCTGACACGTTGCTGAAGCCGGCCTGGGTATCTGCTGGTGCCTATGGTGTTCGGGCACTGTCACAGACAAAGCAAAGTGCTGGGAGCTTGCTTCGAGTGGAGAGAAGGAAACTGGGTTCTTTTACATCTTTTTTTTTTTTCAATTAAATTTTTACTTATTTGAGGGAGACGCATGCATGCCATGGTGCATATGTGGAGGAGGCCAGAGGACAACTTGAAGTAGAAGATTCTCCTTCCATCCTGTGGGCTCTGGGACATAATTTTGGCAGCGGGCACCTTTATGCTCTAAGCCATCTTGCGTGTCCCTACTGTGATTTTAAAGCAAGTAGGCGTACACTTCAGAAAACAGCTTGAGTGGTACTGTGGAGTCCTCCTCGGCCTGCAGTCTGTCCTGCCCCTTAGTGGCAGGACAGATGGTGGCTGGTGACAGAGGAAAGGGGGGGGGGTCTGAGACTGAGCCGTGTGCCTTTGCCAGATGGGTCTGGTTTTCTCTTACATTTTTCTTTCCTGGCAGGCTTCCTCATCACACAAGACTACAGACAGACGCACTTCCAAAAAGTTCAAGTATGACAAAAGTCACCTTGTAAAGGCAGAATTACAGAAAGCTGACCCTAAAAGTGACATTTCTTCTTTGCCAAAAGTGGCCCCTGCGGCCCCTTGTGAAAATGCAGGGGACAGTGCTAAGGCTGCTGTCCCTGCACCGGAGAGTAGAGAGCCTCCCCAGGGCTGCCTCCAGGCTGTGAGTGAGGAACCCTCAGCAAAGACTGAAGATGCCCTGCCCACAGCAGAGCCCAACAGTGCTTCCGCAGCCCAGGAGCCTGATGACAGTTCTGCCAGACAGGCTGAGCCTGCGCCCAGGACAGAGGAGGTGCGGGCACCTGTGCTTCAGATGGACAGCAGCGTCTTTCTAGATGATGACAGCAACCAGCCCATGCCTGTGAGTCGCTTCTTCGGGAATGTCGAGCTTATGCAGGTAAGTATTACCTCCTGTCTCTCCTGCGCTGCCTGGGCAGCACAGTAACCTGAGAGCACAGCTACCACCATGTGTTCTCAGGTTACTGTGTGTGCATAATGCCGTAACACAAAAGCAAGCATAAATGGATCGTGTTCATGCAAAAATGAGTTGGGTGCTATTTGGAGGTGCCTCCCCCACAGCACCCCCACTCTCTCAGGCTCATAGGCTGGGAACCAACTCCAGTTTGAAAGGCTGGGAAGGCAGGGTCCCAGGCTTCAGCCTCCTGGGTGTGTCTTGGGCCTCGAACAAGGTTAGGAAGTCCAATCTGTGATTTTGTGATCATGCAACCATGTTCCTGTTGCTGTCTCTAGTTTGGGGTATAGCATCTTCCTCACCAAGGGACCATTTCCCATGTCTGAAACAGGCCTGCTCTGCAAGGCCCAGGGCAGGCCGTGGTCGGGTTTGGATCTGGGTGCCCAGGCAATGTCACTCAAGACTGAAGTCGTGTTTTCTTCCCCTCTAAGGATCTGCCACCAGCCTCTTCATCTTGTCCTTCCATGAGCAGGCGGGAGTTCAGAAAAATGCACTTCAGGGCCAAAGAGGATGACGATGAGGATGACGCAGAGATGTAGCGTCTTCACCTGCTCAGTAGTTCATGAACCACGCAGCACGCGCTACGATTTCTGTATGGCATCTCCAAGAGAACGTGTTCTTAAGTGAACACCACTGACACGAACATCACCAGCGCAAACACTGGGCTCCTGTGGAAGGGTCCCTCATGACCACAGGCTGCTGCCACCACCACTGTGCTGATGTCTTTTCCTCCTTCATAGACATGCCATGCTAGCAGGGGTCAGCAGGGGCTGGGCAGTGGGAAGTAAGGAAAGTTTGGGTACTCTGGTTTTGGTAACACCAGCTTGTTTACCATGCCAAATTGACTGCAGGAGATGAATTCAATTTCTTCTGGAAGGACTCCTGTTGCTGAGTGAAGCTAATTGTATACATTATAGTTTTAGCAAAGTGCATATGAGAAAGAAATAAAATATATTTTGAAAATACTTTCAAGGAAATATTATGTCCCCAAAACCACCATCTCTCAAATATTTGAGAACCTTGGGAAGAAATGAATGGTGTTCAAAGCCGGGACCACCCTTCAGGTCCATCAGCCAGCAGGAGATGCAAGGCCCTTGGTACAGGCCTTGAACAAGAGACATTGTGATGGCCCCTTCCCTGCTGCTCTGCTGGGACTGGGGCTAGCCATGTAGGTCCTATGCAAAAGCAACAAGTGTCCCAGGCCTGCAAGGAATTTTCAGGTGTGTTCTTGTTCAGACAGACCTGCCCAATCCCCAACAGCTAACTTTCCCCACTGTCCTCAGCTTCCACTGAGATCTCATTAGCTCTGACCTTCACCTACTCAGTTTTGTGACTTAATGATTGATGAACGTTAATTTAAAGCTGTTGCTTGTGGTCACCTGGTAGTCAGGGACAGTAACGTACAGCCCTACATTGCTCGGGCCATGGAAAAGACACACCAGAGTTGATGGTGGAACAGCTGTGTGGCTCCCATGAGCACCCCTAATCACACCATGCCTACCAAAGAAGACGGACTTACCACGGCCAGCAAAATGGGGAAAGGAGCCCGCCTCCTTCCTTTAGTTACAGCCCACCCTGCTGACGGTCACTGGGTGGGAGGAAGCAACAGGCCCAAGCGTCAGCCTGCAGCAGGCCTCAGCGGGTACCCTTTCCCGTCCTCACTGGCAGCTTCATCTCAACAGTCACCAGCCCTGGGAAGCCACTGGAACCCTTTCCTGTGGGAACTGGAAGAGGCTGTTGAGATGGACGTAGTCACAGTCCTAAGTTCCTCACCCTGTCATGAGAGGAAAGAGTTGCCAGAACACAGGCATCCTCTGAAAGTACAGACAGGGTGGCGGGTGGGTGTGGGACCTCAGGCACAAATGGACACAGGTCCAGCAGTGTGTGTTCATGGACAGTCCACAGCAGCTAAACCAAACAACTCAAGAACAGGCAAGGCTCGGCTTGCAAGGGTACAAGTTCAATCCCCACAGCCCACATGGTGGACACACATTAAAATCACACATGGCATGGCGCACACACTAAAGTCTCAATGGCATGCGCGCACACACATTCAAGTCACACATGGCATGGCGCACACACTAAAGTCACATATGGCATGTGCACGCACACACACATTAAAGCTGTCGTTAGAATCTGCTTGGGAAGATACACTAGGTTGTTTATGAGCCTGAGCCAGCCAGCTGTTACAAGATGACTTCTTACAACTTTCACAAAGTCTGTACAAGTGCCAAAGCCAGTTTGGCATCTGCAGATTGGCCCCGTGAAGGCTCCAGTCATGGGTACCTGTGACACAAGCACATCCTGTCTTCCCAGTCTCCCAGAGTTCAGAAACCAGTGAACACAGCAAGAGGACACTGACTGAAGCCAGCAGCTGTGTGGAGGTGGGTGCAGGGTCCAGAGGAATCAATGTGAGTTCCCAGGTACCTTCCCTGTGGAATCCTGTCATTCCCAAGACAGTGGGAGGCAGTCCACACAGGTCCTGGATTTTTTTGGAGGTCAGTCATCTGGCTCCTTGCTGCACACCTGCCATTCCCACTCCAGTCTCCCCACAGGTCAAATGGGCCCAGGGCCTGGGGCAGACAGAATTCACCCAGCAAAGACCTTCCTAAGGACAGGCCCTTCTTTGGACTCACAGGTTTAAGCCAGAACTTGGCTTGAGTGGCTCTGCCTTGCTGGGGTATTTAAGCCTGCACCTTTCCCTACGTGAGTTGTCAGGACCTCGCAGCAGTCTGACTTGTGATCCCATTGCTCACTGCCCTTGAGCTTGTGCAGCCGAGACTCCCTGAGCTCGCATGGGTCCCAGGCTTGCGTTGTCTCTCACTGACTGTGACAGCTGCTGCCTCTGACACTTCTCACCTTTGACCCCCACTCCATCACTGACCAGCTGAGGACCCAGGAGCAGACAGAGCCTTTTGGCTTTCACTCAGAGCTCATGCTGCATGTCCAGCTGCAACAAGAGTGGATCTCTGCATTGCACCGACTGCAGAAACGGAGCCTCAGGTAGGAGGGTGCAGAGCGATCCTCCACTAAGCACACTGGTAGGGATGTGGGTAACAGAAGGCTACAAGTGTCCCACTTGGGGAAGAAGAGAGGGCTTGGCTGCTAAGAGCACTTGCTGCTCTTGCAGGGGACCCAGACTGGGTTCCAGCACACATGTGATGGCTCACAACCCTTGTAATTCCAGTTCCGGGGTATCCGATCCTACTGACCTCGTGCACATGGTGCACTAACACACTACATCCAGGCACACACATACACATAACAAGTGTCAAACTTCAGAGAGAGCAGTCCTGGTAGAGGGTAGTGACTCTGTATGTCCTGGGTGCTTGAAAAGGGCAGCCCTCAGAAAAATGGAAGAAGGCACCATTGTGAACAGTGTGCATTCGTGACTGTAAGACAAGCAGTGGGGTCCTCTAAGGTCCACTCCGCTGGCCTGAGGCCGTGCATTACCGTGACGATGGACTCAGCTGGGGCAACAGTTTAGTCACCAGCCGCTGGTATCGCACCCTTAGCCCCATCTTCCTCAACACATGAAAACTTTTGACATGTCTATTTTGGAAACTCTTTATTGTTTTTCTGATTATATGGCAAAGATGGTAATTAAAATATGGTAAAAATCCAAACATTATAAAATATATAAAATCTTCATTTAAAAAAAAACTCAAGATGGGGCGTGGTAGCACACACCTTTAATCCCAGCACTCAGAAAGCAGAGGCAAAACTCTGAGTTCAAGGCTAAGCTGATCTAATAGTGTGTTCCAGGCCAGCCAGAGCTACATAGTGAGAGCCCATCTCAGAAGGAAAAAACAAAACAAAATAAATCAAGTACTATAAAATACATGATGCAGGAAATTAGTATTTGGTAACTGGGTCTCATCCAGCTGAATACCCCAGGATCACTGCTTTCACAGGGTGGCATTTCTTCTGACTGTCTCTGCACAAACTGACGCACATTTACAAAGCCAAATACCAGGTGTGGTAGTACACGCCTGTAATCCCAGCTCTAGGGATGAGGCAGAAGTATCATGAATTCAAGGTCATTCTCTGCACAGGTAAGCCATCCGTGCTTTTACCAGCTTCCCATTTCTACACACAAAAGCTTAAACCTGCTCCAGTTGTGCAAACAAGTATAAGTGTTGAGTCATGAGATTCATGATAGACAGCCATTATTTAAGCAGTGAAATGTAGCAATTTCCCATGGCTCAAGATAATGCCCCAGTCAGCTGTTCTCACCAGGAGACATCTGGAAGGCTTCTCACCTTCTGCTATTTAAAACAGTTCAGCAGAGAACATCCTCCATGTTCCTTATGAAATGCAAACATCTACCCCAGAAGCACCATCTCTTTCAGAGGAATGTAGTCAGAGCTGCCATTTGCAGTGGAAATGGAGGCCATGAAAGCTGAGACACAAACTAACACATACCATCCCTCATACCACAGAGGCCAGGTTCAGCCCTGCAGCCATGGGCATGAAGACTCTACCACGGGGACACGGGCAGCACACAGCACTGTCCTCTCTACACTGGGCTGCCAGACCAGAGGTTGAGGAAGCAAACTGAGAAGATACTCAGATCAGATCCGTCACAAAGACTCTTAAAGTCTTTTCTAGAACCTTCTAGAGTGGCAGAATGTAAACATAATAGTCCATCACCCCTGCAGTTGCCTCACAGAGGGCCTGGTGTGTGTCACTGGCGCTTCCGAGCAGGCCACTTCTTCTTGGACCGTTTCTGGGGCCGGTAGATCCTGCTGTGGTCGCACTGCAGCCTGTGAGTGGTCTTCTTGTGGCAGGCGATGTGCACCAGCTTCAGGTTCTCGGCGGTGAAAAGCAGACGGTAGAAGTACTCCCAGTTCACCTCCCGCCCGTCCTGGATGGCTCCAGCCAGTGTGGGCACCACGGTGCGCTTCTTCTCTATTCTGCCAAGTCAGGGACAGACAGCCCATCCGCTGTCAGGGCCACACACCGCAGGGCGCTGTGCCTTCCCCATCAGCCACCGACACCCACAGCACAGTGCCTACCACAGCAAATACCCCTGCCGTACTGGTCAGATTCCTGCCAACCTGACACAGGCCAGGGTCATTTAGGAAGAGGGAACCTCAATTGAGATCATGCCTCTGTCAGGCTGCTGTGTAGGCAGATCTGTGAAGCATTTTCTTGATTAGTGACTGGTGCCCAGCCCACAGTGGGCAGCGCCGCCCCTAGGCTGGTGGGGCTACATCAGATAAGCAGGCTGAACAAGCCAGTAAACAGCACTCCTCCATGGGCTCTGCATCAGTTCCTGCCTTGAGTTACTGTCCTGACTTCCCTTTCTGTAATAAACCCTTTCCTCGTCCAAGTTGCTCTTGGTCAGTGTTTTATCACAGCAACAGAACCCCAAAGGTGAGAGGATCTTGAAGATGCTTAAGGAAGCTAAGCTGGGAATATCCCAGAAAGGCAGAGGCAGCGAAATGGAGAGGACGTATGGATGAATCACCAGAGGAGCCCAGCACCACGCTTCACAGACTGGTGACACTGGCTCATCCCTATCCTGGGCCACGGGTGGGCTTGGTCGGTGCAGCAGAGCCCAGTGCAAGCAATGCTGCTCGTCTTACTTTGCAAACTTGAATAGTGGCCACTGCTTAACATACTAAAAATGAATGCAAGGCTGGCCTTGCTCGCATGGCCATTCAACAAAGCCAAGCCCCACGTGTGAATACTTCTCAGCCCCTAGTGACTGCTGCTTGTTCATGTACCCATTTTACACAGGTGCCCACAGACGCCCTCAAGCCTGTGTCTCCCATAGGCATGTGATCCGAGTGTGTATGACCAGTGTGACACAGAAATGGCAAGTAAAAACAGTGTCATGTTACTTCAGAGCCACTGAAACTGGAACATCCACAGGCAACAAACGCAGATCTACTCTGCAGAGATACTCTGGCAAGCCAACAACAGAAAGACGGTCACCAAAGAAATTCACATCCAAACACAGTCACAAGAACAGCAGAGTGGAAGTCAAACCACCTCCCCCATGCACAGCGCTGAAGCCATTGCACACGAGTCTGGTCTGATCAGGGCCAACTTCCTGGCTTGTGAGAGCACGAACAAGCTCTCCCACTTACTCTCCTCCCTGTGACAGCATTTAACCTTAACTGTTTCCCAAAGGACTTATCTCCAGGTTTGGTCTCATTGGTGGCAGCAAAAATAAAAAATGTGGGTTGGGGGGGAGGGATACAATTGAGTCCACAGCAGAGAGTTATCCAGAAACAACAGCCGTGAGCCAGAGCATGCAAGCAGAGTCACCATGAAGAGTGTGGGCAGGAAGCAGTTCCCAGAATGCCCATGGGAACCCAAGAGACTGCGGAGGAGAACCAGAACTCTCCAGAAGACAGGGCAAGTCACAGGAGAACCAAGAAGAAAGGCGTGTCTCTGGAAATGCGACACTTTCGGTTAAGGGGAAACAAACCAGTCTTCACAGAGAAGGCAGAATGCTGACAGCAGCGCCCGTGACCAAATGCCAGGAATCAATGTGATCAGCCTCCCTCCGGGGAGTGCAGAAGGGACCTAGATGGCTGTGATCCCAGACCCAGTGTGAGACAGTCAGTCCCCACTCACTCCGAGGTAGAAGTTTGGAGAGGGCGTTCACCCTGGGATCCTCTCAAGAAGCACTAGGACCACCAGGGAGATGCAGGAGGCAGTGAGCAGTGAGGAGGGAGGCGTAAGTAGGCACTGACATGAAAACAAGCATCTGTGCAGGCGTGAGGCCAGGTGGGACAGCACTCGAAACAGTCCTAGAAGACTGAAGTGGCAGGTGGGTCCAGGGTGCATAGTGAGACCAGGCAAACAGGCAGCACAGCAAACCGCAAGTGAGATGAATTCAAACCCACTTATTCCTGCACCAAAATATCAAACAGCTACTGAGCAGCCACTATATCCAGACACTGGAACCAGGAACTCGCACAGGACAGTCTCAGTTAGACCAGACAAATGGCAGGCAGCTAACGTGCCGGCAAGAGACACACTCTGTGATGTCAAGAGAAACCCAGCAGGGGGAGCGTGAAGTAAACAGCAGAGTGTGTGGGGAGAGTCTCGACCTTCAGGTACCAGAGCACAAGAAGCATGAGCAGAATGACGTCAAATGACACAACAGCCCTGGGAACTCGGAGACCTGCCAAAGGCTCACACATCAGAACAGTGACACTGATCTCAAAACACTAAAGCCAGGTGCAGCTGAAGACATGTAGCCTCGAGCATATGTTAAAACACAAAACAGAGAAACTAGAGAACAAGGAGAAACCGTAAAAGGAGAAGAAAGTAGGAATTAAAAACAAAAAAAGCAAAACTCGCTGCAGTTGAACACAGAGCAAAAAAAGCAGCTGCAGACAACGGGAGGCAAACGGAGGCCCCTGCACCCACCCACAGGGCGAATGGCAGGGTCTGCACACTTTGGACCTGCAGTAGGCATTCTGACAACAGTGCCTCAGACCCTAAGACACAGGCCTAGTCTTCTAGGGCTCACCACCCCATCCGGTTGTTATAAAAGACATCAGAAGTACAGCAACAACATCTCTCACACAGCCGGCCAGGAGAGAATCCGTGCCCAGGACAAAAAGTAAACAATGAGCAAAAGGAAGCAACGTGAAAGCCATGGATGGCAGAGTCACAAAGCCTTCCCAGGGCCGGGAAGCAGACGCAGCAAAGTGGGTGCTCTCCTCAGACAGGGAAATGCAGAGGCAATAGTGACACCGAGTGGTGGCGAGGACATGAGGCAACTCGCAGTCACATGAGCTGGAGCATCCAGACAAGGCTGGGAGTGCTCGGAAGGGGACCACGGGCATTAATTTCCCAGGGAGACTGGAGGTCAGAGCCAGGGCAGTCTTTCTCATCCAGATGCCCAAACGCCCTCATGATGCCGGGTAGAATCCAAGTCTGCGTTCCTCACCGGCTGTGGATGCAGCCTGTCCACAGGTCAGACTGTCAGTTAGAGGACGGTGAGTACTCAGAATGGCCTGAATGCCCAGCGGGGGAGCAAATGTGGGGCTAGCGTCTGCAAACAAGTGATGGAGTCTGTGCTGTTCACCAGAGTTGTGTGGGCAGACAGAGCATTGCAGAGCCAGGGAGCTGCGGCACCCAAGTCCACACCTCCTGGTAAAAGTGTACAAGAGGGATTAACAGGGCACACTCATTTCAGGACAGTGGTTTCCCCTGACAACAGGGAAGGGGCACTGAGTACTGAGGGATGAAAGGGGCCCTCAAATATAACTCACTTTTTATATACTCTTAATAGTTTTGATTTCAAGAGTCAGGTAGCCATTTGGGGGTACTTACAGCACATTGCCTTCATAAAGCAAAGCCAAGGGTAGTTACGGTAAGAGTACCACAGCTGCAGAAATATGATCCCGCCCTGTCCTGGTTCCAGAGAGGCTGCAGCCTGCCCAGCTGTGACACCATCCTGCTGGCCCTGACCTCCCACACCACAGCCCTAAAAGTGAGCTCCTCTGGTTCATACATGTAGCACACAGTGTTAGGGCCCAACACTGGGCCATGGGGAGTCAGGCCACCAGATTCATCACAGATGGGGCGGGAGGGCAGAGAGACAGCTTAGCATTGGGCACTGACAGTTGGCAGGACGGCAGCCATCTCTCCAGAAGCCCGTTCCAAAAGCATGTGCGGTCTGTCCCTGGGCCTGAACCACACAGGTGCAGTGAACCAGCCCTGAGCAGGGATAGGAACCCCGCCAGGCGCCGGGTTAGTTCTGCTGAGCTAACATGAATCTTGGTGACAGACACTCACATATGATCCAGGTTCCAGGTGCTGAAGAGGATCCGGCTCTCCCTGTTGCCATAGGGGTTGATGGAGTGCTTGGAAAGACAGCTATCCATATCAAAGGGGCCCTGCAGTGACCAAGGCGGGGGATGGGAAGGTAGGAGTGAGGGACAGTATTGCTCTCCTCCAAGCCGACAAGCTTGCTTTTATCCATGAGCAGAACTGTGAACCAGGCAGTGGCAACACCTGTATCCCCAGCACTCAGAGGCAAAGGCCAAGGAGATGGCTCTGTGGGAACAGCACCTGCCGCACAAGCCTGAGAACCACATTTGGATGCTGGAGTCCATGCAAGAGCCGGGTGTGGTTTATCCTCTGACCACACCCATGCTGTGGCATGTGCACACTTACAGATACACATTACACACATATACACAAAAATAAAATAAATATTAAGTCGGCCTGGGCTTATAGTGACCTTAAGTCTAGCCTCAACTACATATTAAGACCTCATTTTAAAAACACAAAAGTGTTTGCTGTTCATTAGCAATTGAAAATCCTCTTTGTGGGCTGGAGAGGTGGTTCAGAGATCAAGAGCACTGGCTGTTCTAGGTTTGAGTCCCAGAACCACATGTGGCTCACAACCATCTGTAACTTAATTTCCAGGGGATTTGGCACCCTCTTCTGGCCTCCACAGGGGACCAGGCACACATGTGCACAGACATATACATGGGCAAAACACCCATCTACATAAAAAATAAACCTAATTTTTTTTAAATTCTGTCTTTGGAATTCTACCTGTCCCCAACATTCCATTGCCCCTGATCTTGTATTCTGGGTTTCCAAAAGATGAAGGCATTTCTGTCCTTGTTGCTAGAGAACCATCCTCTGCTAAGTGCCTCTAGAGATCCACACAGGAGCAGACCTGTTATTCTCAGCATGCTCCTGTCACGCCAACAACTGCACACCCCATCCCTACCTCCTCCCACACTCTGAATGGAAGGTCACCAGCATCTACTCCTAGGCCAGCTGCCCAATGTCCTCCCCACCTCTCGCCCCAGGAGGGCTACGCCCGGCGGCGCTTAGTGGCCCCAGAACAAAGGGCACGAGCTCACCTGGCAGGAAAACCAGCCTTCTGGGGTGCAGAGACGGCTGCCGGGCTCTGCACCCCTGTCGAAGTAGCTGCCGTGGTACTTCACAGACTTGAGCTTCTGGCTCATGAAGCTAAGGACCCGCTCGAATTCTCCTCGGGCCGCTGCATCCACTGCAGAGGTGTAAGCACTCACCTGGAAGAGTGAGCCAGAGGTATCGCTGAGCCTGAGCCCATGCCCTGCCCACGCCCGAAAGGGCGTGCTTCAGCTGCCAGCCTATGCCACGCACTATGCCAAGGCCCAGTCCTACAGTTAGAGTGTCTGAGCACTGTTCAGCTATCACAGCCTAGGACACCATTCCGGGCCCACGGGATGGGACTAACAACGCTGCTATCAGGCTGGGAGAAGAAAACAAGAAGAGGCCGGGCAGAGAGGTCCATGTCTGTAATCGGATCACCTGGAGGCTGAGGAAGGAGGATCCAAAAGGCCACCTGCTCTAAACAGCTAGATCCCCTGGTGGGGGTGGGGGGATAAGATCATATAGTCAGCAGGGGCAGTGTCTGCCCTGTGCTCGGGTGAGCAGCAGTCACAAAAGGCCCCCATGCAGCCAGAGGGTAGGAACCAGGACCAATCAGGGCACCTACAAGGTTAGGTCATGTGGGACAATCGCCAAGGCCGCATGGAGTATAGAACAGCGGACACAAGCAGAACATGAGCAGCTGTGACACACTGAGTGGGTTAAGCTGGGTATGGGGAGAACAAGGGCAGCACTTTCCACCTGCCAGTCAAGGAGGAGCCTGACATGCAAATGAGCAGAGAATGAAGGCAAAGCTGACCAATGGGGACCTTATATGCAAATGAGCAGACAATGCAGGCCAAGCGGTCCCCACTCTGAGTCCTGGGTGAAGGGGACCCACACCATGCTGCTCCAACTGCCTGGCTACTCAGGCCTCGGCTGGCTCTTCAGCTTTGGTCCTAGGCCAGCAAACTCTCTGCCCTTCTGTCTGCCTGGGGTTGGCTACTGCCACCTAGAGGAAACCGGGGCAGAGCTGTCAGGCATGGAGCGCCACCACTGTCCCCACTGCCTGCCACAGAGCTCCTGCAGACCTCGCTCCAGGTAGGCGGTACAGTGCCTCAGCGGCTTAAGCAGGAAGTCCTAGAGCATGCCCAATGGAAATACAGTCTGAGAGCCCAGCAGGGCCAGTGTAGGCAGGCAGTGTCCACGGTAACAGCCAAGACAGTCAGGGTTTCCGGCCAGCGGGTGGCGCAGGTCCTCCAAACCCAGGGGAAGTGGGGGGGTAGCTTCAACCAGCAGAGGGCTCTGGGAACACATGCACATGTCAGGTTTTTACCCACAGACACTAAGACTTAGTTCAAGCTACACAGCAGGATACGATTCGGAGGAGGGTGTGAATGGAGGAGAAAAAAAAGAGACAAAACAGCCTTAACCAAGAGGCTCAGTGGTGACCCAGGCCTGTGCCACTAGCCAACTGCTGGGCAGTTACCCAAGTTTCTTTTGACAAAAATGCCCCCAGGGAGAGCAGGTCCCCAAGAGCCAAGTTGTTGTCCCAAACCACCCAGACACCGCTCATCCTATCTCAATAAAGACAGCCATGCAGAACCCGGTGCAGACAGGCACAAAAGGCTCCTCTGGCGAACTGACGGGCACCTCATGCCCTCAGTACGGGCAGGTCCCACTCACCACAGAAGGTCTCCTTCCACTCTGTACCTCACTGGCATTCATGTCTTCACCGGAAGGAAGCCAGGCAGAGAAGGCATCAGGGCATCAAAGACAGCCTTCTCCTGGAGTTCAGGCTAGGTATAGCTGCACCGGAGCCACAGGCCGCTCTTCCCAGAGAAGGCCTTGGTCTCCTCAAGAGCCAGCACTGAGGCCCAGCAGTCGCTCAGAGCATAGCTACAAAGCACCCCAAGCAAAGGCGTCTTCAGTCCTGTGATCCACTTTTCCAAAGTCAGAGGACTGCAATGTGCCCAGAGAAAAATTAAACATAAGTGCTGGGGGGCGGGGAGACACTACGACCCAATTATGAAGGTGCCATTGGGGCAAGGGAGGAGATGCAGAAAACTTATCCATAATGGAATGAAGCTCACATCACAGCAGACCCGCCAGCCGCACAAGACGGGAGCAGATGCTACTCTAAACAACAGGATCCCTGCCAAACACAGGGGGAGTAAAAGCTGAGGCTGAGGCCTCTGACCCTAACCCACAGGTCACAGTCCAGAAAGGTTCTAACACCTGCCGGACAACGGGGTCAGAGGCTGAGGTGCAGAAGAGAACGGACGCACGAGACAGGGAGCTCTTGCTTCTCTGAGGTACACGCGCCATCTGCTGACAGAGCAACCTTGCAGGCATGCATCAGCAGAGGGGTGCGAGCCCCGCCCACTGATGAGCCTGTGCTGAGCGCCCACTCAGCGTGATCTGAACAAGGCCTTACCTCTCTCAGGTAGCCCCGGATCCGGCTCTCACAGCTGTATCTCAGGTAGCCAGACTTGTTCCTGAATCGAGACTCCAAACCTACAAGAAAGGGGACTCTGGAGCCCACAGGCAGACCATGACCTCTTGGTCTGTGTCCTGCACAGCTCAGAGGAGCCAAGCAGACAAGAAAGGGGCGGGGGAAGATGTGACCCCATTTGCACAAGGTGCCACATGAAAGGAAACCATGTGGGGAGGTGTTCCACTTATTGAGCTAGAAACTGGAGTGTGGGGATGGGGGAGTTGAGCTGCAGAGTCACAGAGCATGGGCTGTGCCAGATGAAATGGGCTCTGACATCAAATGCCAGTGCCGATGACAGGACAAGGTGAAGGTGCTCGGATGCATGGAGTGCCACTAACTTTGCACCACCGGGCTTCTATAAATAGACTCACCCAACCACAGATGCTGACCGTTTAAAAGTCTTACATCTAAGCCGGGCAGTGGGGGCACACACCTTTAATCCCAGCACTTGGAAGACAGAGGCAGGCGGATCTCTGTGAGTTCGAAGCCAGCCTGGTTGGTCTACGAGAGCTAGTTCCAGGACAGCCTCAAAAGCTATACAGAGAAACCCTGTCTTGAGAAAGAAAATCTTACATCTGGGCAGGCACATAACTTTAACCTAAGCACTCGGGAGGCAGAGGCAGGCGGATCTCTGAGTCTGAGGCCACACTGATCTACAAAGTGAGTTCCAGGACAGATAGGGCTACACAGGGAAACCCTGTCTCAATAAACAAAAACAAAAAATAAATTTTAAAAACCCTTACATCTGAACTAAAAATGTAGATTGTTTTCCATTTTAAAGGATTTTAAGTTTGTGTGTGCATGCACATGGTGTATATGAACATGTCACATGTGTGCGATTCTGTGCAGATACAGTCACCCATGCATGCACATGTAAAGGGCAGAGGTCACCAGTGAGTGTCTTCCTCTGTCTCTCTCCACTGAGACATGGCCTCTCATTAAACCTGGATCTCACTGTCTGACCAGTGAACCCCCAAGGATCTGCCTGACTTTGTCCCCCAACACTGAGGTTAGACATGTGCCATCACACCTGGATTTTACATGGGTGCTGGGGATCTAAACTCGGGTCCTCAAGCTTAAGCAGCAAGCACTGTCCACTGTTGCATTGTATCAGGTACCTTAAATGACCCAGGGATGATATGAAGTATATAGGAGAGGCCCCTGAAGTTTGCTGACCAGCCAGCCTAGCCTAACTGATAGGATCCAGCTAATCCTGAGGATGACACCCAGGGTTGTTGTTATCCTCTCTCTCTCTCTCTCTCTCTCTCTCTCTCTCTCTCTCTCTCTCTCTCTCTCTCTCTCTCTCTGTCTCTCGCATGGTAAGGTGGTAAACTCCACATTCCATGCATCTTGCCATGACTTTTGGAAGAATGATTTAAAACAAAGAAAAGAAAACAGTCCATTTTGAGGCTGCCCAAGACACTCCACCACCCAGGAGTCCTGGCCACAAGCCTTCCCATGGCACCTTTTGTTATCACACATTCCAGAGGCCAGTCACCTTAGGTTGGGAAACATCGGGATCTGAAATAGACAGAGATCCTCCTGAGCCTTGGCTCCAAAGAGGCCCTTCTCTGCCTGCCCCAGACACCCTGGCCACCACGGGTCACCCCAATCCACATACCTTCAAACCAGGATGGGTCCTGCTCCCGGGTCTCAGCAGAGATGTTCTGGTTGACATGATGCAGAAGGTCAGCCAGCAGCTTCTGCCTCCGTGGGGCCTGCTCATCCGACAGCAGCTGCTTTGCAGCCCGGATGACCCCGGCATGTGGCTCATTAAACACACTGAGGAAGCGAGTGATGTCACTCACATCTGCCACCACCGGGAGACAAATAGAGACACATTCATGCTGTTCTGGCCCCAAGAAGAGCATCCTGTCCACTTAACCCAGAGACTGCCAGAAGTCGAGACTCTGGTGTCACCAACCCTTGACACCTGACACCTCCACAGGTGTGACACTACTGGTTCTATTCCTCTGGCCATCTCCTGTCAGGTGATGGGACTGCAGCACTCTACAGAAGTACACTTGCTCTTCTTCCGGCCATCTCTCCCCCAACACCAAGTCACCTCCTTTGCTTGTTCCCTTAGGACCCCACCTCCATGCCTCCCAACCCCTCTCCCTACTTTCCCAGAGACCCTCTCCTCAAGTGACTACAGTGAGCTTTCCGGGCAAGTGCCAAATGCCAAGTGCATTCTCCTGAGGACCTTAACCCAAACAGAAACAAACAGAATCCAGTAGCAACTAAAAGGCCACAGCCAAGCGAGGCTGCAAATCTGGTTCACACTCAGAACTGGGGAAATCCACTGTGTGAACAAGCTGAAGAAGTAAGGTCTTGTGAGCACACCCACGGTTGCAGAAAACGCAGGAGGAAACCCCCGGAGGCCAGGACTTGCCAAGAGATTCCTAGACGGTGAAAATGCCCAGTGAAGAAAATGACAAATCTGGATGTCACCAAAGTCAGAAACTTTGAAGCTGGGATGGGGCACATGCCTGGAATGCCAGCAGTTGGTAGGTGGAGGCAAGAGAATCAGGAACTTTAGACCAGCCTTAGTTACAGAATGTACTTAGGGCCAGTCTGAGCTGTGTAACCTTGTCCTCCCTTCCCCTCCCAAATCAGAACCTTTTGCTCTACTACAGAGCATGAAAAAAGCAAAGTCAGTTAACTCAGTTGGTTGGATCTCAGTTCCAATAAAGATAATGAAAAGGTACACAACAGGAGATATTTGAAAGCCACATTATTTGACATGGAAGTCATAACCAAGATTTTTCTCTGGGTGGGGTAAATACTTCAACGGCTTTAAAAATCCGATTAAACACACACACACACACACACACACACACACACACACACACACACACACAAAGACATTAAGACTCCTTCACCAAGGAGTGCCTGCAGGCGGCAAATAGGAACACATGAAGATGATATCCAATCCCATTAGCCACCGAGGAATTCGGATTAAAGCCACCATAGCTGTCATCACACAGCTACCTAAAAGAGGTTCCGTGAAAACCATGATCCCTGATGGCATTTCAGCACCAACCTGTCGGAGAACAGCCCCGGGCAAGGGTGAACCATGCTTGCCCCGCCCTTGCCCTGCAGAGCACAGCACAGCACAGCAACACCTTCTCCGGGCTCTCCCAGTCCTTCCCCCTTGCCTTTGGCAATTACAAAATAAAATTTAAAAAACTGAAAACAGGGGTCCTCAGCAAAAGCTCTCGGCATTCAGCGCCCCTGTCCCGATCTACTAGGCTCCTGCCTGGGCCCATGGACCCGCGCTTTTAAACCGCATGGGTCCCGCCCATCTCCAAAGTGTTCCTACTTACAGCCCTGCCAAGTCTGGCCAGCAGTGAGCAGCAGGAGTTCGGCGTCGTTGGGGAGACCCGGGAAGTAGTCGTCGGTCACCTCCGTGCCATCTTCGTACAAGCACAGCCGGGAGCCGGACACCGGGAGCTGGAGGACAGGAAGAGCACTTGTCCCACCCAGTCCGGGCTTCCAGACAGCACCTAACTACAGGAGCCCAGCGCCCGACCGTGCCAGTAGTAATCGGGGTCCTCTCCCCCGCAGCGCCCGCAACCCCAAGCCACCTGGAAGCGGACGCAGCCCTTGTGCAGCAGCTCCTGGCAGCTCCGGGCCGCCACGCCGAACTTGCACTCGCTGTGTAGGGCTCTCAACTTGACGCTCTTGAGTTTGCGGAGCGCAGCGCACATGGCAGGGCTCAGGCAGCGGGGCTTTGGCGCGCGCGCACGGGACGAGGAGGGTGGCCGATGTCCCCGGCTTCTTCGCCTCTCTCACCACGGAACTGTGGTGGGGTCGGCGTCGCCCGGAACGCTAATTCTCTTCCTATGAAAGGCGCGACCCGAAACGTCCGTCTACAGGACCGGTCCCCAGCCTGAATCCGCGAGGCGCGGCTGCGCGCGCAGGCGCCTGCGGGGCGGACGCGCAGGCGTACAGAGGCGGGCCCGGCCCTGTTGCCATGGGAGCGTGGCTGCGGCCGGCCCGGGCGCTGGGCAGAGGCGGCCCGGGCTGCTCCTCCGCTGCCCTCGCCTCAGTGGCCCGGGGGTGGGGGCGGCCGGACCAAAGCCCCCATCGCTGCATCTCTCCTGCTCGTCTCCGCGGCGCTCGGCCCGCAGCAGGCACCGAGGCAGAAGACACCTGGGCACCAAGGGACGTGGCCGCTGCCTGCTGAGGCCTTCCGGGCAGCGCATCTCCGGCCTCAGTGTCAGGAATCCGGTTCCAGCCCCGCCGCGTCCTCTTCTGGGTGCGTTACAGAACAGGACCGGTTACCGCCACACTAAAGACTGTAGCTCTGGCCCCCCGGGGTAGGCCACACTTGGATCCGTGTTGTTGGGTGGGGGTGGGGCGGCTGTTTGTTGGGTTTGGTTTGAGATGCTTTTCAAGCTTTCAGATTCTCCAAAAATACTTTCAGTCCTCAAGATTTATTGCCACCCCCTAAAAAAATCAAGACTTAATATTGTAACGTTTACGTTTCTCGAAAAGAAAACTGGAAACACTTTTCGTCTCCTTGTAACAAAATGTTTGGAAGTTGTGCTACGTTGGGGTTCGGACTTAGGGCTGGAGGCATGGCTTTCAAGGGTAGGCCCACAACCAAAAACAGAAGAGGTTGGGCTTAGTTACAGTTTATAAGCAATGCTAGGGTAAATGTCACCCGACAGTGCTGACTGTGGCTGGTGACCGGCTAGGAACCCAGCATTGCACGGATCCAGAAGTTTCCGTGATGGGTTGTGCGGAGTCACAAGCGTGTGCCGAGGCCCCTGAAGACTGGGGCAGAGGAGTGGGGGGCGGGGTCTGAAAACGAATGCTTCGCAGTTGTGCATACTGAGATCCCGGTGTTTCGGGCACACTGCCCCACAGCCTTCCTACCAGGGTCTCCAGTGCCAGTAGTTTTGGTTTTATTGGGGGACACACTTGTATCTGCCTTTAACATTCTGTTTGTAAGTCTCGGTGTGCCCCCAGAAGGTGCTGGTTAAGACCACAGTTGAGTACAGCTGTGGTCAAGGTAGACATGCCTGCTCTTTTGTTGTTCTTGTTGTTGTTTTGTTGTAGCCCTATAACTCCTACGTAGACCATGCTGACCTCAAGCTCAGAGCTCCTCCTTCCATGCACTGAGATTAAAAGTGTGCACTAAGACACCTGGCGTAGGCCAGGCCCTTGAAGATGGCCAAGGAATTTGAGAAGTCAGAGCCAGGGATATACCTTTTAAGTGTTCATGAGCTTAGGATGCTCTCTAAAATTCACGGCATGGTGAGGCATAGTGGCACACAACTTTAATCCCGGCGCTCCCGTGTGCCAAGGCAAGAGAATCTCTGTGACTCTGAGGCCAGTGTAGTCTACATACTGAGTTGTAGGCTAGTCAGGGCTAAATAGTGAGAGTCTGTCTCAAAGATCACAGGAAATCCCAGACCAGGAGTGAGAGTCCAGGCAGAGTCAGCAGTTGAATGCCTAGGTGGAGGCTACAGAGGGTTTTTAGAATTAAAACCTGGATAGAGGAAACTGAAGTTGGGTGTGAAGAGTGTTTGCCTGGCAGGACCATTGGGTGGCGCAGGAGCGCCAAGACAGTTGTGACCCTCTGGAATGGGGGTATGGAGGAGGCCGAATGCAGTCAGGCTGCTAGTGGGTGCTGAAGGGAAGTATAGTGGCTGAGGGGAGGGAGCATCAGCTCCAGGTTCGGGGACCCGAGTGACCTAGGGGTGTTAGTCTTACCAGTTGGAGGAGAAGCCTGCTAAGTCACCCAGCCATGAGAATGGTATTGCTCTTGACTATTTCCTGGGTCGAGAATGGTATTGCTCTTGACTATTTCCTGGGTCAGTTTCCTCCACTCTGCTGTGACAGTCACAGGGAACTCAGTGTGGCATCTTTAACACAGACTTGCCATTCTCGCTGTAGTAGTTTGGTGCATACAACCAAAAAAAAAAAAAAAAAAGCACCCACCAGACTGGCATTGGTCCCTTTTTGAGTCCAGTGAAAGTAAGAGAAAGCTCTAGGTTATGCATCAGGCATGTTCAATGAGCCAAGCTTCCTAAGGGATACTTTGGATCGTCCTGCCTACAGAGTATTTCAGTGGTGTATCTTATTCCAAGACACTTCCAGTGGACCTCTTTTCCCTGTATTAGGAGTGTTTTTGTTTTTCCGCTGCTGGTGATTTTCTTTACCGCCAGTTGTCTTGCTTAGCAGGCATTTGATTGACTTGGTAACTGAGAAGTAACCATGAGGCCATGAGCTTGTTGGGATCTCGGTATGGTCACATCTGAGGGCCCACGCTTTGCTCTCTGACAGTGCTGCTGCCCAAGGTTGGCTCCACTTGGGCAGGGCCTCCTCCTCTGGTGGCCTCAGCAGTCCTGGAGTCTCTGAGGGAAGAAAGCTCCTTTGCTGTGGCCTCAGTATAATCCTGGGATAGGGTGTCACCTGTTCCCTCTGGGCAACACATATGTGCATTCCCATCCGTGAACCCTCACTGTGCCAGGATGTGGAATTCATGGACCGTCCAAGCCTAGGAAAGTGCAGCAGACCCCAACCAGGGCTGGAGGGGAGTGCAGAGTCAACAGTGCAGAGCTGAGTCAGTGCACTGCCTTCCAGCATACAGAGCCTGGGCGCCAAGCGGCAAAATAGACGTGACAGCACGCACGCGTCCTCCAGGAGACAGTGGAGAGCTGGGATACAGGTCAGTTCACGGAAAACCACACTGAGAGAATCATTCAGCCAGGTTTTCCTCTCCAGGCTCCCTCAAGCTTGCCCATGTCTCCCCTCAGCTTGGCTTCCAGCAGATTTTCCGTTAGACTTTCTGCACTCTTCCCTCACTAGGACCAGAAGGGCTGTCCCTGCTGCCTGTCCCCATGCCTCCACCCAGTGCTGAATCCAAAACTTTTGTGGTGTAGCCTATTTTGGCCCAGCTTGATTGTCTAGGTTCAGGGGGGGAACTGACAACTGCTTGTGCCCATCTGGAGGGTGAAGGGAAGTGACCCAGCAAGGTGCCTTGTTGGCATCTCCGGGTGGTTTTCCACATCCTCTCAGGGCGTGGAGCCAGCAGATGACCCTGGTCCATCTTGTTCTCAGATAACACTCTAAAATGTCCTGAGTCAGGCTCCCAGTGCAGCCTCGCTCACCCCCCGCCCCGCATCTGCACACCCTGCTTTCCTTAGGGCTGCACATTTACACAAGGCAGTGGTTGCTATACCGATGATTAGGTATCTCCTCCCTAGTTGTTAGTTTCCTCGATGATGCAAAAGGACACTTTGTACCCTGCCAGAAGCTTTGGTTTTACCATGAGAGTATCACAAGCAGAATGGCTTAGGGATTTCAGAGCAAGAGGGCTGGCATTAAAGTGGCAGCAGGGACAGGCATCTCTGAGGTCTGGGTCCTTCTGCCTTTTCTAGCTCCTGATGGTCTCCAACATCAGCCTCAGCTTTAATCGAGTGGCTCTAGTCTCTGTCAGTATGTGGCGTCCACCCCATGTGTGTCTGAGCCTCCGCTTCTTGTGTGCGTTTATTGGGGGGTTGTTTGTTTTGTGGGGGTGGGGAGTCTCTGGAGATGAAGCCCACACCTGGCCTTTGTGTGCTTTTATACAGGCTTTATACCTTTACGGTACTCACCCCCAGATACAGGCGCTATACCTTCGAGGTACTCACCCCAAGATACAGGTGTTATACCTTTGGGGTACTCACCCCCAGATCATTCTCCTCTTCTTGAAAGTACACAGCCGCAATGGATTTCCCCCAATGGGGTGTCATTTTAATTTGATCACATCTGCAGAAACCCCAGTAAGGTCACATTCACATGCAACAAAGGTGGATCTGGCCGTTAGTAAGGATGGAATTCAGCCCACAGCACAGGTCAGACTTTCAGAAAATCAAGACGGCTTAAATGGAAAGTTAAGTGGAATTAAAACATCAGTTTTAAAGATGCTTTGTAGACAAACTAGCCTTTCATGTGGTGGGCAGTTGTGAGTGCTTTGTGGCTTACCTTGTGTGACATGAGCTAACGCCTCTTCTAACTGAGTTGAATTCCTTCACAGAACTCTTCCCTGATCTTCTGAGCAGCCCGTGTGTGCAGAATGCCCCACAAGATTGGATTTGTAGTGGTCAGCTCTTCTGGACATGAAGATGGCTTCAGTGCCCGGGAACTAATGATCCACGCACCGACTGTCAGTGGCTGGAGGTCACCAAAGTAAGGCTGGACTGAAAGCCCATCTGAGTCTGAATCCCTTACACTCTAAAACCATGAAATGCATTTCTAGTCGGTGAAAACTAAATTAAATCACTAAAACTAAAGTGCATTTGCCTCATGGAGTTCCTAAGGAACCCAGTAAGCAGCGCCGCCTCCCCCTCCACTCATGAGCACTGAGGAACTGGAGAAGTCAATCGGATGGGACAGGGCAGTAATGCAGGAGCCGCAGGTGTTGCGCTTCCTGGTCACTGCTGTCACACTGGGAGGGAAGGAAGGCCAGGCCCATGCTCCCGCCACTTCCCTCCCGAGCTCCCCATTTGAGTGGTCTTCTGCCTGTCTGCAGCTGCTAAGGGTAAAGCTTGCACTCTCTGCCTTCTGGGTTTCCCTCTGCAGAGACCTTCAACATTCGCCATGTCTGCCCTGCAAGCTCATGAGGCTTGAAGATTCTTAAGCAGATACACGAGGCTTCCTTTGTGACAGTAATTATGCAAGTCACACTCACGTGGTACTTTTGTCATTGGCATGGTATTTCTTTAAGGTCATAACTATATCCATTCAGTAACGTGTTTCCAGAGGATACCAAAGGCTATGTGTACCCCTGCCCCCCCCCCACAGAGTCACACTAGGTTTGGCCCAGGAGTCTCCTGATTTACCTGTCAGTAGTGGCTCAGAAAGGGTGTTCAGGGTGCCAGTAGGGGTGGGCACAGGGCGCCATGTCTTTCTTAAGATCTCCAGAGCTGACTGCTCCAGGCTGCACACCAGTTCCAGATGAATTGTCTTACATGTACAGTGCATAGATATGTCCTTGCATGTCACTGTATGTGTGTGGACTCAGGTCTCTGTTGACATTGCCCGGGTTGGCAGCAGGCACCTTCACCCACTCAGCTGCTTTTATTCAAAGCAAATGATTCTTACTCAAAACCAATCTGTCCCTGTCGGTGTACTTGATAAGGATGGGAGGCTTGGGGTGTGACTCACTGGGAGAGCACTCACTCCTTGGAACTGGGAGGTGAGCACAGGACCGATGTGTCAGTGGCACCCTGGCTAGCTGTGCTCCACCCTGGTTGGGGGAAGCAGCTTCACCCTTGAGCCCTAAAGGAGCCCCACCCAGTTTATGGGTTTCGTGAGTAGGATGTGAGAAAGAAAGGCCTGGCCAGCAATGAGGCTCTCACAAGCATGCACTCGCACATGCACACATGTACACACACACATGTACACACACACACACACACACACCTGGCCAGCAATGAGGATCTCACACGCACACGAGTACACAGGCACACACACACACACACGCTCACATATACGGGTCCCCGGGAGTGATGTTGATACTGGTGAGGGGAGGAGCTATGACAGCCCATCCTTTGTTTCTCGTGCCCATGGTGCTTGCCAGCTCATGTGTCAGTGCTGTCCTTCCCACACTACTGCTGAGTCATGATTGCTTGTCAGTGCTGTCCTTCCCACACTGCTGCTGAGTCATGATTGCTTGCTGTGTAGATCCCTTGCTGACAGAAGTAGTGCTCTGGCCAAGTCTTGCTTGGCACTCATACACTGTCCTGAACAAAGTTAGACGCTTCAGCTCAGCCTGCGCCTGGAGCCCTGAGCACACCCGAAAGTCACCTCCTGCTTGTTGACAGCCCGATGTCCTTTAAGCAGGCAATTCCCTCGTGTCCTCGGGGTCTTCACAGCCTAAGGTGAGGTTTGCAGGTGGCCCGCAGAGCCAGTCCACTTTAGAAGGGAGGAAGCAACACTGTCTTCTAGTCAGGTCTGGAAGCAGACCCGCTGGAAAAGGGCAGGCATTGCTCAGAAACCCACGACTGCGTTTGCTTTCAGGTTCTGCCAGTTTCCACAAGAGATTGTCCTCCAGATGGTGGAGAGGTGTCGAATAAGAAAGCTGCAGTTGCTTGCTCACCAGTACATGATCTCCAGCAAGGTCGAGTTCTACATCAGTGAAAGCTTGCCTGAGTACTTGGTGCCGTACCAAGGAGAGCGGTTCCGCAGACTGGGGTGAGAATGACACTCGGTACACGGTGACACTGAGCCTTACAGCTCCGTGGATTGTGCCTCTTGGCCTTTTGTGATCTCCCAACACGTGCCTGGGGTTTCATGTGCTTAGCAGGCAGGGGTACCGTATCTGGGGCTCGGCAGCTGCTGCTTCTCAGGTAGAAAGCTTTCCTCAAGACCGTTAATCGGAGCCTGACCCTGGAAGGGCCCCGTGGGGTTCAGTGGGGTGGGAACGGCCTTGTCCACAGTCCTTCAGGCGTGGCTTTCCTTTCAGCTATGTCTCTCTGTGTGACAACGAGAAGACAGGCTGTAAGGCCCGGGAGCTGAAGTCTGTATATGTGGATGCCGTGGGGCAGTTTCTCAAACTGATTCTTCACCAGAACCATGCCAACAAGTACAACATATATAATCAGGTAAGGTGTGTGTGTGCCTAAGACTCTGCCCTGACACCAGAGCACGTGCCCTTCCAACGCACGCGCACACACACAAGGCTCACCTCCACGAGAGGACTGCTCGGGTGTCCTCGTACATGCCCAGTCAGGGTGCTCTCATGAGAGCAGTTGTGTGAGATGCTCTCTGAAGCCAGGCTCTCCCATATGTCAACTCTGGCGTGTAGTCACAGGGCAGACAAGAGCCCCTGAGACTGGACCAGACTCAGATAAAAGAGGATGTGAAAAGGCTTCCTGGAGGTTTTCACTGCAGCTTTGTGTAATAACTTGACACCCACATGGTAGAATCACTTCCACGGTTCACACCTGTGTTTCCCTTCGCCGTGTGACTGGCAGTCTGATGTTTTGGCAGCATGATGCAGAGGAACCCTCTGAGCTGGCGGAGGCTGGTGCCCAGGAAAGCCACTTGCCTGCGGCTGGTCCAGCTGCTTATTTATTTATTTAACATCCCAACTGCAGTTTCCTCTCCCTCCTCTCCTCCCATTCTCTCCCCCCACTTTTCCCCCACCACCCCCAATCCACTCCTCTTCTGTTTCTGTTTCAAAAGGGACAGGCCTCCCGTGGGTGTCATCAAAGTGTGACGTATCAAGTTGCAGTAGGACTAAGCACCTGCTCCTGCATTAAGGCTGGGCGAGGCGACCCCCCCTAAGAGGAATTGGTTCCCAAAAGCCAGCCAGAGTGGTAGGGGCCGCCCCCCGTGAGGCTCGGGTAGAGTGCTTGGTAGAGTCCTAGAACCCACACTCAGCCTGAGTTCAGCCCCATACCTCTTCCCGCCTGACCAAGGAAGTCAAGTGTGACCACAGCCATCTTGCTTGCACACATTTGTCCCCTTGCCTCGTCTCCTAGGACAGGAGGTCACGTTGTGTATCAGGCAAATGAGTTGTGAGATGCGCAGCTGCTGCGGCATAAGGTCCATTGTAGCACAGCCTTGGGGAGTAGGAGGTATCCTCTCTAAGGATTTCTCCTTCCACCCTGTCTGCTGTGTCCGCCAGTAGGAACTGGTTAGGAACTTGGGCTATAGTGATGGGTGGGAAGGAGAGCAATTTCTCCACCAAGGGTGAAAGGTGGAAATCAGCACCTGGGCTAACGGAGCTGTGTTAATTTAGTGTTTCTCTTCCTTTTCTGGGCTAATGTAGACAGAGACCTCTTATTGGGAGATTCTGCTAAAACTCTAGGTAGCGATTATGTTTTAGAAACATATAAACCGTAGCTGCTTGGTTGAGCATTAGAACAGTAGTAATATTAACCTACTGAGCACTCCGCAGTTCCCTACATTACCGTAAACCTTACTGTCTGTGCACTTGGGGATGCACCCTCCTACCTCATAACACCACAGTCAAGAGTCGGCAATACAGCGTAAGGCATCTCAGACACTTCATACTTAATGTCTGCTGATTTAACTGTTTCTTAGGTGGCTTTGGTTGCGATAAATATCATTGGAGACCCTGCAGATTTTGGTGATGAAAGCAATATTGTAAGTATGGAAAGTATAGTTCCTAAAAAAAATAAAAGGAATTTCTTTGGGAGGAGGAATCATTAATTCTCATCATAAAATGTATCAATTCTGAAGGCCTCAAAACTTTCCTCTGGAACTTTAGCTGCCCATGCAGACAACTAGGGACACTGAGTCTTGCTGGCACCTCTCTATTAAACAGTTGTAAAATTAAGATTTGTTTTGTCCTTTGTTTGCTGAGAGTCTAAGAAGATGTTTTGTTCCCAAAGACCTCTAGAGAGAAGCTGATTGACCATTACCTGGGCCATAGTTCCCACAATGAGGACCCAGCCCTGGAAGGAAGTTTTGCTGGGTAAGACTCCTCCTATTTCCTTCACAAGATACTTCATGACTCCTCGGCCATTCCAAAGGGTTCGAGGTCTCGGTGAGCTTTAGGTCAGGTGAGCAGATAAGCCACTGGTTGGGTTGTCTGGTGTCTGTGCAGGGATTTAGGTGGCTGCTTATCCTGCTCAGCTCCATTGCTGCATTCAGAGAGGCTTCATACAGTTCTGTGTGTTCTGTGCGTTCATACAGTTCTGTGTGTTCTGTGCGTTCATACAGTTCTGTGTGTTCTGTGCGTTCATACAGTTCTGTGTGTTCTGTGCGTTCATACAGTTCTGTGTGTTCAGTGTTAGCAGTGTCCCTGAGAACAGTGATGAGTTGTCAATGTGCCTCAGCTCTCAGGCTCTGCTTCAGAGTCCTGAGCCTGCTGGAGAGCCAGATGTACCCTCAGCTGTGTCACCTCTGCTTGGCTTCTTCCTGGTGGCCACACCAAAGCCTGAGTCTACAAAGCAGCCACAGCACCCAGTGGTGTGCTCCGCCTTCAGTGGTGGGGCATGCTGTGTCTGGCCTGTGAAGTGTGAGTTTCAGTGCTGAAATCCATTGTGTAAGAACCTGACTTGTTCCTGGTGTTCTACATAAGAGTGGGTGTGCTTCTGCCCTAGAAATTCTGACTATGGCACCATGGGACTTTTTTTTTTGATGATGTTCTTAAAAATATAACCTTTGTATTATTTCTGGGACATCATGACAAACTGGTATAAAGTTGTAAGCATAGTGTTGAGAGTTAATATGCGGTATGCGGGGAGAACATGTATGTCATGTCAACCCTGACGTTACTGGATGGAAGGGATGTTCATAGCTGCTGCAACTGTCCATCAGAAGCTGGACTGGAGGGCAAAGGGTCTGATCAAAGGGGGTATGGGGTGGCAGAAAGGAACCTGGGGATTTTTGAGCTCATTATTATTCAAGTTTTCCTACTAAATTCTTTGTGACAAATCATATTTAATTAAACTTTACCGATATGTGAAATGCCCGAGTCACAGCTTGTATGTGGCTCTCGTGTTGCAGCCAGTGCAGCTGATGTGAGGCCCTGGAACTGGCGCTCAGGCCCTGCTGTGTGGTCCCGACACTTGCTGTCACTGCACTTTATAGCCCAGAGGGAAGCTCATCGCTGCCATGCTGTAAACTTTAACAGTGGTGGCTGTGATCACATGGTCATGGACGCCGAGTTTACCTGAGGCTTTGCCTGATACACAGCTCAGTGAAACACCAGAGCAGGAGCCCCAGAGAGCTCACGGCCGCAGCCTGACCAGCCTGTCCAAGTCTACAGGAGCCCCCGGAAGCGATGCTGGGACCTTCTTTCCTGTGTATTCAGCATGAGCTCTGGACTCTCCTGACCTGAAGGGTCGTTTTCTCTCCTTAGGAGATCGGACTACATCTCTCCACTTGATGACTTGGCCTTTGACATGTACCAAGACCCTGAAGTCGCACAGATCATCCGCAGGCTGGATGAAAAGAAACGGGAAGCTGTCAAGAAGGAGCGCTATGACCACGCAAAGAAACTGAAGCAAGCCATCGCTGACTTACAGAAGGTACAGGTTCTGGGCCTCCTCCGCACCACCCCAAAAAGCGCTCCTGACGGCTGAGGGGCAGACGGGGAGTCAGAATCGCAGGCAGGTAGAGTTGGGGCTGGGCAGGCACCTGGAAGGTGACACTGTGGAGCTGGAACCAGGCCTTGCTGCTCCTCTGGGTGGGGCTGGGCTGTCCTGGCCTGTGTGGAGCTCCTGAGGACCCTGTGTGGAGACAGCACGCAGGACAGATCCCTCCCACCCACAACTGTCCTGTGAGCAGATGCCCATGTGTGTGCCACAGGTCGGTGAGCGCCTGGGGCGCTATGAGGTGGAGAAGCGCTGCGCCGTGGAGAAAGAGGACTATGACCTGGCCAAGGAGAAGAAGCAGCAGATGGCACGCTACCGTGCCCAGGTGTACGAACAGCTGGAGCTGCATGGCCTCCTGCAGGGCGAAACAGAGGTCAGGGTGGGCCACAGGGTAGGGGCCCGTGGGAGAGAGCGGAGGGCTAATCAGAGTTGTGCTCACTTGGGGGCTAACGCAGGCACTCCTCGCCACGTGTCACGACCCCTTGCCCTTCATCTCTCCCACAGATGCAGAGACCCTTCGCTTTGCCCCTCCAGCCCCTTGCATCTCCCAGCAGCCCCCAGCACTGGAAGACAGTGTCCTCACACCCACGCACAGAAGAGCTGGTACCAGAAGACACATTTGCAGGCCCTGCCCTCCAGGAAAAGCCTTTGGCCTACACCTTGGCATCTTCTCCTCGGCATTTAGCAGTGGACCAGCCCCCGCCTGCTGCAGGCCCTGCGCCTAGGAGCCATGTAAGTTTCTCCACTCCGGCGTGACTGTTAGAGCGGCATCACTGAGGACCTGGGCTGTCCTGGGTACTAATCCTAAAGCACAGGTGCATGCCTGCCCCCAGGGCCAGTCCTCCTCCCAAATCCAGAGGGACCTGGGAAGATAGCAGAGCACAAGCAAGCTCTGTCCACTGGCCACATCCCTCGAGAGGCACATCTGGAACCCATCCTGCCTGGCCCTCTGGGTCTGCCCCGTCGTCTGTGGGCTCACAGAGTCTTATCTTTTGAGCCCGTGATTCTCCTGTAAGAAGCCTTGCTTCAAGGAATGAGAGAGCACATGTAAAATGCCCCTACCTGAAGCTCTCAAGCTGAGGCGGAATTGCTGCCAGTTCAGCTTGGACTGCATAGCAGGTAACAAGACCCTGAGGGCATTAAGAGTGAGGTCCTGTCTCAAATGGGTAAATCCCCTATACATACTTTCCCAGATAGCGCCTCAGCCATGTATCCATGGTCAGTTGCCTGTTAGAACAGCATCGTAACAGGAAACCTGAGTCAAGCTGGGCTTTTTATTGACTGTTAAGCTAGGAACGCAGTAGATTCTGCAGGTTCCAGGACTGATTTGACTCAAGAGCTCAATATTGTCATCAGAAACCTCATGTCTTCCTATCGCTTGACATCCCGACTCCTTGTCTCCCTAGGCTGCCTGCTATCACAGCAGCACATTTTGTCAGCAGGTCCTCACTTCAGTCCAGTAGGTCAGCTGGAGTCACACGCCCCAGCCTCTGGAGCAGCAGCGAGGACAGAGGAGGCCTCGCCAGAAGGGGCCTTTGCCCACGTGTTCACCTTAGGGTAGCGATGCTCCTGTGACCTGGTCTTCCATGTTGTCTCAGGGTTTCACACAAGTGACTGCAGACTTTGAGAAGTTTATTCTCACCCATGTGCACTTGCCTACGGTCTCAGTACCGTGTGTTCCAGGGCCCAGGCAGGCGTGCCCTCCACGCTCTCACTCTGCTGTGGACTTGTGGGTTTGGTTCTGTGCCTTTGTCTCTGACTAGATGAGGCTGTGAAGGCAGAAGGTCCATCCTCACTGCCATGTGGGCACCAAGAGCAGCGCCTGGTGAGCCAGATGCTGGAGGACAGAAGACTGGGGTGGCAGCTGCCTCATCAAGGAGCACCACAGAGGAAGCTTGTCACAGATCCCCTTACTGGGAAGCTGTGTTGGGCCTGAGCTCCCAGATAAGAAACGTGTTTACTGCTCTATGTAATGCAGTATGTCAGCAAACGCTAGTCTGGAAAATAATGGGATGACCCTTCCTCCTGTCCTTTGTGTCAGTTGAACTGAAGTGGCTGCAGGTGACCAGTGTCTGAGCTGAATTTGTGTGCTGGTCATGAGTTTAGACAGGAATGGAAGGCTTTGTCGCATTTTTCCAGTTATAACCCTCTTGTGGGAATTATTCTAATCTGATGTTACTTGTACTCAGCAGAGTTAGCCCTTTGGACTCTGGCCCATCAGTGTGCGGAGCAGTCATCCTGGGCAGAGCCCCTCCCTACCCACAGCACCCTGCTCACTTCTGCTCACCCACAGGTAGACGCCCTGCCCTACGATGAACGGCCTCTTCCTGTTACTCGAAAGCAGCTGGGGGAAGCACCTGCAGAGCCAGAAGTGATAGAGGCAGACAGCAGTGACGTCCGGAGACGCGGTATCTCAGGGGAGCCAGAGCCCTTGACAGAGAAGGCCTTGAGAGAAGCCAGTTCTGCCATCGACACCTTAGGCGAAGCCTTGGTAAAAAGGAAAACCAAGTTATACACATGCATGGCGCACGTGTGTGCATGTACCCACAAACAGAGCACAACATAAGAAGCTTTGTTTAACATGCGTGCTAGTGTGTGTGTGTGTGTGAGTGCGTGTGCACGCACACACGCGCACACATTCATGTACATCCTGCCATTCACATGTGGAGGTCTCGGATCTTAATATCCATTAATATCCATTAGCACGGGTCTACCTCTCATTCTGCAGAGGGCTTCCTACTATAAAAGAGTTCTAAGTGCAGGATGGCAGTCTGAGGTGGCTGTGTGGGGCCAGACAGTCTGCCTCCTGAGGCGAAGCAGGACTGCTGTTTCCTGGCAGGTGGCTGGGGCCTATTCCAAGACGTGGTCCTGCCGAGAAGACGCACTGCTGGCATTGTACAAGAAGCTGATGGAGATGCCTGTTGGAACCCAGAAGGAAGATCTGAAAAACATACTCAGAGCATCTGTCTTTCTCGTCAGAAGAGCCACAAAGGACATTGTGACCGCAGTAAGTCCCTCTGCCTGCTGCCCTCGGGTCATTGATGTAACCGTGACTTAGCTTTCAATGAGGCCAGGAATGAGGGTCCTCCAGCAGGGGGTGCGCCCCAGGTGCCAGGGAAAGAGGCAGGTGGGAGATGCTGTCCTCACCTGGGCGCTTCTTCCCGCTCTGCACGGCCTCTGTTTTCCCTCAGACCTCAGCAGATGTGTAGACCAGCATTCAGCTCTCCTCGTTTTTCTTGAGACTTGAGGAGCTGGCAAATTGTATTCCAAAAAAGAAAAGTTGAGGGCTGGGTGTCTCTCAGGAACGGTGAGCTGGCATCGCATGGTCAGGAGGGTCAGTGAGGGCCGCAGTGAGAGCAGGGCTCGGGTGTGGGGTGCTGTTCTCGGAAGTGGGTTATAGTATAGCATTCACACTTGTTGATTTCCTATTTCCTCCTGGACTCCACCACTGCAGTTCATGCGTGTAACCTCATTTTCTTCAGGTCTTTCAGGCTTCATTGAAACTGCTGAAAATGATAATTACGCAGTATATTCCTAAGCACAAGCTGAGCAAACTGGAAACAACGCACTGTGTGGAGAGAACCGTGCCCCTTTTACTCACCAGAACCGGAGACTCCTCTGCTCGCCTCCGCGTCATAGCTTTGAATTTCATTCAGGTCTGAACTTCCCCATCACCTTGTGACTGTCTGGCTCTGCCTTGCAGGGCTCGCTCTGTACACCAGAGCCTCAGACACCTGCCGCCATGCTCCCCTGGAGCTGGGGAGGCGAGCTCAGTGTGCACACAGGCTTTTGTTGCTGTTTTGCGACATTCTGGAATGCTGGCTGGACTTGAGCTCACCGTGGAGTTCAGGCTTTTTCCCCAAGTGCTCGGGTTCAGGCACAATTCCACACCCAGCTTATTGGAGATAAAAATAATGAATATGTAAAGCTAGGGAGACAGCTCAGCAGTTAAAGTGGTTTCTGACTCATAGTTAAGATCCTTTCAACACACATAAACACCAAATGGGCATAGCGCTCCCCTGTTATCCCAGCCTTGGACGATAGAGATAGGTCCATGGAGCGAACTGCCTAGCAAGACTAGCCATGTTGGCAGTCTCTGGGTTTGATTAAGAGACACTGCCTCAAATAAGGTGGGCTAGCCATGGAGGAAGACTCCTGAAGTCAGCTCGGGCCTCCACACATGCCAGGATGCATGGCTGTGCACACACCCCATTCACATGAACACAGAAAGGGCAGGAGCAATGGCTCAGTGGGTAAAAGGTGCCCCTGCCACCAAGCCTGACAGCCTGAGTTCAACCCCTGAGCTGGGCCCAACGGTTGAAGTCTGAACTCCCGTGAATTGTCTTGTGACCTGCCCTCTCCCTCTGTGTGTGCTCACACCCACACACGTGCACAGACAACAAATGGAGTGCAGTCACCTAGGACTGCTAACGAGAAAGGGGAAGAGGCTCCTGACACAGATGTATGAAGCACTGTGAAAATGTGTGCGGCTTTATTTAAGTCAGCCGGTGAACACATCTGGTGCTGGAAGCTTGTTTTGTTTTGTTTTTCTTATTATGAGACATGGTCTCATGTAGCCCTGGCTCACCTGGAATCTGCTGTGTAGCCAAGGGTGACCTAGAACTAGATGAGGTGTTTGTGCTTGACCTCCCAAGCACTGGGATTACAGGTGTGCACTGCCCCGCTGATTCAGGGATCCTTAAGCTCCGTATCTGGACTTGAAAAATCTTTAAAATTTCTTAAGGTTTGATGCAAGTTTTATGAGTGCATACATCTGTCTTAGAACTTTTGTCATTCTTCGAAATGTAAAGAATCTCAGACCTGGCTTTATTAAGAAATTTAATTTCCAGGGAAAACAAATATGGGGGTGGGAATAAGAATAGACGTGCTGCCGAGTGCTCGTAGCATGGAGCTTGGGCGGGGTATGACCCGTAAAAAGTTGTGTCTGCCCTTGAAAGACAGAGGCAGGAGGGTTTCAGTGAGTCTCAGAGCAAATGGAAATGTGTATTGCTTCATTTCTTTCCCATGTGTGAAGCCGGTTTTTGTTTTCCTTAAGAGACAGGGTCTGCCCGTGTCACCCAGGTCACCCTCCTTCTGAGCACAGGTGCTCCTTCCACCTCAGCCTTCCCGCAGCCAGAACTGCAGGAGTGTGCCACCACACTCAGCCCGTGTTTAATGCTTGCTTTAGGACAGTTTTACCATGTAGCCGTGTTACCCTGCACTCACAGTTCCTCTGCCTCGACTTCCCTGGTTCTAAGGCTCCAGGAGCGTGCCTCTCTGGCTTTCCCTGTTATTTTCTGGGAAGTATAAAGTTCCCTCACCACCTGAGGTAATCCTGTGCCAAATGTTACCAGACAGGTCTGGAGAGACGGCCCAGTGAAGAGTGCTTGCTTCTCTTTCTGAGAGCTGCACTTGAGTTCCCAGAACCTATGTATGGTTTCTCACACCCTCCTGTGACTCCAGCTCACAGGATCCAGTGCCCTCTTCTGGCCTTCAAAAACACCTACACCCACATGGCATATTACACACAGACACATAGCGCAAGTGCACACACGTAAATAAAAATGAGCTTCCAAAGTCGTCAGGTTAACTGCCCCTGAGCCTCCATGTTCAGGCCCACTTGTTATTTCAGGATGCTGCTGTCCTGGCCTCTGGAAGCCATATTTACTGTGCCTCTGTCCTTTGTATCTGAGCCATCACTCATGACCTAAATACAAAGAGAGATTGTGACTACATGATTTGGCAAGTTCAGGGATGCCTAAGCTACTTAGTGAGACCCCGTCACCTAACAATGGAAGCAATAGATGGGACTTTTACTCTAGTCCCATCTATTGATCATATTACCAGAGAATCATTGACACCCAGTGCTAAAGTTCTGTCTCTGAGCCTAACTTCTTTCCAAATTTTACATTCAGAAAAAGGTTTTACTGACACTGAGAAACACCTGCATCAGAAGCCTGCAGACTCTCGTGTCATCTCGTCTGCTTCAGATCTGTGGTTCTGCCTCCTCTCTAATTGTTTCCAAGATACCCCAGCTCCCACTCGTAATTCTCTTGTGGCCTGTCACTGTCCCTTCACTTGCTAAGTTGTACTGAGTCACCTCCAGCTCCTTACCTGTAATAACTAACAAATTGTGCTCCATTTGTAGGAAATGGCCTTGTTTAAGGAGGTGAAGTCTCTCCAACTCATTCCGTCCTACCTGGTGCAGCCACTGAAGGCCAATGCTTCTGTTCATCTGGCAATGAGCCAGGTGGACCTTCTGTCCCGGCTGCTGAGAGACCTGGGCACTGAGAACTCAGGCTTCACCGTGGACAATGTGATGAAGGTGAGCCAACCTTGTGGCACGTGACACTTAGAGCAGGGCTGTCTAATCGGTGACTGAGCCAGGGAGCGTGCGGGATCATCCAGGATCTCCTGCTGTCTCTTCACTCATTAGTGGGAGCATAGCATGCACATCCCTCTCCACGGCGGGAGCAAACCCTGAGAGTCATTCTTTGGGGTGTTGACTGAGGGCTCCCCTAGCAGGCACAGAAGCCCAGGTTCAGTCTGCAACACTGCACACTCCTGTAATCCCAGCACTAGGAGGTAAGCCCAGGTTCAGTCTGCAACACGGCACACTCCTGTAATCCCAGCACTAGGAGGTAAGCCCAGGTTCAGTCTGCAACGCTGCACACTCCTGTAATCCCAGCACTAGGAGGTAGAGGCAGGAGTTCAAGATTATCACTGGCTACAGAGTAAGTTTGAGGTCAGACTGGGCCATATAAGATGCTGTCTCAAAAAAAAAAACCTGAAAAACAAAAAGTGATTTGCTTAAGAATGCATCAGAGAGTATAAACCATGCCCACCTTGGTCTCCTGCCTGGGTCACTGCCAGACACTTGTTTCATGACTGAGCTCCGCTGCCCATGGCACAGGACAGGAGTATGTGGCCGAGTCTGCAGTGAAACAGAATCGTCCGGTGGGACACTGACTGGCTGCCCTCAGGTTCAGCGCCACCTGATGACACGAAAGAAAGGAAGAGAGGGGTACAGGGGTGACTGCAGGAATGGATGAGCAGGACCATGGGGTTGCTGTGCGTGCACACTGGATACAGAGACAGAGAGGCTCATGGGAAAGGTGGACCAGAGTCTGTGATGTAAGAGTACAAGAAGCACGGGCTGGAAGGAGGTGAGGAGCCAGTGTGGAGTCAGATGTGACGGTGAGCAGCCAGGGGTAGGGAGAGCCTGAGTGGCGCAGGCTGAGCCTTCAGAAGTATGGGGTAGCATGAACATGAACCAGCCATGCCGACTCATATTGTGGCCTGATTGTTTGACGGCACCACAGTGCAGTGAAAATGAAAGATGTAGGAGGTGGCTCTCAGCCCTCCTAACGCTGGGACCCTTTAATACAGTTCCTCATGCTGTGGTGACCCCCACCATAACTAATTTTGCCACCGTTATGAATCGTAATGTACAAATCTGTTTTCTGATGGTTGTTTGGGGGTCGTGACCCACGGGTTGGGAACCGCTGACATAAAGTGAGTGAGCTCAGGGTCTGGAAAGCATGGTCCGAGCACCCATGGAGCAGAAGCCCCAGGGGGCACATGGAGGTCAGAGGGTGGCGTCAGTCAGTGCTCTCCTTCCACTGTGGGTGCCAAGGCCAGGACTCAGGCAGTCAGCCTCGGGACAGGGTCCTGGCTGGCTGAGCCATCTCGCTGATATTTTTGGTGGCATGTACAATTGCGTGCTAGGGACAGAACCTGTGGGTATGTTAGATCGGTGCTCTTAACACTTGCTGGATCCCCAGCACCCTGCTCACAGTGTTAAAACAACAAACCCTGCATACACACACAGCTGTGCACACACACGCTGTGCAGGGTGACAGCCCGGGCAGCAGCACATTCCAGCTGCACATGAATGGGAGCCTCCAGGCAGAGGCAGAAAACAGCCTGGGGAGCCAGACAGAAAATAACCCCACAGAAGTGTTACCCTCCTTGGCCTGCATGCGGCATCCCTGAGGTTGTGTTAGTCCCTTTATAATGGTGTATTTCAAATATGAGTGTGTGGATGGACGTAATTAAAGAGAGCCTCACAGCACACAGTGGCAAAAGCCGAGCATAGTGCTGGACTGAGTGTGCTGTGTGCCAGCACCTTGGAGAGACCTGCAGGTGTGTGGCTCCCTCTGCACCTGTCTCCTCTTTGCCTTGCCCTTACTTTCCACGTCTCAGGGTACACCTGGGTCGCTGTTGTTCTGGGAGAAGTTAATTTTGTTGTTAGAAAATCAGTAGCAGAGCTGAGTTGCTTTCTTTGCAGTTTGCACTGAGCGCCCTGGAGCACAAGGTGTATGAGGTACGAGAGACAGCGGTCAGAGTCATCCTGGACATGTACAGGCAGCACCCAGCCCTCACCCTGGAGCACCTTCCTCCAGAAGACAGCAGCACACGCAGGAACCTTCTCTACAAAGCCATTTTCGAGGGGTTTGCTAAGATAGATGGCAGGCCGACAGAGGCCGAAGTCAGGGTGAGTTGACCTTCATGAATGGGGGGCACTGCAGTCTGTTTAAGAGTGGCATGGAACATGGACCAGCCATGCTGACTCATGCCGTAACCTCAGCATTGGGAGACTGAGCTAAGAGGATTGCCGTGCCTACCGGACAGGCCGGACTAGGAAAAAAGAAAGTCAGAGGAATAACAGTGCTACTTGAGACATGAATAAACGGCCAGTTTCCTTCTTAAGGAGCCCCATGTGGAGAAGCACGGGCCGCAGTGAGAAGCAGGTTCCCGATCTATGCTCCAGCCTGTCGGGGCCCCACCCTGTCCGGGCCCTGCCTGTGAGCCGGGAGATGTGAGAGCAGTGCTTCCCTGTCTGGGAGAGCGGGGTTAAGGATGCACAAACCTTGAGTGAGCCACTGAAGAATTTACTTTTAACCGGAGTTACAGTCATATCCAAATTTAAATGCTGTGATTTGTCTCCCAGTGTCTGAAGCTACCCCCAGAAAGTTCTTCTAATGTAAGAAAAACATTTTTGACCAGGCCCAGAAAAGAGCAGCCACGAGGGAAGCAGAAAAGCAGAAGAGAGAAGAGATGAAGGCTCTGCAGGGCCAGCTGGCGGCACTGAGAGAGACCCAGGCTGGAGCCCAGGTCAGGATGCCAGCCACCTTCGCCTGCGTGTGTGGGGTGCTGGGGCGATGCAGATGGTGTCCGTCCGTGTGAGTTAGTAGCCAGCTCTGTTGCTGCTGTGAGTTTTGAGGGGAACCTTCTGCCTGCCCACCCTCAAGATGGCTCAGGGGGGTCTCTGCTGCCAAACTGATGACTGTGTTCAGTCCCTGGGACTCGTGGGATAGAAGAACTGACTCCATAAAGTGGTCCTCTGCCCTCTGGACTTGCAATGTAGTCTGCCCGTGCTGCCGCCCCACACACGCATGCCCACAAATTCAAGTAATATTTAAAATGTAAGAGGGCAGAGTGTTAAGGAGGTCCACAGTCCCAGATGCAAAGCTCAATCTTGTAAGGCGCACTTGGAGCCTGACTCCAAGCTATTTGTGCCTATGGCGCAAGTTCCAAGATGCTGTGAGGTGGGCAGAGGTCTCACGTGCTGCTCTCTACACAAGCGAGAGAGAAGAAGCAGAGAAGCGGAAACACGTCTACAGTGTATTTGCCCAAGAAGGGCTGACGGTCCCCAGACCTCCCCACCAGCGCCAGTATGAGAGCAACAGTAAGGAAAGGGGAACGCAGGGGGAGGCTGGAGCTGGCCACTGCCTTTCCCTGGCGCTCTGCGGTGCCTCCTGTCCCATTGCAGCCTGATGGTAGCCATCAGCAGGGGTGCAGCCCATGCTGAGTATTTTTCCTACTAGCTTACAGGTGTGACAAACTAGAGGCTCTCTCCAGGTCACAAGGACATGGCCTATGTTGATGGGGTTGGTGGTCACTCGACAAACAGGAATGAATGGCAGTCACCTGTAGAGGAGATTGGTAGCTTTGGTATGTGTGTGTCTGTGGAATGGTGGAGCTAAAGAGAGCAGCAGGAAATGCTGGAGTTGTTTTGTTGTTGTTGTTGTTTTAACATGGAGACTCACAGTATAGCTCAGGCTGCCCTAGAACTCATTTCAGTAGCCCAGGCTGGCCTCAAATTTGTGACCCTCTTGTCTCTGCTTAACAAATGCCAACTTCATAGGTGTTCACCACCAGGGTTGGCTCAAAAAGATTGCTGATGACCCTGTCATAGCTGTGTGGAGCTGAGTGTCTGCAATTACAACACTGAAGAAGCTGAGGCAGGAGGATTGCAATGTTGAGGCCAGCCTGGGCTACACAGAGGAGACTGTCACAGATAGGTACGTAGGTAGGTAGGTAGGTAGGTAGGTAGGTAGGTAGACAGATAGATAGATAGGACTGTCATGAATAAAATAAATAAATAGGAAAGACATGAATTCTATTATTCTTTGATAGAAATATCAAACAAAATCTAGACATGCACTTTGAGGTTAGTGTATGCTGGGTAGACTGCAGCTCATAGACACAGTTTGCTCCTGACCCTTTCTCTTTGTGTCTTAGGAGAAGGAGGATGACTCCATGAAGATCAAGAATCAAGGTGAGCAAATTCCAGTCGGGGCAACTCAACCTGAAATCCCTTTCTTTGCCAAGCATGGTGACACACCTTTAATCCCAACACTCAGAGACTGGAGGTTTTCTTGTGAGTTTGAGGCCAGCCTGGGCGACATAACAAGTTTCAAGCCAGCCAGGACTTCATAGTGAGACTATCTTGAAACAAAACAAAATCACTTCCTTTTGCAGGCCTGGTGTCACACTTATGAGCCTAGGGAGTGGCAGATGAGGCAGGAGGATGGCAAGTGTCTTAATTACTTTTCTATTGTTGTGATGTCATAACCAAGGCACCTTGTAGAAGAAAAAGTTTGTCTGGGGCTTGCACTTTCAGAGTGTGAGCCCATGACTGTCATGGCAGCAGTCAGGCAGGCATGGTGCTGAAGCAGTTGCTGAGAGCTCACATCTGTTCCAAAGGCACAAGACAGGCAGAAAGATTTTGGGAGTGGCTCAGGTTTTTGCCCAGGTGACACACCTCCTCCAACAAGGCCACACCTCCTAATCCTTCCCAAACAGTTCCACCCACTGGGAACCAATTGTTCTGATGTAAGCCTGGGGTGGGGTGGGATCAGATCTCACTGGAAGCACTGCAGCCAGCTTGGGCTACTCAGAGCTACATAGCAAGGCCTGAGCCTCAAACCCAACTGCAGCTGCAGCTCGTGGCCACAGTGCTTGCCTGGGATGTGTAAGGCTCCTGACTAGCACTGAAGAAAAGGATAGGAAACCGCTTCTCTTAGCTCTGCAGCTCTCGCTGGATACCTTACCACTGGGTTCATAATAAAGCAAATGACATTAAGGTATTTGTTTTGTTTTGCCTTTTGGATTTTCAAGACAGGGTTTCTCTGTGTAGCTTTGGAGCCTATCCTGGCACTCGCTCTATAGACCAGGCTGGCCTCGAACTCACAGAGATCTGCCTGCTTCTGCCTCCCAAGTGCTGTGATTAAAGGTGTGCACCACCAACGCCCGACTCAAAATGACATTTTCTTAAATTAGTATTTTTGGTGAAACTTTAAACATTTCAACAAAATGTTACTTAAATTGTGTGTGTGTTTTTTTTTAATCTCATCAGACCCTCAAGGGAGAAAAGCTGCCCCACCTGACATTCCAGAGATCCCAGATAACCACTATTTGGATAAGTGAGTGATGCAATCTGTGTGTGTTGCGTGGTGGGCAGGGAGAGGCCCTGGGCGTACATCTCCTCCCTGGCTCACTGTGACTCTCAGTCTCTGGACTCCACCTCCTGATTCCAAAGCCTGGAAACTGCCCTCAGCCAGTTCACACTGGCTTGGGACAGCCACAGCCACAGCCCCGTCTTTGCCCCACAACAGTTGTCCTGGACATCTTGTCCAGGGGCAGGTCCAATCTGTAAAGGCCTTGCTGTCCTCCCCTCTTTTGTAGCTCGTGCCATCTGCTTGGTGAAGCCCTTTCTCCAGGCATTATGCAAGAACCCTGAGCCCTGCTATCCTTCCCGAGAGGTATAGCCTGTCCTCAGAGCACCAGGCGTTTCAGGACGGAGGCGTCTAGGGAGTCCTGAGTCTAATGCAGAGGGCGTTGAGTGGTCACAGTAGCCAGAGCGTGGCCTTTACCTCTAGCTTTTCTCTTTCATTGTAGTCTGTGCATCTTTTGTGGGGAGAGGAATGAGTCCTTCACAGAAGAGGGCCTGGACCTCCACTACTGGAAACACTGCCTCATGCTGACGAGATGCGACCACTGCAGGCAGGTCAGGTGCTGGGCGTGGGCCATGGCCACTCAGGTGACCACTGCAGGCAGGGCAGGTGCCGAGCACTCGAACATCCAGGCTTTGAGAAAAAGACCAAAGCGTGGGTAGCCCAGGTCTTTGAAGCTTCAGAAGGAAAGTCATGAGGAGAGCAGAGAAGTCCATGCTGTGTCCCACCCAGAGTGACGGCTCTGTTAACCACAGTTTCACCACCCACAACTCAAGTTATCCCCATCCCACTCTGATGGCATTTACAGCAGTTGTTGCTGGGACTTTGTGTAAGCGGGGTCCTGCAGCATGGGCCCAGCTCTCCTGTGTTGGATCACCTGCTGCCATGTCTGTGCTTTGCAAAGACCATAATTGATTCAAACCCTTTACTGTTTCAGTTTGGGACTGCTGGGAATAGCTTTACTACTGACAGTCTTGTGTTGCAATACTCCTGGGAAACATAAAGAAACATCTATTGTTCCCAGCTAAAACACTAATTGGGATCCTCTAAGTCCAGCTTAGCAGTTACTAGCTGCTTATGGCTGACTCTCGAGCAGCTTCATCACTGAAAAGTGTTCCCTCTCCCCCTAACCATCACAGTCAAATCCCACTCACTGTCTGCTGTGCTAGACCACAAGACCGTGTGTGGTGGGGTAGGACCAGGGATGGTGAGTGGAGCCTTGGGATGGTGACAGCCCCGTGACTGTCACCCAGACCTATTGATCATAAGGCTCATTTCTTGTTACATTGCTATAGCTGTGGGGTAGGGTACTCGTCGGTCACCATAGTCTCTGCCCCTTGAGGCCAACAGTTACATTGAGCCCAGAGGACATAGCTACACTACAGCACCACATCCTCCTCCAGTGCGTGACTTTTTTCTGCCCTCTACTGCTGTGTCCCCTGAGCCTTGGGGGGTAATGTAGATTCGTTCCTTCACTGTGTAATTGAGCAGTTACCATACCCTTAGGGGGAAACTGAAACCAGAGGTTTACACCAACACTACATAAGCAAAGAAACTATTCACACTCCGTAGACACAGGCCAGGACACAGGGCACTGGGCTTCGTGCTGGGCTGAGTGAATTAGTGGCTGGCTCATAGACATGGTCTGCAGTGCTGGTTCCGTGAATTGTCTCTTCCGGGCAGTTGAACTTCTCTCCTTTGTCAGCAGACTCTGAGACAAGGTTGTAGAATGAAGACAGTAGTTTCCACTTAACCAAGGCTCAAAGAAATTAAAGTTAAGTGAGGAGCCATTTTTGAGTTGAGAGCCATAGTAAATTTGTCCTTCTACATGCCACAGTAGCAGACATGGATCCTGAGTACTTAGGCCCTTTGGGGCTCTCTGAAGTAACTGACGCTTGTAACAAAAGGATCCACACTTGCCGGGCAGTGGTGGCACACGCCTTTAATCCCAGCACTCGGGAGGCAGAGGCAGGCGGATCTTTGTGAGTTCGAGGCCAGGCTGGACCGACAGCCTTCAAAACAATACAGAGAAACCCTGTCTCGTAAAAACCAAAAAAAAAAAAAAAAAAAAAGGATCCACACTTGACCATAGCTCACAGTAACAGTAATCTAGAGACAGAAACACAAATGTTCAGAAAACAATATGGCAGACATACAATTTGAGAAAAGAGGCCCATGATCCCAGTTCACCTGAGTTCTCTGCTGTAGAGCGAGCCTTCACCCTGTCAGAAAACAGCCGGTTGTGCCATAGAACTCGTGCTGCTGTTGCACTGGCAGGGCCTGGCACGTTGTAGCGTAGCAGGCAGAGCTCATGCTGTGCAGAACTGCTGGTGAGAGTCCTCCCCGGTAGCCTGCATAGCACTTTCTGGCACTACTAAAGCCAGCCAGTGGGAGGGGCCTAGCAGAATCCCTCCATGTCTTTCTACTACAGCATGCGGTGTCATTAGCAGTAGGGGCTTAGCACATGCTTCTGGCATGCAGGTAGCAATATGTGTGGTGTGGGTGGACAACAACAGATTGTGGGAGGTAGCCCACTCCGAACACTGAGGTTTTCCTCCGGTAGCCTTGTGGTTCCTGAGGTGGGATGCCTTCTGCTTTTAAACCCTTTACCTGCTTGTTTGGCTGCTATTAGAATGCTTTTCAAGGCCTGTTAGGATATAATGAGACCTTTTCACAGAGCAGGCAGGTCTCAGAAGGCCTCTTGGAAAGAAGCTGGGGTGGTTTCCACCCATGAGCTTTCATTCCTGCACAGCAATGGGCAGAGGCTCGGCAGCCCCTCCTTGCCCTCCATCCTGCAGGGCTCGTGGGCATTGTCTGGTCCTCCATCTCCAGCAAGTAGCCAGGAGATGTGCACCCTGTGTGCTGCCTGAAGACGTGTACTATATGCCCTGATGGATGCCATTTTCAGGACCTCCTGTAAAGAGGCCTGCCGTCAGTACCACAGGACAGGCATATTGAGACGGCCCTGCAGATGTTCCGCTATTAGATAGCTCAGCCTCAGTTGCAGACGCCCCTTATTACCCATAACAGGCAACGTAGCTGCTTCTCCAAGACTCTTAGCTCCATCAGGACTGCAGTCAGGCTCTGATTTGCTGTGTGGATTTTCCTGGGGGAGATGTACAGGACATCTGTTCACCCCCGACAGGACACCAACAAAACAGAGACAGTTCTACCCAGCATGGTGAGCCAGTGCATTTCCTGGGGCTACTCACGGCTCCTCAGGGTACAGCTCACCAAAGCAGTACCAGTGGAGTGTCGTCCTCAGTTAACTTCCACTTCCTGCGCACTACTGTGGGGCTTCTCAGGGTGACACGCAGCTGAGGGACAGGTCAAGCATGGTGGAGTCTCAGGAGATGACTGCAGCTTCCTCCGTTACCATGGATCAGACTATCAGTGTATTGTTCTGCATGATTTCATTGCCATAACCATGGGTGATTGTGGTGATATATTATTTATGGTTTATTAAAGCTTGCCTGAGGATTCAGAAAGCAAAGTCAGCCTCAAGCCATAGAGATCAGGCAGTGGTGATACACACCCTTAATCCCAGCAGCCAGAAGCTAGGAGTGGTGGTACACACCTTCCATCCTAGGACTCAGGGTTAAGAGGTAGACAGATCTCTATGAGTCTAAAACCACCCAGATCTACACAAAATTGATCCAATCCTAAAGAGAAACAACTCACACAAAGATGATCTCAGCACCTGGGATCACACGCCTTTAATCCCAGCATTAGGGAGGTAAATAAGACAGGAGCAAGGTCTCAGTATCGGGCATTCATTCTCGAGCCCCATGGAGTATAGGAAGACATTTAGTCTCAGGATTCCCAGCCATGCTGAGGAGAGGCAGCAGGATCAGCTCATTGAGCTTAAAGTTTGAACCCCAATATCTGTCTGAGTTTTTTATTTGTTGTGTAACACATTTGGGATCAGCACAGCTATCTGTGCTCAGTAATGGCCATGATTGAGTTAATCATGGAATATCAATAGAACCACAGCACTGGGCCACGTGTCTAGCCTGGTCCTCTTGGACAGGCTTTTTTCTACTAAACTAGTACCCAGAGGTGCTACAGAGTCCTGGCCACCTTAGAGCTCACAGCAATGAGAGAGAACACCTCTGTTCTGACATGCTACGTACTGCCTGTCCGCTGGCCATTGGCCATCTTTGCTAGGCCTTCCTGTTGTCAACTTCTACATCTGGATATAGCCATCTGTCCATCAGAGGCAATGGGCCCGTCGTCTCTCATTCTGGGCCATGTCTCTGTCTTTTCCTTGTCTCCACATATCTTTTGAATGGAAGTCTATACTCAGACTTTCTTTTGGACCACCAGCTCACAAATAACGACACAGAGACTTAGTATCAATTATGAAAGCTTGGCCATTAGCCTATTGTACTAGCTCATAACTTAAACTAGCCTATGTTTTTATTAATCTACATTCTACTACGTGGCTTTTACTACTCTCACAGTCTGTGTGTCCAACTCGTTCCACATCTCATTGGTGTCTCCTGCACACCTTACTTGTCTCCTCTTCCTACCTCTACTTGGAAGTCCCGCCTATACCTGCTCCCTAGCTATTGGCTGTTAAGTTTTTATTACACCAACCACAGCAGCACACCTCTACACAGTGTGCAAATGTCCCACAACAGAAGTTTTCAATTTGGGGCTGTCCCCCTACCAGTCTTCCCTGGGGTTCATGCCCTGGTCTGCTTCTCTCCTGCTCTGGACCTCTCTTCAAGCATGGATGGCAGGATGGGGAGTGTTCTGTCTCCTCTACCTGACAGCACGGATTCTGAAAGCCCCAAGCAGCTGCCCTCTTCAACGGTGTGGGTGCCGCTGCTGTGTGGAAGGCGTTCTGACCATAGATGGGTGGGAGAACTCTCTTTTTTATGCACATTCTTAGAAATACTGGGGATTCAGCCGGGCGTTGGTGGCGCACGCCTTTAATCCCAGCACTCAGGAGGCAGAGGCAGGCGGATCTCTGTGAGTTCGAGACCAGCGTGGTCTACAGAGCGAGTTCCAGGACAGCCTCCAAAGCCACAGAGAAACCCTGTCTCGAAAAACCAAAAAAAAAAAAAAAAAAAAAAAAATACTGGGGATTCAGAATTTGAACCCAGAGCCACATCGGAGGACACTCAAATCAACTGCCATGGCCTTTACATGGCATTAAGGTGACAGGAGAAGGACACAGGGTCTCTACAAAGTATGTGACTACAGACGCTTAGGCTAAATACCAAAGGACCCAGAACAGCTGTGCTGTCCACTGTGGGGTCCACAGAAGTCACACTGCCCTTCTCTCGGGTACAGGTGGTTGAGATCTCCAGCCTGACGGAACACCTGCTGACAGAATGTGACAAGAGGGACGGGTTTGGGAAGTGCCATCGCTGCAGCGAAGCTGTTCCCAAGGAGGAGCTTCCCAGGCACATCAAAACCAAGGAGTGCACCCGTGAGTGTCATCTGGCCACCAGTGTCCTCCCAGGGAATGGTCCAGCTGCTGTTGGGAGTCAGGCTTGGGTGTTGAGGGATTAGATGTGCCCTTCCTCTCCCTGAGGGTTCGTCCAAGTAACCAAGTCTTCTTTATTGAAATCATTTCAGCTGCCAAATCGGAGAAGGTGGCAAACCGATGTCCTCTGTGTCATGAGAACTTTGCCCCTGGAGAAGAGGTGAGGGGGCCTGAACTGAGATGGGAGTGGCAGGGAAGCGTCGAGCATGCTCTTGGGATGAAGGCTGTCAGTCAGTGCCCTCCTGGCCTCCTGACAGCAGTCTCAGACACTGGGCAGCCAGCACCCATGCTTTCACACTTCCTGGTCGTGGCTTTCATGTGTGGTTCCTGGCATCACGCTCGGGTCTGTAGCCCCTAACCGTTGGGAGTAACAAAATGTGCCCCGTAATGGTTGATAGTTCTCTTCCTACTCAGTGCCATGCTCTCCTCCTGTCCTGAGTAAGTAGCACGGTGACCCCGTCAGCTTTTTGGCATGTACTTAGCCTCTGGCATTGGGGTGTGCGTGCAGGGGCTGCAGTCTCCGTGAGTCTGCCTCCTATCTGGCTGTCTGCACAGTACAGTGGGGATGCCCTCCATGCCAGGCAGCTCTGCTCTGTCCCAGGAGATGCTCTAGAGTACAGTATTCTTCCTGTCACCTTTCTTCATCACCAGTGTTGTGTGACAAAACTTTTCCTGGGGAGACACAACACACATCTCTTCACACCAGAGAAGGATCTCGTTACAGTACAGATACTACCAAGTCCAACTGTGAGGCCTGAGTTATACTGGGATAACTTAGGAGGAATGTAAGTGAGGGGTGAGTTATAGGAGAAGACTGTTGCATCACCAAAGCCCTCCCCAGCATGAGTGACGGTTCACTGAAGCTGGGAACCTGGGGCACACTGCACAGCCTGCAGGCAGAGTTGGAGAGTGTCCTTTCCAAGTGACTCTGGTCTAAACCTTTCCACAGCAGCTCAGCTGGTCTCTGCTTCACCCAGGCAGCTAGACTGGTCTTGGGGTCTTCCTTGTAGCTTGGCTTGCATACTCTGGCAGGGCGGGGCCTAGTGAAATTGGTCAGTTTCAGGGACTTCCTGAAGCTATTTTGCATGTTTACCTTCCTGCTTAAGAGGTTTTCCCACAGCATAAAATTTTTCAGTCTTGAAGGGAACTGTTATGCAACTATCTTTCAGGATGACAGGCCAGCTCACTAGTCTCTAGGTGGCCGCTTATCTGCTTTTAGTGACTTGCTAAACTCACAGATGAGAATAGACAGAGCCATGGCCATCCCTGCCCTTGTGGGTGATCACTTTTGGACAAGTGTCCCTTCACCTGGTCCCTTGAGGCTTTGGAGCTGACTCATGACCTTAGGTAGTATCTTCCTATCTGGAAGGTTCTGCCCAGACCAGGAATCAGCTGTCCCGCTAAGGTGTGTGGTCCTTTCAGCTCGCCATGGTGCTCAGCACAGGGAGACTCAACACAGCCAAGCCACAGTGGACAGAGCTGGGACACTGACATGTCACAGCCCTGTCGGTGCACACTGCCGTCTCCCGTGCACACCCAAGCCACTGCACCTTCCTCACCTTGCCCTTCTGGAATCCCAGGATGCTCTCCCCACAGTTCTGAGCGTCGGTGGGCCATTCCCTTCTACTATTAGTGACCTAGGACAGCCTGACAACGCTGGTGTCCGTGGGCCATTCCCTCCCACTATTATCTGGTACCCAGGGACTGACCAGAGCATGGCTCCCCCAGTCTGGATGCCCACTGAAGACCTGCTTGGATGCACTGTTTTCATTTCACAGGTGTAGGGGCTTGAGTTTTATAGATGGCTTCCCCAAGACTGTAAATGAGGCTTGTTCTAAGGGCTGTGTCTGGGCTGAGGCTGCTGTCCTTGTCCCCTCCTTACAGTGTGCACACTTGTACATCCACAGACTCTGCAACCCACTGCCCATTCGTAATTAGGAACCTTCATTTTTTAAAATCCTATTCACTGCCTTTACTGACCCAGTTTTCTCTCTCCTCCCCTCACTCTGTGGTCTCTGCCTTGAACAGTGCTGATGCAGACAGCAGCTTCCTTCCTTCCTTCTCCCCTCCATGCTCACCATCTGCCATGCACTGAGACCCTCTCCATGTCAGCGGCTCTCTGTGTCAGCGGCTGTTTGCTGTTTACTCGCTTCCCCTGTTCTGGCTGTCTGTGCCATACAGCACACACCCTGCTTAGCCCTGTATGGCAACATCCATTTGCCACCTCATGGTTCCCCTGAGGCAGGCCAGGCCTCCACTGACTTCCATTCGTTATCTCCGGGATCCTGTGGAGTTGCTAGCTAACTGCGTGTTCCCCTGCAGCTCATCCCAGGAAGGGCCCACTGCCTTGTGCCTCCTAGCAACTGGCAGAAATAAGTCCTCGTGGCCACAAGACTCAGGTTCCAGTCATCCAGGGCAGAATGTGAAATGCCATTTAGCCTGTAAGACTCAGGTGCTGAGGCCAAGAAGGGCAGGGAGCCAAGCCTCTCGCTGTTAGCACCCCATCCCGTTATGAACAAAGAGTAATCTACTTTGGCAGCACCCCAGGTCCCTTTGGAGCCACCAGGCTAACGTGCTGTGCCTCCTCTGTGTTGCAGGCGTGGAAGGCTCATCTGATGGGCCCTACCGGCTGCACAATGAACCTGCGAAAGACACACATTCTCTCCAAGGCCACAGCCCCGCAGCAAGGTGAGGTATAAGCCACGTGTGGGGCTCCTGTGCTCTGCTGCAGCTTAGGTGAAAAGCATCCTGAGTTTCTGTCAGTGTGAAGAGGCTATGACTGCTTCTCACGCAGGCCGCCTGGCAGCTCACTGGGGGCCGGTACAGCTCACCACAGCTGCCTTGTCGCTTCCTGTGTAACACGGGTCCATGACCTCTTGTCAGGGTCGTTGAACTGATGGCCTTCTGTGCCCTGCATCCTTTTCTTCCTCTCCTGCTGCCATGCGTATCTCTGTGTCGGTGTGGTTCTCCCAGCCGTGCTCACTATCACTGGGGGTCTGCAGCCCACCTGTGGATAAGAGTTCCTCTTTTCACGTGGCTCTGTGCATCTGTCTCCACTGCAGGGAAGGGCCCAGCAGCATCGAAGTCAGGCACCTTAGGACCCAAGGTTGGAAGCAAGATCCCCACCCCAAAGGGAGGCCTGAGTAAGAGCTCCAGCAGAACGTACACGAGGCGCTGACAGTTGCCACTTCTGCCTCTGCCAAGGGCTGTGCAAGTTTCCCATTCTAAGCCATGTGTGTTGACATAGTGATGCAGGGTTCAGTACCTGCTGTCCCTTGGCTCTTGTGTCACCGTGTCTACTCTCACAGGAACAGAGTGTATGGATATGACCAAAGAACCCTTCCCGGGCTAGGCCACACAGTGCTGGGCCCTTTGTGCTCAGGCACAGAAGTACCTCTCACTCAGGAAGCCAGCAAGTGCAGTGCCCACTTTCCTTACTACTGAGATGTACCCCAGACTTGGAGCTCACTGGTGGCTGTTGCACATGGTGGACTTTGCACGGGGCTGAGCTCAGCTTTGGTGGCTCTGGAAGACAGCAGCAGCCAGGCTGAACCTGCTGTGCTGACTCTCACTGACCCGTCTGCTAGGGTGTCGCACCGTAGACAGCGGCGAGCAATAAAGGAAGCAAGCACAAGACGGCCACTCTAAGAACAGGTCCCTCCCTCCGACACACACTGTGCCCCGTGCTCCTCGTGCACACTGTCCGCGTCTCCACTGGCAGCCCTGCCTTGATGTCTTCCCTCTGCTGCCCAGTCCTAAGTGGATTTTGGACGATGTCCCCCTTGGTTACCATATTCTCACCTGACTGTAGCCCACCTGCAAGCCTGTTTGCGGTATGGCACAAATGAGCACCTCCCATGTTTGCCTAACCCACAAAGACAAGTCCCGCACCTTGCTGGCCCAGAGCCTCCAGATCAGGTGTGTGACATCCTGTGATGTAAGTGACCCCACTTTCCCAAAGCATTCCTAGTGTGTCACTCTCAAGTGCTTCACTGAACTGACTCAGACCTCAGGAGACAGCTGTCAGCATCCTCAACCCGCCTTCCTCCCAGGAGCTCCGCTCAGACACCCATCTTTGGGAAGGACGAGTCCATCTGAAACTCCTGTCACTGCCGTCACCATGGGCTGAAGGGCGGCCCACTGAGGCCCTGCCTGCTTTCTAAGGTTTCCTCGTGCCCCCTTGAAATGTCTAAGATTGAGATAATGAGTGTTATAAAATTAGGGCATATTTCTTTAAAATTCCCAACCATGTAAAATGAAATCCATAAAGATACAGGTGCCTGAGCAGCGAGCATGCTGGGTGGTGAATCCCATGAACTCACCCCTGCTTTTGGCAAACAGCTCCTACTATGCTTGGCTCAGTGTCAAGTGAACGGGATCTGTTGAGAGGAAGACCCTGACCGAGGCTTTAGTGTGGAGAGAGCACGAAATGACTGAGAAGGCCAAGACGGGTACCAGAGGATGACAAGGTGGTCTTCCGGGTCAGATGCGGCCGCTGTCTTCCAGCCCATCCCCAAGTACGGATGACAATGGGAAGTTAACCTCAGAACTTAAGAAATAGATACATGTAACGCTTCCTATCTATTGGAACTTAAGATATTTGTAAAATTCCTCCCTCCTTAGCCTGGCGTGGGGGCTCACACCTGTACTCCTGGCACTTGGGAGGCCGGAGTCAGAAGCTCACCACAAGTTCAAGGGGAGCCTGGGCTCCAGAGTGAGGCTCTGACTCGAAACTAAACAGAAGAAAGAGGAACCCTTCGTTTTTAGCCACCATGTTTGCCTGTTACGGAATCATGAGTCTCTGCGTAGGTGGCGGCGGCGTTGCAGCCACGAAGCTCCACACCACTGTGCTTGACTTAGGGGAGGAGCTAAGAGTCCCCACCATTCATAACATCAAGACGTGGGGCACTCCTCAAGCTTCACATATGACACTCCGTGGGTATTTAATATTTATTTATATTTTTCATAAAAGATACTCTATTAAATCTAATTTAAAATAATTGTGTCATATCTGATACTAGAATACATTGTAAATATCTTTAATGAAAATTTGCAACTTTTTAATGTTTTAACTAGTTTTTCTATTTGTCTTTATTTCAGGTGCCAGAAGTATAAAATAATATATTTTTATTGTTATTGTTTTAGGTTTATGTGCTAACTTGCCTTGTGTATATTAATACAGTAAAAAGATCATCCATTGTTTTGTCACTTTTATTTTAAGATTTTATATACATATTTCATTTGTTTTTTATTGTGTTTACTCCTTTTTATGTGTGAGTATTTTGCCTACATGTATGTTTGTGCACCGTATATGTGCCAGTTGCCTATGGAGGTCAGAAAAGGATCAGGAGTTAGGGTTATGAGCCACTGTGTGAGTCCTGGGAATTGAACACAGGTCTACTCCAAATGCTCTTAACCACTGAGCCATCTCCACCTAGTTTTGTTTTTGAGTTAGGGTCTCACTGTGCAGTCCTGGATGATTTAAAACTCATGGTGTAGACCAGGCTGACCTTGAACTCAGAGGTCACACAGCTCTGCCTCCCAAGTGTTGGCATTAAAGGCTTGCGCCACTATGCCCAGCTCAAAGTTGTGACCGAGAGTTGGCTCAGTCCTCAATGCTTGCTGAGGAGAGAGGCTTAGGACAGCTGGGTCTCTAAAACACAGTTGAAAATGAGTTTACTATCAACATGCAGAACAGAAAATTCACTCTGTGGGACGACTTAACATAGTCCTGGGGTTTCTCCAGCTGCTGGGGAAGGGATGCACTTCACAGTCCTGTCAGAATGAGTTATTTCCTGCCAAGAAATGGAAGGATGCTAAGCTGCGGGGAGAACGGAATTCACCCTGTAGAATACGACCTCTCAAGGACAGGTCTAACATTACATTCGCTGTGTCCCAGCTGCTTTCTGCAGATGAGCAGTGACTCAGAGCTGCCACAAACTCATTTTGCAGGCCTGGAATACCAACAAACAAACCTAAAGAGTCATTTTAAGTGGGTGCTTTTTTTTTTTAAGATGGTCTCATTGTAGCCAACGCTAACCTCAGACTCACAATGTAGCTGGGGATAACCTTGACCTTCTGATCCTCCTGCCTCTCCTTCTCCATGCTGGCATTACAAGCCTGTGCTACCATCCACCACAGCAAGGGTTACCAGCTGCACATTTTGAGAGCCCAGTGGTGGGCAACACCCTTGCCTATTTTGAATGAGGCTCCTGGGCCCTTTCCATGAGTTCATGAGAGCCGCCTCTATGGTCAGACTGGCAAAAGGGCCATGGTCTGCAAGGGTGGGGCTCTCCCAGGCCACTGAGAAGGTCTAGGATCAGCCTGACCTGGCATTGGGAAAAGAGGCTATGGCGGCTTGAATGAAAATGGTCCCCATGGATTCACACAGGGAGTGGCATTATTGGAAGTGTGGCCTTGTTGGAGGAAGTGTGTCACTGGGAGTTGGGCTTTGGAGTTTCAGAAGCTCAAGCCTGGCCCAGTTTTATTCTCTCTTCCTGCTGCCTGCAGATCTGGATGTAGAACCCTCAGATACTCCCAACACCACGTCTGCCTGCATGCCACTGTGCTTCCTGCCATGACAACAATGGACTAGACCCGAACCTGTAAGCCACGCCCAATTAAATGTTTTCCTTTACAAGAGCTTCCATGGTCATGTGTCTCTTCACAGCAACAGAAACAAGAAGCTAGCACCAGGAACTACAGTATTTCTGTGAAAGGCTTGACCACAGTTCTGGTTGGCAGAATGCTGTTTTATCTTTTGTGCCTCAGTCTACTGCTATTTCAGCCAGCAACTGTGACTCCACAGCTGCCTGCCCACTTCTCTGCCAGCAGCCCAGCTGCTCAGGCTGCAGCCTGATGGGAATTCTGTTCCCACAGGCACCAGCTCTGTTGGTGCTGTTAAAGGTAGCTTTAACTAAATCTCCATTGTTCTATTTATAAATAAGACTTGAGATTCAGAGGCTGGGGTGAAAACCTGGTAACTCAGGGAAGTTGCATAGCAACTAGCTAATCTCCTCTCCTTCTCTCCTTGTTGGCTTCTCCAAAAAAAAAAAAAAAAAAAAAAAAGCAAAGCCACTCAAAATCCCTCCCCACCACTTCCTGTGTCTGTCTATCTCTTCCAGAAGCCATCTGATGCTTTATGATTACTTTCTGTCAACTGGTTGCTGTCCCGCGCTACCGTCTCGCCAGCAAGAACGACGCAGGACACTCGGGTCCTTCTGCAGTAAAGCTTTAATACATCTTGAGAGATAGATGATCAGCTTCTGAAAGGGAGACCCCAAGCTAAGAAACCCAGCCCCTTATATAAGCCTAGGAGCTCCGAGTGAGACGTGTAGAGCCGGGATTGGTGGTTTGCTCATCACCCCAGATGACGGGTGAGGCACAGCTTAAACGGTAAACTCCAACTGACAGCAGATGTCAGCGCCATCTTCTAATGGCGATAGCGATAGCGAGGGCGGCTCCTCACAAGTTGCTAACTCAGCTCCTGACCCAAGGTTAATTTTATTAATACAAATGCTAGCTCAGGGTTCACAGTGTCATTGAATGTCCCCTGACATTTCCCCCTTTTTGTCTAAATAAAAAGGAAAGGTTTTAACTCTAACACAGTAAAACTATATACAATAAGAACAATTATCAAGTAAGGGTTACATTCAAAATGTACAATCCATTTGCATTTGGCAAATTCAGCAAAAGTATTTAATTATCCTATCTTGGTGAGTCCAAAGTTTTGTACCTAATTAGCTTTCTGTCCTAACTTGTTTTACCAACCCAAAACTATCTTTTTTAGACCTCCAAAATATTTTCTTAGATAAACAATTAAGACTTTATGTCGTTCAACCATATACACTTTATACCTCTTGTAAGTTTTTTTCTGAATTTGGTAACAAAGAAAACTGTAACTATAACTGTCTCATCTTCAACCCCATCACAGAACCTAGAAGGATATAATATTACCTGAGTAAGCAGGACATGCAGAAAAAAAACATTTTTCAAACTATAGAAATGACAGAGACACCTGGCTTCTTGGTTGGTCACCCAAGGTTCCTCTGCAACCCTGGAGCATCCATCTTCAGCGTATGGACCTAGAATATCTGACCAACTTTTCTGTGAAGCAGGAATTTTGAAGGTCTTTTCTATCTTGTCTTCCAAAAGTTCAGCAGTTGCCTTTAGTGGTGGGAATGCTTACCCAATTTGAACAGTATACTGTCAGCAGTTGAGGCAAGGGCAGTTTCTTGCACAGTGGCTAACTTTGCCACAACGAAAGTAAACTCCATATGGAGGTTCTTCAATGCCCATCAGCCTTTTTTGAAGTAAACTGGTGCTGCCAGGAGCAGACATGTCTCACTGCCATGAAAAGCCTTGTCATGAAAACATCTTAAATGCCATATTCTGTAGGCTGAAGTGTTTGAAGACCACCTATCCATGTAAACTATATCTCTAACCTTTAAGATATACTTAACATGATTACAAGTTTAATCATTATAGATGACTAAATACTAACCTATATTTCATAATTATACATTACATTTTTAAATGAGCTACATAGGCACAATAGCTTTAACTAGAGTAGAAATATATACGGTATAACAAAATAACCTTGAATTTGCATCTATATAAAAATACCTTAAACAAAAGTAGAAAAATTACATAGTGAGTATATTCTAACAAAAATAGCCTTAAATTTGTATCAGAATACAAAAATCCATACCAATGTAAAATATTTGAGATTAATAGTTGCATTTTAGTTTAAAGTAGATTCAGTAATCTAACCATCCTATCCTTTTCATATCCCCCTTTTTCTTTTCAGAAACAGATCCTTGAATTCAACCTCCCTTGCTTAGTTTCCTCCCATGGCATGACCAGTAACAATTTGTGACCAGCACCCCCCAAATGATGACAAACATACATAACCCACTGAATGATCAAAAAAAAACTACCCACCCCACCTCTTGGGACTGTGGATGTCATGTTCTTAAAATTATTTCCTGTTGTCTGTGGGTGACAGCATCTTTAGAGGACCCTGGAAAATTGAGATGATGGTCAAGTCCTAGGAAAGCTAGCTGTATCATTTGTTGTCAGTCTCTGTGTAATGGGAAAGTGTGGGGCTTATTTGAAGTCCTGGCTGGGGCAGTCTGTGAGGCTGGATCTGATGGGGGATATCCTTCTGTATGCGATGAATATATGTTTCTCTTATTGGTTGGTGAATAAATGCTGATTGTCCAGTAGCCAGGCAGGAAGTATAGGCGGTGCTACCAGACTAGGAATGCTGGGGAGAGGAAAACAGAGAGGAACTTTTGGAGACTTCAAAGGTCACTGTTAAGAATGGTCAGGGTTGGGGCTGGAGAGATGGCTCAGAGGTTAAGAGCACTGACTGCTCTTCCAGAGGTCTTGAGTTCAATTCCCAGCAACCACATGGTGGCTCACAACCATCTACAATTCAATCTGGTGTATATGTAATAAATAAATAAATCTAAAAAAAAAAGAATGGTCAGGGTTCACGGCAGAAAACTCAAACATTTTAAATGTCGTGTGAAGCAGATCTCACATAGGTTAAAAGACCACAATCTATTAAGTATATCCAAGGTACATAAATCTAATTCCTAGTTACCTGCTTCAGACTCAAGCCCAAAATTACATACAGGAAGCTAGGTGAAACCTATTTCTAGAATTAGTTAGTACTCTATATGAGCATTAATATCACGACAGAAAATTTACAGATAGACAGACAGACAGAAATCTTAGGAATTTAGAGATAGTATTTATATCTTAAGAAAAGTTTTAAAGAGGGGCTGGAGAGATGGCTCAGAGGTTAAGAGCACTGCCTGCTCTTCCAGAGGACCTGAGTTCAATTCCCAGCAACCACATGGTGGCTTACAACCATACGTAATGCCCTCTTCTGGTGTCCAAGCATAGAACACTATATACATACATAATAAAATTTTTTTAAATCCTTTAAAAAAAGTTTTAAAGAGTCAAAATAAAACCAAAGGATTATGAGATTAGTGACAATAGAATAGTCCCTTAATTTGGATTTTCTTCTGTCCCATATTGGGGGGCTTTTCTAACATGAGACAGAGATTTTGAACTTTCCTTTAACAAATATGCTTGGGTTTAGAGAAGGAGAGAGCTACGCTCCAACTCTAAAGCCAGGTTTAATTTTTTCAATGGAATCAGAACCACGGAAAAAACCATTTGCCTCTTATGTTTGTAGAGAGCAGCAGAAACAAATATTTGGACAGGTTTATGAAATTTCATCCTGTTGGAAGTGTGCTACATCATTAGGCTAAATTTACTCTTTTTCTTGAGACAGTTCTCTCTGGATGATTCATCTTTCTTCTTCAGATGTCTCATTTGTCCAGTCGTCTTCAGACTCCTTGGTTGGCTGCTTTCATTCTCCTGAGTAGACAAAAACCCTGCCCCAACCCTAACTTTGGGGAGTTCTTTTTTTGTCAGGCTATATCTTTTTTAAGACAAACTGGTTTTTGGCGACAGAACATGTAGTATCTTTTAATAAAACAATTATTTTATTTTATTTTCATGCCTGATCAAATGAAAGGAATTTGTTAGTTTCAGAAGTTAGTTTGGGTTGAAAGACTGGCACCTCTTCTAATCAAGGGGTCCCTCCTGTTCAAATCTAATCTTTATCAATTTTGATGGTATCCATAGCTTTTCTTCTTATGTGGAAACAAAAGCAAACCCTCTTCCCCAATGTAACAAATACCCTGGTTTCCATTCTGAGGTCAACACATCCTTAAAGTATACATTTAATTCAGCAAGGTTTTTTTTTCTGTTATCCAACGTCTCTTCACAACTGTTGTTCCTTTTTCACGAGCATTTCAAAATTTTAGAGCATTGTATAATCTACCTGTGAGGGTTTTTAAATTACCCCTTTTTGTTTATTAAGTATATATTTTAAAGTGCAATTAGATCTTCCTATACCTGCTTGTCCTGTAGAGTTGTGTAGACAATGATGAGCAGTTGGATGCTGTACTGGTTGGATTTATGCGACTTCACACACACTAGAGTAGGAAAAAGCCTCCGTTGAGAAAATGCCTCCAGCAGTAAGGCATTGCCTCAATTAGTGATTGATGGGGGAGGGCCCAGCCCGTTGTACATGGGACCATCCTGGGCTGATGGTCCTGGGTTCTATAAGAAAGCAGGTTGAGCCAGCCATGGGAAGCAAGCAGTACACACGCTTCCAAGGCCTCTGCATCAGCTCCTGCCTTGGTTCCTGCCCTGAGTTCCTTCAGTGATGAGCAGTGCCGTTGAAGTGTAAACCGAATAAACCCTTTCCTCCCCAACTTGCTTTTCCGTTGTGGTGTTCATCACAGCAATAACAACCCCAGCTAGGACCGACATATAGGTCAGGAGCACAGCATTCGCCTGTCACATACAGGGCTCTGACCCAGAGAGGATGGGAGAGGGCTCTGAACCTTGTGTCTTTAAGGGAGGGGACTTGCTGGAGGCCAGCATAGCACAGGCATTCGAAGCTTCCTCTTGTGCCAACCTGAAGTCTGCGTCTTCGAGGCCTGAGGACCACCAAAGTAACAATACCCTGGGCCAGTGAGAGAGAGAGGGGGTACAAAAGGCCTGCCTATACCCTTAGTAAATGAGTCTGCTTTAACTAGTCACCTGACTCCCGGAGTCTGCGCTGTTGATTCCGTCCCTTCTCATCCCTCAACCCTCCCACCCCAGGAGGCTACCCGCTTGGACCCTTCCCCTGCAACAGGGACTCTTACACAAGTAAAGGAGCAAGCACCACACCGTCCTCCAGTCCAGTCTAAAACCTACAGGTGGAAACAACTGCTTCTGAAATACAACCGTACTTCCCAGTGCCACCTGGGCACGTCAGCACAAGGCTTCACCTTAGAGTCCTGCTGTGCTGAGGTCTGGTACAGGTGTTACCAGGCTCAGACCAGTGAATCACGCAGGAGGTCCATTAAAAAATTAAAGCTGGCTTTAGAGTCTCCACCACCAGACTGAGGCTGAGTCAGCCGCCGTCCATCTGTCTGCTTCCTTCTTTCCTGCTTTTTTTTTTTTTAAGGTCCTTGGTGGTGTGTCAGGCCTTCCTTCTCGAACGGGTCCCAATTGACATGACTGAAGCCATCCTGAGTCATTACAATCACCACGTCAGCCCCACACCCCGCATTCACCCCTGGCTGTGTGTCTTCCTGCACAGTTCCCTAGCAAACCACCGACAAGATCATTAATCACACTCAAGGCTCCACGGACGTGCCTGACCCCTCCATATTAGGATAAACCAAGTGCGTTCCAGCCACAAAGCAGTTGAGTTTTGTTCTAGACCATTATGTCTGACCACTAGGCCTCAACCCTGGCGCATTAATAAGTACCTGTGGCAATTGGATGGCGCCCCCTTGAAGCAGATATGACTTCAACTTCTTGGACCACCTTGCAGGACCAGAACAGCGATAAAGACGACTTAGGCCATCCCACCAGTACTGGGCATTGAAGCTTGGACTGGCGTATGTCTCTACCAATTGGGCTACCTCTTGTTGCCTGTCCCAATTCCTTTCTCTGCGTCAGTACCCTGACGACGGAACCCTTTATCTTTTCCTCATCGCAGTATGCCATGCTGATTAAATCTTTATTCTCATTGCCTGTCTCTTTCGTTATTTATTTATTTATTTATTTTTGGTTTTTCGAGACAGGGTTTCTCTGTGTAGCTTTGGAGCATATCCTGGCACTCGCTCTGTAGACCAGGCTGGCCTCGAACTCACAGAGATCCGCGTGCCTCTACCTCCCGAGTGCTGGGATTAAAGGCGTGCGCCACCAACGCCAGGCTTCTTTCGGTCTTATGTCGCCCAGACAGGCTGACCTCGAACTTGCTGCATACAGAGCCGAGGGTGGCCTCAAACTCCTAATCCTCCGGCCTCCACCTGCCGAGTGCCGGGATGACGGGTGTGCACCGCCACTCACCGTGGGGATCATCAAGCCCGGAGGGGATGGGGGGCTTCATGCTCGCCCTACCAGCACCACCACGCCCATAGCCGGTTATCTGGGCGATGGGAATTAGGATTCCCGCGGCACCCGACAGACAAGTTCTCTAAGAGTGAGCGGCCCCGCCCACCCATCCCACAGACCCCGCCCATCCATCCCACAGACCCCGCCCCATCCCAAGACCCCGCCCCCTGACTCCCCGACTTACAGGTGAGCTCTCAGCGGTCCCTTCCGGCTCCCGCAGGAAGTAGGGTTCGCAGGCCGGAAGCGGCGCGCGGGCGCAGCGATGGCGGCGGCGGCGGAGGCGGCGGCGGCGGAGGCGGCGGCGGCCGCGGCTGCGGCCGCGTCCGTATCCGAGCCCTGGCCGGAGCTGGAGCTGGCAGAGCGCGAGCGTCGCCGCGAGCTGCTGCTGACCGGGCCCGGGCTGGAGGAGCGTGTGAAGGCGGCGGGGGGACGGCTGCCGCCGCGGCTCTTCACGCTGCCGCTGCTGCACTACCTGGAGGTGAGCGGCTGCGGCAGCCTGCGCGCCCCGGGGCCCGGCCTGGCTCAGGGCCTGCCGCAGCTGCACAGCCTGGTGCTGCGGCGCAACGCGCTGGGGCCCCGGCTGAGCCCGGAGCTGGGGCCGCTGCCGGCGCTGCGCGTGCTCGACCTGTCGGGCAACGCGTTGGAGGCGCTGCCTCCCGGCGAGGGCCTGGGCCCCGCCGAGCCTCCCGGGCTGCCCCAGCTGCAGAGCCTCAACCTCAGCGGCAACCGCCTGCGCGAGCTGCCCGCCGACCTGGCGCGCTGCGCCCCTCGCCTGCAGAGCCTCAACCTCACCGGCAACTGCTTGGACGCCTTCCCCGCCGAGCTCTTCCGGCCCGGGGCTCTGCCCCTGCTCAGCGAGCTGGCGGCCGCCGACAACCGCCTGCGGGAGCTCAGCCCGGACATCGCGCACCTGGCTTCGCTTAAGGTCAGGCGAGCTTGTCCCCGTCCGTTCCCCCCGCGAGGAGAGGGTGGGGGAACGCGTCCCGCTGCCCACCCCTCCGCCCCTCCTTTGGAGGATGCCTCAGCAGCCGGTCGGTCCATCCCGGATCACGTCTCTCAAGACCCTGAGCCTTGCGGGGTGGGGAGGGTGTGTCTCTGGACGTGGGGCGGTTTTTAAAAGTTGTTTTCAAACCTGGGCTTGTGGCGCGGGAAGAAGTCCGAGAACAGGCAGGGAGCCGGGTCCAGTCGTGTGTGATTGCGACCGATCGGGGTTTCCAAGTAGCGGTGCATCCAGCCCGAGAAGGCACACACAGAACACCAGAGGACTGGGGCTGGTAGATTGAGGTCTGTACAGTGTTCGCCCTAACAGCAGCCTTCGGAGAAGGCCAGCCCGGGACGCGGCTTCCGTTCCTCAGAAAGCTGAAGTGCTTACCCGAAAAGCCAAACAACAGTACAACCCCAGAGTTTTCCTCGGGACGGCCTTTTGTGCAAGTGACTGGTTTCTTGTGGTTTGTGGACGCGGGCTCCCGCCAGGCTTGACGCCCACCAGGTGCTCATGAAGTGTGTTTGAGTGAGGGATGGGAAGGCAGAAGATGCAGAACCACTCAGCCAGACCTGACTCCAGTCTGGGCTCTTCGACACACACACACACACACACACACACACGTATGTGCGCACATCCTTGGCAGGGCAGGCCTGTGTGTGTTGCACTTGTCATGCTTGAGTTTATGCAGACATTTCACAATGAAGGTATATCGGCATAGCAAATGTGTCTGTATGTACATATAAAGACTTGGCTGTTGATTGTGTGTGTGCTTGCACACATGTGTCAGAGAAATGGGCCAGCCACTCTGGAGAATGACAGCTGGTTTTTGGCATCTCCTGCAGGAGGCTGTGGGGTGTGACTCCCTGAGTCATCCCCCCTGTGGCTTAGGTGGGACACGGGCTGTACGCTCTGCCCTCCCATGTAGAGGATGCATTGGTTTCCCAGGGTGCTGATAGTGGCTGTAACACGGTGCCCCTCTTTATATCAGCCATGGCCTCACAGGCTGCATGCAGTTCAGCTGCCACTGGGGCCGAGCTGAGTAATGACGGTTGTCTGCGTGTCATCCGTCTTCTTGGAACCCCCCATACCCTTCACCTAACAACTCGAAGCAGTGTTGTCAGGCATCTTAAGGCTTAACCTCTTGCCACTAAACCACATCCCACTGGTTGGGAAAACACAGCCCAGTACAGGCAAGGCCATGGGCACAGAAAGCAGCGGGCTCATCTCCTCACTTCAGGAAGGAGGATCAGAAGCAGGTGCCTTGGCCATTGCCCAGGAGCTGCCACCACATCTGGCCCCACACCAGCTTGAGGGGCTACCAACAGGACCACCAAGCCCTAATCTGAGGGAAAACAATAGGAAAACTCTGGAGTCTGCTATTTAGGCATTTGGGGCAAGGAATGCCAGGAGCTGGTCTCCCCTGTTGACTGTGCTTATTGGGACATGGGTTCATTGCTCTCTCTACCTTAGACCTGTGTGGCTTGGTTTCCCTTTCGGGGAGACCTGTGACCCTAGAGTAATACCCGTTCTCTTCTTCTGGGGTTCTGTGGCCTCTTAGGACTCATATGTGACATCGCTCCGGCCTGCTTCTGCAGTGCCTGTCACCCGGACTTGTGCTCTCCGATTGAGGCTGATGAAGTAAACAGGACGCCACCTTAGTCATCAAAGATGTCCCCTTGGTGCTTGTTCCCGGGCTAGGATCAGTCCCTCCCCGTAGCTCACACAGGGACCGGAGAATCTGGGGTAAGCAAGTCTACCCCGGTCTTTGAATGGAGCTGTAGCCAGAAGTAACCAGATTCACCTGGGGGTCCTGCTAAGCCCAGATTTCGTCCAGCAGCTGTTGCCACTTTCGTGGTTTCTGAGATTGAGGTGGTTGGCCCTGCGCGTCTCCCACAGACGCGGTCTCACGTCTCCCTCACCGCTCTGTTGTCCCTTTCCTAGAAGGCGTCTAGCACAGAGGTGGCTTCAGCTGTCACTGTACCGGTTAGGGTTTGTGTTCCCCTGGGAGCTCTGGTGTCAGATGTGCATCCCATCCTGCAAGGCATCCAGATGCCCCACCCACAGCTTCCTCTAGCACTGGGAGGCTAGCGCTGACACCTGCCCTGCCTCAGCCTGGCGTCGTTACCTTCCACACAGGAGGGCCCCCATCTGTGCTTACCCAACGCAGCTGGAACCCAGGCTCCACTCCCATGACGAGGCAGCCACTTGAGAGCTGACTCAACGTGAGCGAGCGGTCACCTTTCTCACACGGAGGCTTCTCCCTGTGGCACTGTGTGACAGGGCCCATCAGCCTCTCTCTGACTCATCCTTCATCTTAGCCTCTGTCCGCACAGGGCCCCAGGCAGACACTCACCCGGTGTTCAGGCTGTTGCTTCCTGCTCTGTCCTGCCCTTAGCAGGTAGTGTCCCTGAAAAGTGCCCCCCCCTTCTAATGACTCTCTTTGAGGCTGTGCTGGACACTCAACCCTGCCACAATCCCCCTCCCCCTCTTATTGCTCTCCCAGGTCTTCAGTAAGTTGCATTTTAACAGCGGGAGCATGACGAGAGCTGCGGGTCTCAAGAGGCTGTGGGAATGTACAGCAGTGACAGCTAGTGTTTAACAAGTCGGCCCACTTGGGGAGCCCCACCTGGCACAACTGTGTGGTTATTGACTGCAAATGACTGGTTGTTTTCTGTCCATAACTTTCTTCTACACCTCCCTGATAAGAACAGCCGAGAGGCTCTTCCCACAGCCCGTTGGTGGTGGTTTTTTTAACACTTGTTGGGCACTCATATAGCTGTGGGTGGTCAGGAAGATGATTTCTGCTTCATCTGTATACTTCTGATGAATAGAAATAATACTAGGATATTTTTACATTACTCAGACCGACATAGGAGAATTCTCAGTCACAAAGACAACCTTTTGCACAGACAGCTAATTTTAGACTCCAGAACAGATTCAAAGCAGACTGGTTACCCCTGGAGACAAACACATGAGGCCATTTTCCCAGGTGTTCCTTGCTGATTCAAGGTCAGGATAGAAACAACCTCGGTGGACGTAACTTTGCTGCAGCAGGTGACTCTTAGCACGCAGTCGCAGACCCAGGCTCAACGTTCATCCAATTGTTTGCCATCTAGGAATCCTCACTAATTTTGAGCTGTGTGCAAGGCCAAGTGTTGCTTACTGGCAGGTCAGCAAGACCTCCCTAGCCTCAGAGAAACTATGTAACTCATATTATGAGAATGGGTCAGGACCTGAAAATATAACACGAAATTGTCCAGAGTTTGCCTATGGCAGTAGAGACAGGTGGCTGTGCGTGCTTGCGTGTGTGTGTGTGTGTGTGTGTGTGTGTGTGTGTGTGTGTGTGTACGCGCGCGCACTGAGTGAAGGGTGTGGTTGAGAATGATGTAGGAGTGTGTGTGTGAGAGAGAACTGCTGCTACACGGGCCGTGTGGAGATTTGTAGCTGTGGAGGTATAACTGTGTAGAGAGATTGTCAAGAAAGATATTTAAGTTGAAGTAAAAGAAAAACTCACCATCAGGAGAGTGTGTGCTTGTTTCCTTTTCCCCTCAGAAAAGTCTAGCGACCCTCACATAAGAATTTTCTCTAAGCCCTTGCTACTCTGAGGCCTTCTCTTTGCCACCCTGAGCGGATCTGGGAAATGGCCTTTGTGGGAGCTGCAGTACCTGAGAAGGGGCCGTGTGGATTGAGAAAGGCTAAAGACGTTAAGACAAAAGGCAGAGACATATGATATTGTCGGGAGGGCAAATTCAGTCCAGTTTATTCTTCAACATTCTTCAGTACCCAACCAAAAGTGGGGACAATGACAAGAGACTTCTATTATCATGTACAAGGGGCAAACAGACTTACTTCCCTAAATCCTCCAAGTATTTGGTAGCCACACCTGCCATTCGGCCTTCAGGGTCAAGAGTAAATACACCTGAGCCCAAGTCTGTTACTTAGATAGCTACCAAGGCTGAAACATCCTGCAGCTGCCAAGCTTAGTCTTATAGGTCTAAGGACAGTTTTGAACTCTGATCTTGAGGCAAGATGAAATGGACCCCTCTTTATGGGCCCCAACAGGCTTTTCATAGTCTACTTCAGAAGTAGGAACACTTCATTCAACCCAGTGTTTGAGAAGTGTGTTTTCCACCCAGTGTAGTTTGGGCAAAACTTTTTCGGGGAGCACAGAAGCCCCCATGTCCACACCCACAGGACTACAGACAGACTGTTGCAAACTGACCGTCAAACAAGGCCTACACTCAGTCTCTCAGGCTTCCAGAGGGCCTGTTCCTCTGGGCTGGTGACCTCACAGCGTCAGGAAGAGTCTGGCTCACACCCAGCACTTGGTTCCTGAGTGTCTTAGTGGTCCTCTTTTAGAGTGGTTGCTGGGGAACCAGCTAGGCCGAGGCACAGTACAGATCTGAAATGCCCCAGACCCATCTGAGCACCAACATGGCTGCAATGTGGGACCTGCCAGCCCAACTTTTATGGGGTCAGAGTCAACACATTAAAACCTCATGAGCTTGCTTCAGGCTGTGAAGCAGCTGAGCCTTGTGCTTCAACCTGGTACCTCCCCGAGAGGCCTCATCACACCCACACAAACTGAAAAAGCTGAAAGTTCCCGCCCTGCTCTAAGTACATTGGTGGAGGGGCACGCTCACAGAGCCTCTTTCTTCGTCGTGGACACAGGCAGCAGCACCGCTCTTGGTGACTCCTTGCTGCAGGGACATCCGCACATGCAGGACAGCCTGGCCTTTCTATCCAGCCGGCCTCGCTGTGTCTGGCCTCCTCCTTCTGAAGGGCATCTGTCACTTCTTCATGCTTTTCTCCTTTGGCTTTTGTAGCTGCCACCTGCCGTGTGTGTCGGGAGCCCCTCTGTGCTGTCTTCTCTCTTGCTTCCTGAGTTGAGGCTGAGAAGCTCCACCATCCAGAGCAGAGGGTGTTTCAGTCCTTTCCCTGTGCTGTCTGTCATCTACCTGTTTCCAAGGACTCAGCTGCCACCAGACTACGGCTGAGTACTTGCTGCAAGCACCTGCATGGCTCTAGATTCTGAGTGCAGAGGTGAGGTGTCACACCATGGTGACTGTAGACCTCCCAGGCTCTTCTGAAAGATGCTTAGAGCAAATAACAAGGCAGCCAGAGTCCCCACCAACCCTGAGAAATGGTTTTGGGGGGGGTTCGACACAGGATTTCTCTGTGTAGCCCTGGCTGTCTGTCCTATAACTCAATCTGTAGAGCAGGCTGGCCTTGAACTCACAGAGATCCTCATGCCTCTGCCTCCTGAGTGCTGAGATTAAAGGCTTGGACCCCCACTGCCTGGCTTCTGAGAAGAAGTGTTTATGATTGTCAAAACTGCTCTCAAGCCAGGCATACAGCACAAGATATCTGTTGGCAACAAGGCACAGACAGATGGCTCTTGGTAAACACTGTCCTCTGGACAGGGCAGCCGTCATCTTCATCAAAGCAGCTGCAAGAGACCCAACAAGCTTATAGACTGTTGATGTTCCTCCACATTGATCACTGTTGCTCTGTAAGGGACGGCAGACATTTGTTTGTTTCCGCAGAGAAGGAATATTTGACTCCAGCCTGTTGAGTGCGCGCGCGCACACACACACACGCGCGCACACACACACACACTATGACTGTGTGGTGGCTGAAGGACTGCACACTCTTGCGTGGTGTTTGGAACGGCAGTATTTGTCCGTCAGTAGGATATCAGCAGGATTTCTTTTCCACAGATCACTAGACTGTGTGTGTGTGTGTGTGTGTGTGTGTGTGTGTGTGTGTGTGTGTGTGTGTGTGTCTCGTGGACACAGTGGCCCTACTGCCTCCCTCTAGCCCACCTCCAGAAAAAGGAACAGTGGTGAGGCAATGTCCCACTAGTGATGTCACACTTGGTATGGGGAGAGGGTTTGCTGGTGTTTGTTTTTGTTCATTAAACTCAAGAAATAGTGGAGCGCCGTTTGAGGAGCCTATTTCAGATTGGAAGGAGTTCTGGTTTGTCCCCTCGCCTGCTGACAGGTCTGCGTGTTTGATGTGGTGTTGGCGGGCCTGATGCGTTGAGTTGGCGAGGCTCTGTGGATGTGGGGGGAGGGTGCCAGTTATGGCCATGCAGGTAACTCGTGGGGTAGCCTGGCAGTGGCTCCTGGGCCTGGACCACAGTAGAACTCATTGTCCACCTGGCCTGACCTGGACGTGCGTCTCTCCTCCCCTTCTCACCCAGACACTAGACCTGTCCAACAACCAGCTGGCCGAGATCCCTGCCGAACTGGCAGACTGCCCTAAGCTCAAGGAGATCAACTTCCGAGGGAACAAGCTTCGAGACAAGCGCCTGGAGAAGATGGTGGGCGGCTGCCAGACCAAATCCATCCTAGAGTACCTGCGCGCTGGCGGCCGCGGCGGCCGGAGCAAGGGCCGGCAAGAGGGCTCCGAGAAGGAAGACCGAAAGAAGAGGCGTGAGCGGAAGCAGCGTCGGGAAAGCGGGGAGGGTGAGGATGAGGTGGCAGACGCAGCCCGGCTGATGCTCAAGGTCTTGCACGTCTCTGAGAACCCCACACCCCTGACGGTCAGGGTGAGCCCAGAGGTCAGGGACGTACGCCCGTACATCGTGGGGGCCGTCGTGAGAGGCATGGACCTGCAGCCAGGAAATGCACTCCGGCGCTTTCTCAACTCCCAGGTGGGCACTCGGTAGGCAGACTTGGGGGATTGCATGCCGGAGGTGGGTACATGGTGGACAGACTTGGCTGCACCCTGGGATGGGCGTGCATGCAGCAGGCAGATTTGAGGAGGCTGCATGCTGGGTGTGCATGTAGCCGACAGATAATGGGGAGTCTGACTGCTGAGTGTGGGGACTGCATGCTGAATGCACTGCTGGAGCCAGCAGGCAGGTCAGGGACAGGAGGTGCAAGGTGGTCTCCATGCCTCGGTCTCCCTGCTTCAGTGGTAGTGTAGCAGGTCCTGGTTCAGGGTGTAGAAGGTCCATCACCCATCCCCAGCAGATCCCCGGTTTCCAGAGCACACCCTTGTCAAGGATCTGCTGGACCCGGGCTATTGGTTCCCTCACACAGCTCTCACATGTTACCCGACTTCAGACACAAATTAATTGATGATGTTTGATACCAGTAGATAGTTCTGATTTCTGCAGTAAAATGCACAGCTTGTTTTCTGTGAGATCATGTTACAGTTGCTTCTTCTTGCCAAGCATGGTAGCTCACACTTCCAATCCCAGCAGAGGCAAAAAGTTCTCTGTGAATTCCAGGCCATTCTAGTCTGCATAGCAAATTCCAGACCAACCAAGACTACACAGTAAGGTCCTGTCTCAAAAATGAATGAATGAATGTAAAACTGTCCCTTCTCAGCAGCACATTCTCATGGGAGTCCCTGGGTCTGCCTGACTAGACCACTCCCTAAGGTTTCTCCTCTGCCACCTGCCTCCCTTGTGGAATGAAAAACAATCTTTGCATTTTGTGCCTAACAGAGACAGGGCAGCCTTGTGCAAGCAAGGTCGGGGTTGCTGTCTGAGACTTCCCTCAGCAGCTCAGGGAGGAGGCCATTAGTGCCCCACCCCACCCCCACCTCCAGCCTAGCAGCAGACCTGCAGTCTGTCTCGTAGATGGAGTAATAGACTGAGATGAAAGTTCTAGCATTAAAGAGGAGAGAGAGGCTGCTGGTGACCAGATAACTACACGGTTGGGAGGCGGGGCGGTGTGGGAAAGGGGCCACTTTGTGACGGGACGGTGAGCTTGCAGGCTGGGGGGGTACTGCAGGCCACTGGCTTCGATGCAGGTTCCTCCTTGGACAGCAGGAACTCTGAAGCCCATTACTGTGCTCTCATCTGTAGACAAAGCTCCATGATGACCTCTGTGAGAAGAGGACAGCAGCAACCATTGCGACCCACGACCTCCAGGCAGTGCGCGGGCCCCTGCTGTACGCAGCCCGGCCACCCGAGGGCCTCAAGGTGCCAATCGCTCTGCCCCAGCTGCTCTGCGCTTTTCCTTAGGAGACTCACAGGCTGGGGTTGGGGCCTGGGAAGCTTTACCTGGTACTTTTCGGGCAAGTACACAAGGGATGTGATTTCTGCCTTTGCTCTGGGTCACCGTGCATAGCCATGCAAATGCTCGTGATGAGGGAGGCTTTGAAAGGTTACTTCCTGGGCTTACTCCGTAGCCCTGTCTGACCTGGAACTTTCTGTGTAGAGCAGGCTGGCCTTGAACTTGGAGATCTACCTGCCTCTTCACCAAGTACCGGGGTCAAAGGCGTGTGCCACCATGCCCAGCTAGCTCACCAACTTTAACCAAAGATTTTGCTTTATGTCCCACTTGCAGAGCACCTGTAGTGTGAGCTGAATCACCAGGTTGTTGCTCTGGGCTGTGATTTCCAAGCTTAGATTTGGCATAGAAACCCAGAGGGAGGGATTTAGGTGCTGCCAGCTGTTTGCCTAACTCAGCCAGATCAGGCGACTACTTCCTCTTCCCCCCACTGCTGAGCAGTCACGTGTTTTTAGAAACACAGGCATTTATGAGTTCAGAGCTTTGACTGTTGTGCGCCCCTCTCCAGAGGGATCTCTGCAAACGTAGCCAGCCAGTGTGTTACATGTGATGGGCCTCAGTCTCTTGCTTTCAGATTTGGAGACTTGGCAACCCACTCCCCGGCTAGAGAAGGTAGAGAGAGGTGCATAGCATCCCTCATGCTCACGGGTGGCCTCGGTAGCACAGTGAGCAGTGGGCTTTTCTGCCCCCACAGATTGTGCCCTTGGGGCGGAGAGAAGCCAAGGCCAAGGAGCTGGTGAAGCAGCTGCAGCTGGAGGCCGAGGAGCAGAGGAAGCAGAAGAAGCGGCAGAGCGTCTCAGGGCTGCACAGGTCGGTCGTCTGGCAGACAGAGGTCTAGGCACGCCACCCGCTGCAAGGCAGCCCCATCGCTGCCAGCCCTCCAATGCAGCCGGATAGGGAGGGACTCTCCTCCGCACACTTCCTTCTAAGGGAGTGATTACTCCTCCCAAAAGGGAAGAACTCCATGGTGGGGGGGCTGGGGGAGGGGTGGTCCTGCTCCAGGCGGCCATCAGGCTCTCAGCAGTAGGGTCAGGGCTGGCGACCCGAGGCCCTCTGTTGAGCGTCACCTCCTGGGTCTCTGGGCAGACGAAAGTGCAGGGCCGGAGCAGCTCCGGTGTCACGCGTGGGCTCTGGTGTTGCGCCTGGTTCTTCCGCAGAACTTTGCCCCTGCTTGGCTTTATCGTAGCTCACACTGTGCCGTCCATCCCCTGGACTCCCTCCCACAGGTACCTTCACTTACTGGACGGGAAGGAAAACTACCCTTGTCTCGTGGATGCCGAAGGAGACGTGATTTCTTTCCCACCCATAACAAACAGTGAGAAGACGAAGGTAGGCAGCGTCTGAGGCGTGGGCACGTCCTCTAGGCCGCCCCACCGTCCAGGGCCTTGTGACAGACAGACAGACATGCAGAGAGCTGGGACAGGGCCTTGTGACAGACAGACAGACAGACAGACAGACATGCAGAGAGCTGGGACAGGGCCTGTGACAGACAGACAGACAGACATGCAGAGAGCTGGGACAGGGCCTTGTGACAGACAGACAGACAGACATGCAGAGAGCTGGGACCCTTTGCTTCTCGGCATTGCTGACACCTGGTGCCACCCACCTCTGCCAAGTCACCACTGTGCTGTCCCCCAGTCTGTGGCCCATGCTACAAGTTACTAGTGTTGTTTTGAGGCAGGTTTTCACGTAGCCCAGGCTGGCCTTTAACTTGACCTGTAAGCTAAGAGTTACCGTGAACTTGCCATCCTCCTGTCTCCGCTTCCCTAACGCTAGCTAGGATCACAGGTGTGCACCGCCCTACCTGGTGTGTGCAGTGCTCGGGACCTAACCCAAGGCTCCATGCACACGAGGCAAGCACTCTACACCCCAGCCCTGTGTAACTCTGCTTATAGATTTTTCTCCCGAATACGTTGAGCAGCTGGTGTACTAGCACCAATAACCATTCTCTCCCGAAATCCAACTCTTAAGATTAAGAAAACAACATGCAGCTTGTTCTTGGAAGTAACAAGTGCCACTAGCCTGCAGCTCTGTAAGGACATCATGGACAGTCTCATTCTGGTGAGTGGCCTCCAGGGACGCTCTGTGGGTTACTGCAGCCTGACTTGCTCTCTGCTAAAAAGTGATTTTCGTTTGCAGAAAATGGCGGAACTGAACAAAAGCATTTCAGAAAACAAAGAGGAAGACGCACTCTCGGATACGGAACCTGGTGCCAGCTGCGGGCTTTCTGATCCCAACTTGAATCTGAGATCTGGGAAGGATGGACAGTGCCCCCTGGTGGTGGAGCAGGTCCGAGTGGTGGACCTGGAGGGGAGCTTGAAGGTGGTGTACCCATCCAAGGCCGACCTGATCAACACCCCTCCCTATGTGACTGTGGTTCGCTGACGGTCCAGGCCGTGTAACCGGCTCCACTTGCGGTTCCTGGGGGTGTGCTGGCTCTAGATGTCTGTGTGGTTGCTCTTCGTTCCTTTTCTCTGGGTATTTGAAGGTGTCTGCTTTTGTCTGGGTGACTATTGTAAAGTGAGCTGTGTTGTCTTCACAGCACTGATGTGAGTCTGCTGTTCCCATGGGTTACTCCAATAAGCACTGGAAACGTTGTGGATCATGTGGCAGGGAACCTGGGAAGGACGCCGAGCTTGGTTTGACAGTGCAGGGGCAAGCTCCGGTTGAGTGGCAGGCGCTGTATTGAACAGTCCTTAATTTTCTACAACATGTTAATAGCATTCTTTTTTTTTTTTTTTTTAAACAACACCTGTGCAAAGACAGTTGGGAACATCATGTTGTGATCTTAGCCGTTTTAGAGCTTGCTTCCTAGCGTGGTGCTGCTGCTGTGCTCCCACAGCTGTGCCCAGAGCAGGAGGACTGGTCATGGTTGGTGCATCCACTCCTCAGCTACAGAGGTCCCGTAGCCCTGTGTAGTCGGACGGACTTCTGTGCGTGAATGGGAAGGCTGGCTTGTGGTCCGTCAGCCAGTGACGGGAAGGTGTGCCTCACACGTGGCCCTGCAGGCTCCCGTGTCACCGTGCACCCCTCATCTCTCCGTGCGCTGGCTGATGTACTCATGACACACCTGCCACCCCTGGAGCCCAGATGCTTGGTCCAGAAGGGACTTAATGGCCCCATCCATGCCTTACCACCCGGCTGCAGAGGAGAGCCAGGCCCTTCAGCCTCTCCCCACAACACCATCTTCTCTTTAGTGGTCTTTGACGTCAAAGGACAATTTCTGTCTTCTGTAAAACAACAATGGTTTGGGTTTTTTTGTTTTGATTCTGTGCAAGAGCCTTCAGTTGTCAGAACCAGTGAAGCTCTGGGCCCTTCATGTTCGTGTCCTGAACAAAGCTGGCCCCGTGAGACAGGGAGCTGCCTTGTGAGTACACAGTTGTTCATAGGTCCCTCCGAGTGGCCATGGCAAGAGCTCACCTATTCTGTGTGGCTTCACCAAAGTGTGTAAGGGTGGAGCTGCCCCATGCCCGTCTTCTCCCCCACCCACCCACCCCCCAGTCCCTGCTTTTCCCTCCAGCACGGTCCATGTGTGGTATTGAGATTGTTGGAACTGTTTACAGATACAAGCAGAACACCTCTTTGTTCTAATAAAACCTTTTGGTAGCAGCATTTCCTCTGTGTCCGGCAGCCTTCCCACTGTTGTCTCCAGGGGACAGTGCCACAGTCGGTTTAGTGTAGCAGACATTCACAGCCCAAATCCCCGCCTGGTTCTGGACCCCACTAGGGGGCCCATGGCCTTGTGGTCACTTGAGGCAGCTCCCTGCATGATACTGGCCAGAGAGCGCTAGGCTGAAGACACCAGACAGCTGCCAGGGTGGACAGGGAGCACCTGACTCAGTCTGGAGTACAGGGTGTGGCTAGATGCCCACCCCCCGCTGTCATCCCAGGAGTACAGGCCTGCCCAGAGAAGCCTGGGGCCTTCCCTTCCTCTCAACTGGAACCCATATCCCTGACCCAGCCATGTCTGCCTTCTCCAGGCACACACCTGCTCCTGCCCCAAGGGCTAGCAGGCCAGAGTACCCTGCTCTTGACAAGGGCCATACTACGCCTCGAGGGGTCCTAACCTGGGACCTCCCAACGCCTGTCTTATGGCTGGGGAGCAGTGGCTTATGGCTGGGGAGCATTCCACTGTCTTACCTAAGTTGGGGCCTGCAAGTGGGGGCAGAGGTGTTTTAGAGCTGAGGCCTAGACTTTTAGTACAGAGACCCAGGCCAGGTGGAGCAACTCCACTGCAAACTCCCACGCAAGGACCACCAACACTCAGGACAGTCCAGACTGGGAGCTCCCGAGGACGAGGCCAGATTGGCCATGCCCCTCCACTTGTCCATGTGGTAAGGGCAAAAGGGAGGGAACTTCCAACCACCCGGAACCTACTATCTGGTCTCCCTTCTCAGCCCAGGGTGCAGACTTCACCTCAGTATTTTCTAGCAAACGGCCTGCAAGCCTGGAACCATTTCACAGCACACAAGGCATGAGGGGTGGTCCAGGGAGGTTCTACATAGACCACTGAAGAGGAGACCAGAGTCCCCACTATAGCCACAGTATCCTAAAGTGGTGAAGGGCTTGTCCTCACGTGGTCCAGTAAGGAGGGGCAGGTCCAGCCACAGTCTGACCTTAGGTCTATGTGTATTGTTGGGAGATGGCCCAGCCAGGAGGGACACATTCCAAAACAGGGAACCAAACAGGAAGTGCTGTGGAGGAGGATCAGGCCTGGAGCAAGTCATGCCTGGCCGGGCAGCACTGTTCCTTCAGAAACAGCGATTTGTCAACAGGCACCTAAGGAGTGGGAGCCTGTGGGGAGGGCACCCAGCTTTCGTTTTCCCTCAGGGCCATCCCTGAGGTGGTAAGCCAAGAAGGACATGCCTAGTTTGTTAAAGAATGTAATGTTGTATATCGGGTGGCCCATGCCTTTAATCCCAGCACTTGGAGGCAGAGGCAGATGGGTTCAAGTTTGAAGTCAGCCTGGTCTACAAAGTAATTTCCAGGACAGCCAGGCCTACACAGAAACCTTGTCTCAGGGGAAAAAAATGCACTGTTGTATTTGAGAAGGCCTCTGTGCCCTGCACAGAAACAGATCTTCTATATAGGGCCCTGTCTGTGTTCCCTAAAAAGAACAGGTAGGGGGCATGTCATTATTCAGGGTCCTCCCCGCACAATCAGGAATCTGGAAGGCCTAGAGGACCAGGAGCCTTGCTTAGGGCCACAGGGAGGAGTGCATCCCTCAACCCAGCTAGGCATGGGCCTTAGGCTGGAGAAGATCCATCCCACCCAGCCTGGGCCAAAGGAATCCGGGACACCCTGGATGCAGGGCCCAGCCTCAGGAAGCTCCCTGCAGCTGAGCCTCGTTCTCCACCGGGTGTGCACCTGGCGCTGCCCGGGCTGGGTGTGGGTTGCGGATCCACCGTGTGTGGCGGAGATGTAGAGCTGTGCTGCCCCGGGGTCTTCACATGCCCCGGGGTCTGTGTATGGAGGAGGAGTGTCTGTACAAACTGTGTGTGCACATGGGGGGGAACCCCCAGGGGTGGGAATGGGGCAGCATTTATTTGCACTTGTGCACGTAGTAGCCAGTGACATAGCCCAAGATGAAGATGATCCAGAAGAGGGCCACTCCACCCAGGACCTTCATGGCGATCCCCAGCTTGCCCGAGCACAGCTTCTGGGAGAGCCTAGAGCGAGAACCAACCAACCAACCGCCAGTGAGCCCAAGCAGGGGCCGCTGGGAGGTCCCTGGGTGGGCCTGGGTGTGGAAGGAAGGCTAGATCAGGGAATAGCTCGAACCTGAGTGCTCCGCCGGAAGTCGCGGGGTTACCCGCCACTCCCCCCCCTCCAGAGCCATGAGCACTGGGTGGGCTGTCTGGGGGGGGGGCAGGGGGCTGGGGTTGGACAAGGCTGGTGCACTGGGAGCCACGGCCTGGAGGGGTTTTACCTTGGAGAGCATGAGGCCTCCTCTGTGCTGGACATGGCAGTCATGCTGATTTCATCCCGGCTGCTGCTGTCCCACCTGCTGTAGTGGACACCGCTCTCCTGGGACTGCATGCTTTAGGCCTGAAGTGGGGCTACACCACTCAGAGTGGAGATAAGACAGGTATCGGGCCAGACTGAGAAGGCAGGCCCGAGCTGCTGTTAGGGGACGGTCAGCCTGGAAGGAGAGGGTGGGACTTACCAGGATAAGTAGAAACTAGGTCAGGGTCAGAAGGACCGGGCAAAGCAGGAATTCCAACCCAGGGGGCAGGGCAGTGGCCCAGCCCTGACCCTCAGGAATGCAAGCCACTGCTTCTCCCAACTGGGGCCTCTTCTGAGGGTGAGGGGCTCTCCTCCCTGGCAGGCCGCTTATCAAGGGAGGCAGCCAGTGCCGCCCCCAGAGACCAAGAAAGCGTAACTGCCAAGGACCTGATAACTGTCTTCCTCTCCGGCCCCGTCGATAAGGCCTGGAGCTGCCCTCCAGAGAGGCTGGCAAGGGAAGGGATGAGCAGTGGATGGTGGCTGGTACCACCAGTCCAGCCAGCCAGGGAGCTGCCTGGCTGCAGCTGTCCTCAGCCCCTCCTCCACCTGCTGTCCCTGAGGAGTCAAGCAGGGCTTCTGGGGGTCCAGGGGCTCCAGAAGGCTGTAGATTGTAGGTGAGCAGGAAGTAGGGTCCCCTGAGTGCCTAGAGCAGGAAGGTTCCTATCACCAATCTGTCCGTCCCTGACTCCCTCAGAACCAGTCACCCGGGAACAGACAGTGGGTCGGGAGGAGTCACAGTGACAATGTTGCCATGCATGGCGGCCCCCGCCAACCTACAGGCCTGCACTGGACACTTGACTAACCTCATTCACCCTGGCCTCTCCTGTTACCTCTTGTTTACCTCAGGAGAACAGGGCACACACCAGAAGTGCAGGCCGTGCAATAAGGAGAGGGTTAGGTCTCCTGCGTACCAAGCATGCATGCATCCCCTCGCAGCATCCAGCTCCGGGACCCTGTCCCGCAGCAGCTGAGGCAGTGGGAATGCAGAGGACATCCTGGGCAACTGTACACGGGCAACCCAAAGGCCCAGCCAACCAGTGGGCCGCAGAGGACCCGCAGAAGCTCAGAATGCCAGACTGGCTGGGTGGAAGAAGGCGCCATCCTAACAGTCACACGTGTCTTCAGGTGGGGCCCCTGGCTGAGAACCTGGGGTGACAGGTGTCGCTGGGGTGTGGGTTCTGCTGGCAGAGGTGAGTTTAATACTCCAATCCCTCCTTTGCCGCGTCACCAGCTGCGGGCAGAGTGCCGGGTGGGGTGGAATGCAGGGAGAGGGCGCAACCCTTTTCAGAATGAAGAGTAGCCACCTCTTCCCTGCTTATGTGACGGCCGGAGCTGTCACGCCACACACACACACACAGTTTAGACACCCAGGCAACACTAGCCCTAACGGGGCTGTCTCTAAATCTGTATCAAACCCGCCCACATGTAGAATTTGGGACATGAGGGTCTCCCCAGTTCGTTCAAGCCTGAAGTAGTGGGATCCTCTTATTTGCCAAACATCTGTGGCTGGACAGGCCTCCAGACAGCAATGACTCCTTGGGCCCAGGCTCTCCTGGACGTGGTGCACCCTGAGCTGTACAGCCAGTCACAGACACAGCAGAAAGGACCTACAGGGCCCCCTTCAAACCCACAGCCTCCCCTGAAGGGGTGTGCACACAGGAGTCCAACATGCCGTTGCTCATTAGACCCGTTTGCCCACAGAACCCCTCTGAGACCCCAACTTACAAAGGCGAGTCGTGGCGGGGTGGGGGGTGCTGAAGCCTCTGGTGCCCAGGAAGGCTGTCAGGGTCTTGTCAGTGGATCCCACCTTCCCCCAGCAGGGTAAGCCAGGACGCGAGGTAGGGTTGGTGCCTCGAGCCTTAAAGAAGAAAAAAAAAAACAAAGGTGGGGAGAAAAGCAGACAGCTAGAGGAAAGGAAGAAACTGGCCCCAAGGGTGTTCCCGGGTCCCGACAGGAGCTGGGCCGGCAGCTGGGCCTGACAGCCCTTGGTAGTTAGGCCTCTCTAGACCTTCCCACTCCGGAATTTTAGGGCCAGGGAAGTTCTAGCCCCGGAGGACATAGGAGTGGTGGGGGCATGCTGCGAGGCCCACCTCCCCGTGCTGCAACAGGAAGCTGCAATCTCCACTGAGTTGAGTCTCACCTGCGCCCCTCGCCAGGGCCGCCGCGCACACCGGGGACGTGCGTCTCCAACCCCGGGGGTGATGGGGGCGGGGCCCGAGGCTGGGGGGCGGGCTCTGGAGGGCGTGGCTGAGACGAGGGAGGCCAGGCTGGGAAGGGGGCAGTGGACCGGGAAGTCTGGTACAGATGGGGAGGGGCGGACCCCACTCTGGCGGCCCGAGCCGCAGAACCGAGCAGGCCACAGGAGAGGCCTGCAGAGGGCGCCAGGTCCTTTCCCAGCCTGCAGAATCCAGGCCTTCTCCTCCCCAGATGGAGGACAGAGATGGTGTTCCCGGACTGGTGGCGTCCAGGGCACGGGAGGGCGGCTGCAGGATCACCAGAGTGCACGCACAAGACGTGAGAGCAAAATGCCGCAGACGGAGATGAGCTTTGTGTTCAGCACAGACAACCAGGAGGCAGTGGGTTGGGAAGAGCTGTCCTCAGCACCTACCCCACCTACCCCATCCCACTCCACCTTCCAAAGGGGCCCCAGTAGCAAGAGCATGGCCCCGGGCGGAAGTGTCGGGTCCAAAGAAGCAGGAGGGGGACAACCTCTGGCCCCCTGCAAAGTAAAGCCTGGAAGAGCTCCCTGGAGGTGTGGATCTCCCCACAAACGGGCTGTGGCCCTGGAGAAGGAGCTGTGGCATGGGACATGGCCCAGGTAGTTCGGGTACAAAGGATGAGGTCCTGTAAGTAGCAGAGAAGATGAGGCAGTGGCCAGCTCTAAGGTTTAATTTGTGTGTGTGTGTGTGTGTGTGTGTGTGTGTGTGTGTGTGTGTGTGTGTCACAGAGCAAGCCTGACACAGGTCCTGGCTTCTGCCCCAGCAGGCCAGGTCCTGGGGATCCCAGCCAGCCCTACTTGGGAGATAACTTCTTGATCTTGCTGGGCAGGGAGATGTCTGACTGTTGCAGCGGGGGCACCTTTACGCCTTTCTGTTTCAGCTGACCATAGAAGTCACTTCTCTCTGAGATGATTCTCTGGACAAAAAAAAAAAAAAAAACCAGCCAACGGGTGGCCTCCAGCTCCGCACCTGGGTCTCCCAGCACCCTACCCAGAACTTGCTGCAGTGGACAAGCTCAACCCCACTAAAAAAAAAAACAAAAACTCTGCATCTGCAGTGTGGCATCCCTGCTGGGGCTGTGCTGGGACTTCAGAAAAGATGTCCCAGGAGTCAGAGTAGAAGGAGGATATGCACTTGTCCCAGGAGTCCCCCTCACACCCAGCCTTCACTCGAAGGGGACCTTAGATGCCTGGAAACCAGGAGCTATCTGTTTCATCTTGCGCAGAAGGGCCCACAGGATCCCTTCCCAGCCCTGACCCTGTTCTCACTCCTAGCCAGAGGTACAGGGCCTTGGGTGTCTTCTCTGTCCTCCTGTCCCTCTTCCCTCCCCACCAGCAGACACAAGGCCATAGGCCTGTCCCCAGGGTCCTGCTCTCCAGAGGCGGCAGTGACCCAGGCTCACTCCCCACAAGTCACAGGGAAATGCGGGCATGTTGGGTTCACTGGGCGATGCAAAAGAAGGCCTAGACCTTGGGAACAGAGTGGCTGCTGATGAAATGTGACCCTGTGTGGCACACGACCCCAACCAGAGCAGCCTGCTACCTCAGCCATGTCCAGGGCTCTGGTGCCCCCTACACCTGCAGGGTAGGCATGTTCATCCCCCTTACAAAGGGTTGGCCCTACAATTCAGGGAAACACAAAGCGGCTAGGATTAGCACCGAGGGCTTGTGAGTGGTGACTACTCCAGGTCACAGGGCGCCAATGCCTGCACTCCCCCAGGCCCCTCTAAATCTTCTGTTTTGGGGGACTCTAGGTCCATAGGAGTTGGCAAGGTTGAGGCCAAGAGGGAGGACCCTGTTGCCAGGACTCTGGCCCAGCAGCTTCTATGCAGGGAGGAGGCAGAGGGGGAGGGGTGCTCCATCAAGGGAGCTGAGCTGAGCAAAGAAACTCCCAGAATACAGATAGCTTGTCCCTCTCCCTGGGCAGGGATGAGGGGCAACCTAGTGCCTCTTCCTTGAGACTGAGAGCAGTTCACACTCTCCAACTCCACTCTAGAGCTATCCCCAGGGATGGTCTGGTCCCCTCTGGTTGAGCAGGGATAAAGGGCAGTCCTGAAGTTACAGTGCCTAGCTGGGATGAGAACCGGGTTTCCGAACTGAGCCTAGGGCTCCCCTTCTCCCTCAGCTTCTGGCTATAGACAGTGGGGACACAGCTTGGGTCCCCTCACCTGCAGGGACTCCAGGATGTAGTTGTCAGAGAGCTCAGTGGACAAGTTCTTGGTCCCGCTGCCGCCGCTGAAGACGGCCTGGATGATCTTACTCCTTAGTCTCTCGAGCTGTGGACAAAGGTGAGAGCCACCACCCACGGTTACCAAGAAGGATGCCTGGCCCTGCCATGTAAGCCCTGCAGGCCAGGAAGGTCTTTCTTGCTCCTGCTTGTCACGGCTGGAAACAGGACTTGCCTGAGAGCTAGAATGTTCTGGATCAGACTCCAGTTCCTGGGTGGCCCCACACTGAAGTGCAGAAGCTTTGGCATTTACCAAAAACGCTTATTTTTATGTTCTGAAACCAGAAAAGTGCACTTCCTTACCACAAGTCCTGGGGGTTGAAATGAGGGACTCTCACATGCTAGGAAGCTGAGATATATTCCCAGCTCAGGGAGAATATCAGCACAGGGCTGGACAGATGGCTCCATGGTTAAGAGCACTTGCTGCTCTTGCAGAGGACCTGAGCTCAGGTCCCAGCAGCTAACAGGACTCAGGACACCCAACTAGCTGCCTGGAACTCCCGCTCCAGGGTATCAGATGCCCTCTTCCTGCTTCTGCATGTAGGTATATGCTCACAGACTCACACATGCACATACATAAAAAAATACATATTTTAAAAATAGTAGAGTGACATAAACAAAATACTTTTTAAATTTTAGTTTCCAGCTACCACTTGAAGACCCCAGCTTCTCTTTTGTCTGTCTGTTTAAAGATTTATTTATTTATTACTATACAGTGTTCTGCCTACATGCCAGAAGAGGGCACCAGATTGAATTGTAGATGGTTGTGAGCCACCATGTGATTGCTGGGAATTGAACTCAGAACCCCTGGAGGAGCAGTCAGTGCTCTTAACCTCTGAGCCATCTCTCCAGCCCTCTTTTGTTTGTTTCACTTCACTTTTATTTTATATGCATGGGAGTTTTGCCTGCATGTGTGTCTGTGCACCAAATGCCCACAGGGACCAGAAGAAGGCATCAGATCCCGTGGATTGTGTGAGCTGCCCTGTGCCTGCTGGGAATTGAACCCATGGACTCTGGAAGAGCAGCCAGAGCTCTTAATGGCTGAGTCATCTCTCCAGCCCCATCTCAGCCTCCTAACCATCCACCACCCATCCCTTCTCTACAGACTACCAGCTGTTTAGACAACTCTCTCTCGTATCTGTGATGTATGTCCCTTAAACATTGACAATCAAAAAACCAGCCATGGTAGCCAATGTCAAGCCAGCTAAAAACTCTCCTGTAAATGGTGGCCAGCCTGTTGTACTCCTGCAGAGGACCTGAGTGTGACCCTGTCTAGTTACTTACTGTTCTATTGCTATGATAAGACACCATGACCACAGCAACTCAAAAACGGAAGTGTTTCATTTGAGCTTAGGGTTCGGAGGGTTGAAGCCCATGATGGGGGGCAAGGGCGTTATGGCATACACACACAAGAGCTAACCTCTTGACCCACAAGTAGGAGGTAGAGGGGACACTAGGAATAGTGGACTCTTTCGACACACTCCCTAATCCTTCCCAGGCAGTTTTAACAACTGGGAGCCAAGTATTTAAACATTGGAACCTATGAGAGTCATTCTCATTCCAGACTACCACAGGTTACAAGCTCTTAGCACCCACATGGGGTGTTTACATCTCCCTGTGGCTCAGATTCCACAGGGATCAGAAACTTCTAGGCTCTGCAGGCATCTGTACTCACATATACTGGCATTCACACACCTACATGTGCTCACATGTACTGGCACCCACACACATACATGTGCTCACATGTACTGGCACCCACACACATACATGTGCTCACATGTACCTGCAGTCACACACATACATGTGCTCACATGTACCTACAGCCACACACATACATGTGCTCACATGTTCTGGCACCCACACACATACACGTGCTCAAATGTACTGGTACACACACACATGTACTCACATGTACTGGCCCCCATACATACATGTACTCACATGCACTGGCACCCAGACACATACATGTGTTTACATGTACCAGCAGCCACACACATACACATGACTTTTTTTTAATCCCAGCGTGGAGGGGAATGGGCTCCCAAGGTCCCACCCCCGGCTGAGGAACTACTGGCCATTAATGACTACTATGGGAAGGAGTCACTTTTCTTTGATTGGGACACTGGCTGGTTGTTCACCCCTCCCCCCAGTGTGTGACTCCACAGCCGTTCACATGTGGGCAGCATGTGAGCTACTTACAAAATCAATTTAGATAAGATAAGAGGACTTGAAGCAGGAAGGGGATACCCAGGGGAGGGCAGGAAGCAAGTGTTGGGATGACTGAGGGTCAGATGAGGACACCATCGCCCTCTCCCGCTGTCTTTTCTAGCTGAACCCAAGGCCCACTTTCTTTTTTTTTTTTTCTGGTTTGTTTGCTTTTGTTTGTTTCAAGATGGGGTTTCTCTGTATTGTTTTGGAGGCTGTCCTGGAACTCCCTCTGTAGACCAGGCTGGCCTCGAACTCACAGAGATCCACCTGCCTCTGCCTCCCCTGGGATTCAAGGCGTGCACCACCACCGCCCGGCTCCAAGGCCCTCTTTCTCGATTGACAATGCTACCCTTTGCCCTCTGTGTTTCCCTGAGCTCTCTCTCACTCCCTCCTCCACACTCTCCAAGCATCAGCTCTGAACCGCGTGTTGCAACCCGAGGCAGGATGAGCCAGAGCCCTTGGTCTGCTGAGCACAGGGTCTCTGTGGGTGGGTAAGGATAGAGTAGGGTCATGAACCTGAACTCTCATTACCCTGGCCTGAGAGGACTCCAGGACCACACGAGTCTGCTGCTCTGCTTGCTGGATTGTCTCGTTCCGGCTCTGCAGGTCGTCATGCAACTCCTTCCAACGCCTCAGGTGGTCCTCGTTCAAGTCCACCTGAGCCTGCAGCTCGCTGGTTTTGCTGTTCAGCTCTGTGATGGTCTGATCACGCTTGAGGAGCTCCGTCTCCAAGTCGGATACTTGCTGGGGGCGGGGAGGGGGTAACCAGGAAGGGCAGAGCGTTAGCCGGGCCCTGTGTGGTCCTCACCACTCTTCCCAAAAGATGGAGGCAGTGCCCCCTGGGTTCCTGCCACCCAGCCAAACCATTGCCAGAGGACCCCGGTGTGGATCTGTTGAGTGGGGTTGCTGTCTGGGGTAAGAGGCCCAACTCCAAGGTGAAGATGCGTTTGCCTCATCTGACCATCATGGTAAACCCAACCCACCAGGACGGCAGCCCAGCCCAGCCTTGGGCAACGCCCGTGCAGTCACCTGTCGGAGGGTAAGATTTTCCTTCTCAATGAGTCCCATTACCCCCTGCTGTTTCTTTTCCTCCCGGAGGCTGGAGAACTGTAGGCAGACAGCGGGGGAGGGAGGTTTGGAGGCGGTCAGCATAGGTCCCAGGCCCAGGACAGACAGACAGACGCTCATTCTGCCTCCCAGCCCTCCCAGGGGAAGGAAAACTGTGGGTTTCTGCCAGAGTGATGGGAAAGAAGAGGAAAGTGCCCCCTAGGACGCAGAAGCAGAGCACCGGGTGGCATCCAACACTGCAGATCCAAGAAAGCCCACTGCTGAGCTGTTCTCAGGGAACCCAAAGACAGCACAGTTCACACTCTTGTTTCCTGGAAGTGTCATAGAGGAACAATGATCAGTGGCCAGCTGTTACTGAGAGTAAGAGCCATGGACTTACCCCAGGCCCTGGCCTGCCAGTTACCTGGCCTTTCTTTCTCAACACTGGTGAAGACTGTTCAGTTTCAGGCCTGAAGAAGCCACCCTCCTCTCCGGGCGGCGTGCGTGCATGCGGGACACACTCTCAGTCTCCTGCCCTCCAGGCCCAGAACCTGAGCAAGAAACCTTAGCTTGTGAGCCGAGATGTGCTTTCCATTCCCCAGTTTTCAAGGAGGCTTGACCACCCCAAAGACCAGAGGAGATTTCCGTGGAAACTCTCCAGGGGGCCACAGTGCAGTCCCCTGGGTACTCCCTGGGGCAACAAGTTTAACATGAATGAATGGAGACCAAGGGTGGCCCATCTGAAACGGAAGAGCAAGACATTGAAGTGACACAGACACCTTGATCCCAGGGCAGGAAGGCCGAGGCAGGAGGATGCCGTGGATACCAGCCAGCCTGGGGTTCAGACCTAGACCCTTTCACGAGACAAAAACAACAGCAAGCTCCAACTAATGCTGCCTTTGCGGGAAGAGAAGACAGTGCTCTTGTGAAACAGATAAGGGGTAGCCTTGGGGAAAAAAAGGAAAAATAACCGCAGAAGCGTAGATGGGCATTGAAAACATTGAAACAGAAACTCCCAGGCGGAGAGAGCTGCTGATGGGGTCTGAGGAAACCTAAGTGATGAGGAGACAGAAGGTAAGAAGGAAGGACAGGCCACAAGAGGCTTAGTCCAAGTCTCTGGAGCTCCGTGAGAGAAATCAGAAAGGAAGAATGTGACTGTTTGGGCTGGGGAGATGACTGGGTGACTAAGAGCACCCGCTGCCTTTGCAGATGGCCAGTTTCCTTCCCAGCACTGTTGTCAAGCTGCTCGCTCCGGCAGCCAGGCTCTCCGACACCCTCTCCTGGCCTCTGCGAGCACCTGCACTCATACACACATTCATCCAGTCGCAGATGCACACGCACACGTAAATGTAAAAAGTAGGATAATCTAGAAAAGAGCGTGGTGGTTCATTTAACTGTCAGTCTGACACAGCCCGCACGTGGGAAGAGAGTCTCGAAGGATTTGTCTACATCGTGTTGGTCTGTGGGGAGGAGGGATTGTCTGGATGGCAAATTGATGCCGGAGGGCTAAGCCTGAACATGGGTGGCCGCATTCTCTGGCTGGGGGGGCTCTGAGACCATGCAGGAATTGGCAAGGCTACCCAAGCATTAAGCGTACAAGCGTTCCTTCTCTCTCTCTCTCTCTCTCTCTTTTTGGTTTTTCGAGACAGGGTTTCTCTGTGGCTTTGGAGACTGTCCTGGAACTTGCTCTGTAGACCAGGCTGGTCTCGAACTCACAGAGATCCGCCTGCCCCTGCCTCCCAAGTGCTGGGATTAAAGGCATGCGCCACCACCGCCCGGCTCCATCTCTCTCCTCTTAACTGTGGATTTTTAGCTGCTTCTTGCTCCTGCCTTGACTTCACTGCCATGATGGGCTTATGGCCTGGAACTGTGAGCTGAAATGAACCTTTTGTCCCCTCAGTTGCTTCCTCTCAGGGTATTTTTGTCACAGCAATGGAAACAAAACTAGAACAAAGGAGTGAACAGCCATGCAAACGAAGATTCTAGATAGAACACATGACACGCTTCTGGAAGGCCGCCAAGTGCCTGCCATGTGGCGTGTGAGATGATACACCTCCAGGTAATAAGACACAAGCCTGTGAGGTCTCAGGACACCCTGGACAGAGGAGACAGGATCTCAAAGCTTTTCCAACAGACAACCTTCAAGATGCGGGTGACCTCGGACTTCCCGCCGACAAGGCCTAGAAGCTACAAGAACAATGTCTTGACCTTCACAGCAGGGCAATGCGTTTATGGGGGGGGCGGGATAATGACTTCCAATTCGTGGTCAGCCTGATTGTGTAGGATCAAGGCGTGCAGGTGGCTTGTGTTCCCAAAGCTTTACAGACATATCCTTTGGGGGGAAAACAAAACCAACAAGCAAAGAAGAAATACGCTACACAAAAGCATAAGGCCGTCAGGGCTGGAGAGGTGGCTCAGCGGTTAAGAGCACTGGTTGCTCTTCCAAAGGACCCAGGTTCAATTCCCAGAACCCACATGGCAGCTCACAACTCCTCTAACTCCAAGATCTGACACCCTCACGAAGACATACCAAATGCGGGCAAAATACCAATGCATGCAAAAAAATGAAAATAAATAATTGTTTTAGGATAACTGCTTGCACACCCTTAAGAAGAAAGCATAAGGGTTGCCAGCCAACAAAGAGAAGGACGTGGGCGCAGAAGCTCAAGGTCATGTCAAGAATCTCAGCATTGTTTAGTGAATTCTTGTGTGTGTCAAGTAACTGCGGGAATGACGTCAGCACAGTGTCAATGCCCCTGGAGCTGGGGCAGGATGGCGTCAGGGGGGCCAAGGACGGGAAGATCGCCTGCCCTGTTGGACGGCATCATCTGATGCCATCATGGCATTTCCTGAAGAATTTGCCAGGAGACTTAGAAGTCATTGCCATGGGGATGGGGGGTATGAGAGGGAGGCGGCACTTGTGGAGTACCTTAGATAAAAATAAACCTTTCTACTTCACAACATGTTCTGTCTCAGGCATGTGTTAGCAGGAGCGTGAGCAAACCCAGCTGCTAAGCGTACTGTGGATTGTAGATGACCTTAGCCCAGGGATCAGGGACTGGCAAATATTTAGGAAATGACCAGGATTACTACGGCACAAGACATCAGGGACACAGACCAAAGCAGACAGCAGGGCTGGGGCTGTCCACAAAGTCTGGTAGGGATCTTGGCTCAGCTGCCACTGCCAGCTGGTGCCCTGGGATTGGAATTTTTGTTCCTAGGGAAAGGTCATGCTCCCTGAGCTGCTGGGACTACTGGGCTTTGCTCACTGAGCCAGGCTGGGGATGGGGCGGGAGGGGGGAGACTGCTGGGCGCACAGCCACCTTGTTGGTCATGCTCTGTATCTGCTTCTTTCGTTCACGGAGCTCCTTTTCCAGCCGCTCGTTTTCCGTGGTGACCTTTCGCAACTGAGACTCTTGGAAGTCCATTTGCCGTTGTAAAGATGTGATGGCTCCTGAGAGTAAGGCAGGAGGCAGGCAGAGTGAGAGAGAGAGAGAGGACCAGCTCGCTCTCTTGCTCTGCTCCAGGGTCTAGCCCCAGGGTCTAGTCGCTCATCCGAATGCCCAGTCACCCTTCCTGGTGCAACTCCTGGTGGAGAGGGACCCACATCTCCTGCCCCTCCTGCCTGCTAGGTAGAGCCAGCAGAGCTGGGCACCCATGCCCCCCTGGCACCAGCCCCTTGGCCCTTCCTACCTGTGGCCAGGGAATATTTGGCCCTGATGTGTTCCAGCTCGCTCTGGAAGTCCATCAACATGTGCTCATACTCCTCTAGCTGGGCCATCAACTCCTCCTCAAAGGACTCGGTCAGAGAGTATGACTTCCTGGGACGGTGCTCCTCCTCCTCCTCCTTCAGCTCCCACGACTCTTCCTCCTCCACCACCACCTCCTCCTCCTCCTCGGGTCCTTTTGGTTCCTCCTCCTCCTCCTCGGTGCTCACTTCATGCAAAATCCCCCCCTTGCCCATGCTGCTCCTAGATCTGGCAGCCTCCTCCTGGGGCCCCTCGGGCCCCTTTTCCTCCACGACGCTAACTGGTTCCATCGGCTGCTCCTTGTTCTCTGCCACGTTATAGTCGTCCTGCATCTGGGGACAGAGTGAAAAGGGGCTGGGCATCGACCGACCCAGGTACAAGGGGGAGGGTACCCAACTCTGGTAAGCAGCCCCGCCCATTTGTCTTCTCTCTGGACCTGTGCTCTTGATCGGGGGGGGGGAGGGAAAGAACTTATCCGCTGGCCTCATCCGTGATTAGGGGAGGGCCACAGCAGATCAGGGCTGTGTGGGCAGGAGCACTGTGGCTGGGGGCCTCCCTCTTAGCACCCATCCTCCACGGGGAGGATCTGAGAAGTGACGCCATCCCGCCGGGGCTCCAACCTGCTCCACACCTGCATCCAGCGCTGTAGCTCCTCCTCTTCTTTGAACGCGGTCTTCAGCATGCTCAGCCTCCCCAGCTTCAGCGTGGAGGCCTCGAAGGACCGATCCTGTCGGATGCTGCTATGAACCTCTCGGGCTCTCCAAATGCTCCCGTGGGGGCTCCGAGTGATGTCTCCCCCACCCCCGCCTCCCCCATCCTCCTGGGAGGGGACATCGGGCTCTCCGAGCGAGCGCACATGGGGAAGCATAGCGGTGGAGGGCGAGGAAGCAGTGCCATCGAGCAGAACGAGGCAATGGTGCAGAAGTCCCATTTGTTCGGCCTCAGACATCTGTGTGGGCAGCTTCTCCCAAGGTACCCAGGCACCACCCATGACCTCCAGCCTCCTCCCCGCTCCCACTTTGTGTCTGACCTAACTGTAAGTGCAGGTTGTTATCAAGTGTGAAACTCTTGGACCAGTGGGGGGTGGGGGCAGGAACCATTCCTGGTCATATGGACCTGCCTCACTCAGCCCTTTGCCAAAGACTTGAAGGGACACAGGAAGGAGAACCTGCAGCTCCGGGGCACGTCTTACTGCTCCCATAGGCCGCCTGCCAGAAGGCTCACCGTCCTGATGGAACCTGAAGATGGTTCTGTGCCTTTGCTTCTGAGAAGGATTTTCAGCTGCTTCTTCAGGGCCTCCTTCTCCTTCTGGAGCGTCAAGATCTCCTGGTCTTTCTGCTGCATCTGGGTCTCCAGCACTGAGAGACGCTGGAGCTCTTCTCCCAGCCGGACCAGGGAAAGATCCTATGCGGAAACCAGAGACAACTCCAGGGCCACTAGGCAAGGCCAACCATCTCCCATGTCTCATCCCAGCCACCCAGATAACAGTAGCTCCCAGACACTCAAACCCTGGGACAAGCTGTGCAGCTCTTTATTCCAGCCATGCCCTGAGGTTCTTACGGCCTTCTTGCTCTGTCCTGGGAGCAGACCCCCCCAAATCCTTGTGCAAAGGCATTCGGGTCAGGGCCAGAGCATGCAGCCTTCCTGACGTAACTCAAGATACCTGTATTCTTAGTGGTCCCCACACCTAAGCAGCAACATCACCCAAGCGTAACCCCCCCCAAGGGGCTTGTCAGGGAGTCCCTCAGCCTGCCTTCTCAAAAATCTCAACTCCAGAGTGCCAGCCTACAATCCTATGGCCAGAGAGTCTGGGAAACAGAAACGTCATTTAGTGGCTGATCGAAGAAGAGGCAGACTCCCTTGGTTAAGTACTGAGCTGAACTCAAGAAAGCCAGTAACAGAGGGAGGACTGATGATCAAAGGGATTAAGACTGGGCTGGTTTAACCCCAGAAACAGCTGACCAGACAAAGGTTAACTCTTGAATCCCAGGCATCAGACTGGGAATCCAGCATGGGACTGATCAAGACCCCCTGAATCTGGGTGTCAGTGAGGAGGCCTAGGTAATCTATTGAGCCTTGGGCAGCAGATCAGTACCCATCCCAAGTATACACACGGACTTTGGACTCCCATCCTAAAATGTGAGGTGCACTCTCACCCTGAACTCTTGGGGAAGGGTCTAGGCCCTGCCCTATATGAAATGACAGACTATGGACACCCCCATGGAGGGCCTCACCCTCCCTGGGGGAATGAGGGGATAACGGGGGGGGGGTTTGGGGGGAGGGCAAGGGAGGAGGGTAGGGAAAGGGAGAGGGACCTGGAACTGACTTGTGAAGCAACCTTGTTTCTTATCTAAATTTAAACTGGAAAATAAAATAAAAAAAAATCTCAACTCCATCAGTTCTTCAAAATGGAAGACAAAGACGTCTTCAGCAAACAGTTCTTCACCAGCAGATATGAACTCGGGAAGCACAAACTAAAGTGAGGTGCTCAGGCAGGGGGGAAGTTACCCACACAGAGCAGTCCAGAAAGGGGGGTAGCTATACATTTCTCAATTTTTTTGAAACAACATCATAACCTTCTATGTAGCCTGTGGATTGAAGAAGAAACTACTTGAGAAGTTAGAAAACCCTGTGAGTAAATGAAATTGAACGTGCGGCCATTGTCACACCCAGAGATAAATTTAAAACCACAACTAAAGCCTGCTTTTAGGGAGCACTGTTCTTCTAAGACAAGGGTCTGATTATAACCCTGGATGGCCTGGAACTCACTATGTAGACCAGGCTGGACTCCATGTGCCACCATGCCCAACTCCATACTGCTCTTGCAGAGGACCAGAGTTCAGTTCCTAGAACCCAGGCAGGGCAGCTCATAACTATCTGTAATTCCAGCTCCAGGGGGAGCTAACACCATCACCTGGCCCCTGAGGGTACCTGCACACACATGGAATAAAGTCGCACAGGGACACACACACACACACACACACACACACACACACACACACACACACACACGCACGCACACACACACACACGCACGCACGCACCAGAAAGAAGCCAGAACGTAACACTGGAAAATGTGAAAGGGGTGTGGGATTTATTTGTGTGACTGTTACATTTTTTTAACGTTCAAAATAGAATGGCAAAGTGGGACAGCAATGCCAGAGAACACATCTTATTGTTCCGACCATGGTGATTTTAGGCATGTGCACATGTCTCAAAGAAGTCTGAGAACAACAGCGGGCAAGGGGGAGAGGAGGGGTAGCACTGATTCATTTCCTGCTGGGGACTCCTAAGGTGGCGCAGGAGAAAGGAGGAGGAGGAGGAGGAGGAGGAGGAGGAGAGAAGAAGAAGAAGAAGTGGGAGGATAAGGAGAAGAAAAAGGAGGAGGAGGAAGAGGTGAAGTGCTTCTGAATTTTTAAAAACAAGACCAGGACAACCTGGATGCCCAACTTCAACAGAATTCTAAGACAGGAGAGTTGGGTGATCAACTGTCACAAGCATTTTTTTTCTTAAGGGGGAAAAAAGATCCCGCGTGCTATCTTGTACCCAAATCTCTGGGCATTTGCATTTGCTGGCCTCTCACTCAGATAGTTCGAACTCATGCTCACAGGGACTTCTGGGCTGAAGGTGTACAGAATGGCTGGTGGTCACACGCGCTAACAAGATCTGTGCCCAGTTAAAGTTACCACACACCGGGAAAAGGAAGGAGGCTGGGCAGTGGTATGTGTGAACCACTGGATTCCTAGCAGCCGAAGTAGGGTGTTCGGGTGTCATTTTAGGCTACAGCTAGCCAGACAGCAGAACAACGGTCCCCTATGGTGTGGGCAGGTTGCAGGGCCAGGCGTGGGACCCTACCTTCTCATGGATGACTGAGATGTACCAGGGCATTCTGGTTTTCTGGGACCTCTTGACCATGGTTGGGCTGCTGGAGGGACTCGTGGCTGGGGACTCACTCCTCTTCTGTGAGTAGTTGATTTCACAAGCACTCTTGCTGAATGGAAAGAGGTGCCCTGTGGAGGAAGCGGAGGGCAGTTCGAGTCTTCCCTGTGGGCGTGCTGTGGAATCGTCCACGATAATATCCATCCTTCCAGACCTTTCTTCCCTCAGAGGCCAGCGTCCGTCCGGTAAGCTGTCTCCTGCTGCCACACTAAAATCTTAAAGTCTGTCTGTCTCCCCTACCAGGAGCCTAGGTATAGCCCCCGAGACCACCACATCTGCCTGCACACACCTAGAATGTACTCAGGAGGGTGGCTGGGCATCGAGGTTCACGTCCAGACCCCGGAGTGGAGGAATGAGAGCCCAGGAGTTGGGACGGGAAGCCATCTGCCACCGCCCTTGTTGACCCCATGACCCCATCCCTCTTGCACCCCAGAGCCTCACTTTAGACTTTGGGGTTCTTCACCTTCTTAAGCCTGGAGGGAGTTGCTCACTACAGGCTGTTATCTGAAATCATCCCGTTTATCCCACTTCCTAGCGGATGAAAGCTTATTTCTCTATTCAAGGAGGCGGTGCCCAGGGGGATGGAAATAAAGGGCACAGAGAAGGCAGAGGACACGGATTTCAGCTGTGGTTCTGCCAAAGACAAGGAACAATCGTTGTGTCTTCCGGCAGTGAGCGTAGAGTTCTGCCTCAGCCCTGGACCTGGGTATCCAGAGTCTCAGAGTTGTTTTTGAGAGGCAGGCAGTCCCAGGAAGAGACACATTAGGCATCCCTGGGGAGCAGCTTTACTGTTCAGGGTCCCAGAAGATGAAGGCAGAGGCCTCCAGGATCTCCTTACCATCCATACTGGTGGCAGAACCCTGCCTGTCCAGGGGCTGGTCCTCAGTCATCCTCCAAGTTCCAGAGCTGGGACACATGTCCCTGGGCAGATCGGCTGTGGTGGCAGAACCTGGAACATGCAAGGTACCAGAAGGTGACAAGGAAGTTCTCCCTGCCCCAGGATCTCGGTCCAGCCCGGCCTCCAACTCACAGAGATCCGCCTGCCTCTGCCTCCCGAGTGCTGGGATTAAAGGCGTGCACCACCACCGCTTGGCCTGCCCCAGGATCTCTAGGGCCAAGGCTGTCACCTTATCTTCAGACACGAGGCCAGGAACAAGTAAGCCTTCCTGACGGAGGCCTGGGACTGAACCCATCAACACACAGGCTGTCTCTTTTTACCCGTCTGATCCCAATGTATCATCTGAGAAGACTGATGGAGGTACCCGAGAGAGAATGTAGAGACAGACCCTACCGCCTAGATTCTGTGATCCTTGGGCCCACCCCCCAACCATCCCACAATCCCGTTCCCCATCCCCGCCTACCCGGAGAGTTGAGCATGTGCTGGGCTGTGGTTGAACTTCACAGACAAGTTCCCAAGCCCGTGTTGGGGACATGGGACAAAAGCAGGTTAGGGACCCAAGAGGTTTGGAGATGTAGCCTCGACTATGAGCGACGCAGCCCTGGCTGGCCACCGTGGGCCCTCTTAGGCTTCAGCAAGACAAGGAAGGGCAAGATATAAGACTTCTAGGACTCCTTGGGGGTGTTTGCTCCCACTGAGGGGTCTACGGACTTAAGGGCCTCTTCACAGAGGCTTCTAGGAATTCCAGCCCTCTCCTCTGCCACCCCAACACTGTGTTTAACAGCCAAACAGGAAGGAGCAATCGTGGGTGTGAGGAGGCTGGCCTCTGGCATCTTCTCCTTTACAGTTGGCCATCCCCCACCCTCAGCGCAGGCCTCACAAAGACTCTGGGCTCCCACAGAAGACTTCAGAAGCATGAGCAGCAATTGTCACAGGTTTGAAGGGGCTCCAGGATGCAGCGGGTTGCTCCAGTCGCCCTTGGTGGCATGGGGAGGTGGTGGTCTTACCCAACTGAGACACAGATGTGGCCCTGCTGGTGAACTGGGGGCATCCGGGCCGCATGAGGAAGGCCTTTCTCATTTCTTCCATTTCAGACACAAAGCCATTAGGGTTAGTGAGTTTCTTGAGCTGGCTCTGGCAGGAGAAAAAAGATAATGAGACCAGGTTCTTCGGGATGGTTGCAGGGACCCTGTCTGTGCTGTCCCTCACAGCATCCCAGAAAGTCCCACGTTAACAGACAACCCTTAGCCGGGCGTTGGTGGTGCACACCTTCAATCCCAGCACTCGGGAGGCAGAGGCAGGCGGATCTCTGTGAGTTCGAGGCCAGCCTGGTCTACATGAGCGAGTTCCGGGATATTCTCCAAAGCCACAGAGAAACCCTGTCTCGAAACCCCCCCAAAAACAAAAACAAACAAAAAAAGAGACAACCCTTGGCTCAGATTTCAGCACCCAACTAGAAAGTCCTGCCACCACTATCCCTGGCATCCCTGGTGTATGGTGGGTGCAGGTGAACTTTCCATCCAGAATTCCCTCCCACGGGTCTTTCTCTCCCCTTCACCTTCCTCTCTGACACTCAGGACAGACAAGGGTCTCTTTGTTCAAGGTTCAGAGTTGACTCCTTCCTTTGGGCTTGGCTTTCCAGACCGAGCGGGATCCAGGGGGACGTCACCTATCTCCCATACAGCTACCTCCCTGGGAAAGCCTGGGGATCCTGGAGGTCATAGGTCATTCAGGAAGTTGGGCAAGGCCAGTCAGGGCTCTGCCCCACCCAGAAGCTGCAGTCCTCATCCCTCCTGGGCTTGGTGTGGCAGATTGCCCAGAAGCATGCACCAGGCTCTGCTGGTTGACAGCTCCCATGGTACTTTGGGAAAGGAGTGGCGTGGCTAGCTCCAGGGTGGCTGCTGCGCTGGGAAGGTAGAGGTACTCCACCCAACCCCCGTACCACTTTGTGGTAGTAGTGGCTGACGGCCTGGGCCGACTTGCTGGGTCTGCGTTGGTCTCCCGGCGGCTTCCTCTCTGGGCCATGGGAGGTCCTGCTGGAAACACTCTGAAGCAGCGCCAGGCCCTTGCTGATCTGGGGAGATGCCAATCTGAGTTCCTCGGGCAAGTTCTCCTTCTTCATTTGAGAAGACGGAGCCAAAGACAGACGGTCACCCTGAATGACCACTCGGGCCTATTGCTCCTGCGCACAGCGCCGGTTATTGGGGGTGGGGGTGGGGGTAAGTCAACCTTAGCTTGACCCTTTAGAGGCGCCCAAGCCAGAAAAGACAAGCTTCCAAATCTCCTGTCCTACAGACTCCTGGGAGCAGTGTGTGTCATCATAGATGTCTCCATAGAAACAGGGCATGGTCATAGTCTCCTCAATTTTCTGCAATTAGGTAAAAGAAGCTGGGAAGCAGACCCAAACACGGTTCCCACCAAATCTCGAGGTGTCACAGGAGTAAGAGATGTAGTCTGATCTCAAGGGTCAGAATTCTCCTCTCTCATTTTTGTTGGGTGCAGGAGCGGTAATTTTCTTTTATTTTGTGGGCACGTATTTCACTGTGCATATGGACAACATTTCACTCCAGGATATGGCATATTTCAACCACATTATGAGAAACAGCTACCCTCCTTCATAGCAAGAGCACTGAAGACTCGGAGTAGTGGAATCGACACGCCTTATTTTACCAACTTGTAAAGGCGAGCAATCAGCCTAGATGGACATGACCCCTCCTCCCTTTGCGAGTAACCGGGCGGGGCGGGGCGGGGCGGGGTCAATCGTACATGCCATCCACTCTTCTCCTCTTTTCAATGTCTGCTCATGTATTTGTTCCTCTTAAGGCTTATCTGTACCGGACTCAGGCCTAAAGCTCTCAGCAAGGACAGCCTACTTCTTCTCTGGCATTCTGTTTCTGACTGTTTTCTTTGTCTTCCTTCATTCTCTTAACCAAAAAGTTGAAAGTATTCTGCAGCCTCTTCCTTGTTTTCCCTAGTGTTGCTCCTTCAGACCCTACATCAGAGTTCATGCTGCAGGCAAGTGGAGTAACAAGAGGCTGAATCTTGAGTGCATCAGTACTGGGCTTCTCGGGTTCTTTGATCGAACCCTTTCTGACACCTTGGCAGACATCACCTTATTATTTAGAGAGACTGAAGAGCTTTCGGATTCTGCTAGCTCTTTTAGGTCCCAACTGATGAGGCACAGTATTATCTGCCCAGGAATTTCCTTCTCCTCCTCCTCCTCCTCCTCCTCCTCTCTCTCTCTCTCTCTCTCTCTCTCTCTCTCTCTCTCTCTCTCTCTCTCTCTCTCTCTCTCTCTCTCTCTCTCTCTCAACAATAACCAAGTTGAGAAGGCTCGGATTGACACCCACAAGGTATCCAGGAACAGACTTGCCCTTCCTCTCTCCAGCTCTCTTTGATCCGTAACAAGACAGCAGGTGCACTCTGATGCGGGTCGAAATGCCATGTGGGAAAACCTTGTTTGTCATTCTGATTCCAGGCACACAACCCTTCCCCTCTTCACCCGGAACACCCACGCCTACCTCTGCGGCCATGCGCACTTCCCACGGAACACTCGAAGCTTGGTCTCATCACCCACCGCAGTGAGTTTCTGACAGCTGGTGTCAGGGAAGGAGATATTCAGCAGACTGCCTAGGTGCCGCTAAAGAGACCCTACCTGCTGTGAGGACGGGTCACCCTCTGCCACTTACGTTTGTCCTTTCCTCAACCAAACCTGGGCAGCCTGATGAAGGTAACATGTAACCAGACTTGCAAGAAAGCCTGGTTGTGGAGCTGGAGAGATGGCTTGGTGGTTAAGAGCACGGGCTGCTCCTCCAGAGGTCCTGAGTTCAATTCCCAGCAACCACATGGTTGCTGATAACCATTTGTAATGGGATCTGATGCCCTCTTCCTGCATGTAGTCTCTCTATTTAGAAAGAGTACCATATACATAAAATAAATAAACTTAAAAAAAAGAAAGCTTGGTTGTGAGTATTTTTCTACTGTAAACTTCTAGTCTGGCAGACGTAGCCAAGCAGTTTGGGGGGGTGGAGCCAGTAGTTAAACCAGCAGGAATTAGCAGGAGGCTGGGATTTTTGACTATTTGTAGCTGGACCGAACATGACTTAAGGAACCTTTGAAAATGAACTGTTAGATTATTTGCTTTAATTTTTTAAAAAACGCGTATGAGCGTTTTGCCTACGTAGATGCTTGTGCATACACATCATGCCTGATACCCATGGAGGTCAGGAGAGAGTGTCAGATCCCCTGGAGCTGGAGTTACAAATAGTTAGGAGCTTCCATGTGGGTGCTGGGATCCTCTGCAAGAGCAGTCGGTACGCTGAACCTCTGAGCCATTTCTCCAGTCCCCCAGATTTTATTTCTAACGGTTTTCAGCCTCATGCCCTCACTTTCCTCCCCCTCCCCTCTGGCAAGCCCTCTCTCTCCTTTACACAGACAGCCTCTCTCTTCATGTGTACTTATATAAATGTAATTTTATGGATCCAAACATGATGAGGAACATGCGCTCTTTGGCTTTCTGAGGGCAGTGGCCAATCTGGACTGTTTGGATTGACTAGAAGCAGAATCAACTAAACTTTGAACAGCAAGGCATGCCTGTTAGCGGTTTTCTGTCTTGGCTACTTTGAGGTGGGAGACCCATCTTAAGCCTGGGCCACACCTTATGATGGCAACCCACATGAAAGGACATGGGAGAAGGAAATTTTTCCCTTTGCCTGGTTGCCCTCACTCTCACTGGCAAGTCTACGCATCCTTCGGCTAAGGCGCCCCTTTGCTGGTGTTGGAACTCACTTCCTCAGTGGGGGTTTCCAACACTGGCTGAGACCAACGGCTCTCTCAGACTCTTCTAGGACTCCAGCACCAGACTGGGCCTGCTGAGACATCATCCAGCCTCATGGACTGAACGGCTTCTGGATCCTTGGCGTTTCTGTTGGACGACAGCCATTGTTGAACTATCTGGACTACAGCCTGTAAGCCATTCTTGTATGTGTACATGCTTATGTGTGTGTGTATGTGTGTATGTGTGAATACTTTTTAAGCAATTTCCTCACTTTTTTTTCACCCTGTTTGAAATATGATACTACTTTAGCGATTGTAATTAAAATGTTATTATCTTGGTACAAATCCACAGTTTAAAGGCATTTTTTTTTTTTTTTTTTTGGTTTTTCGAGACAGGGTTTCTCTGTGGCTTTGGAGGCTGTCCTGGAACTAGCTCTTGTAGACCAGGCTGGCCTCGAACTCACAGAGATCCGCCTGCCTCTGCCTCCCCAGTGCTGGGATTAAAGGCGTGCGCCACCAACGCCCGGCCTAAAGGCATTTCTTAATATTGCCTATACAACTCTTTAAAAAAATAGGGCTTGAGGGGGCGGGGCAACCTCTTTCAGAGAAGGGCTCATTCTTATTGTCAGTCGTTGCTGTGCTAAATGTGCACATAAGGTAAAACGGCTCTTCAGAGCCATCTTGGCTATGGATTCAGCTTCGGCACAGCTGTGTCCCCACTGACCTTCCCTACACCTTGGGTGTAATGTGCATTCTTCCCTCCAGCCTGGTTCCTGAGCTGCATCAGTCCCAAATGAACACGCAGGATACTATATTAATTATAAAGCTGTTGGTCATTTGCTATGGTTTCTTAATGGCTAGCTCTGACTTAATTATTAACTCATAATTACTAATATATATTTTTATAAGGTCTTATACCAGACTTTCGCCCTTTCCTCCCTGGATCACATGGCGACTCTTTACTCTTGACTACACTTCCCAGAATCCTCCTCAACTCCTAGTCCCCCTGTCTTGCTTCCCTATTGGCCAACAGTGCTTTATTTATCAACCAATAGGACAACATATATACAGAAGGACTTCCGCCATCACACAGGTATGCAGGTAAACCTCACTGTGGTTTGGGTCTGTGGTTCCAACAGTGAGTCGTTAGACATATGTATGTATACACTGGCCATTCCTACTGTTGGGAGCACCTTAGGTAGATCTTTTGGAGCCAAACCTGTACTTTCTAAAGTCTAAAGATTTATGTAATTGGCCTATAGCCCTAACAAGGGAGCCTTCTGGGGGTACTCAGAAGGGAAACCACAAAGGTAGAACATAGAAACACCATGGCCCAGAAAGCTTGTCCAAACTCAGCCAACCCTAACCATCACCTAGGCAATGGCTGTTAGCCCACCCATTCCTCTCTCTCCTGAACTTTTTACCTTGCAAATATCCTGCTCTATGTGCTTAAACAATACCCTGCTATGTGCACACCTGGTATGCAAAGCAACCCTCTCACCCCCTCAAGCCCCTCCTGCGGGTCCGGATATCCTACAACTTATAAAAAGTGCCATTTATGTTACTTGCTGATTTTTTTTTTAACTGGTGGGATTTGGTTTCAGGAAGTATTTTATATTCTACATGCTAATCCCTTAACAAAGAAGATGCATTCTGCATACTTATCTGAAGGTGGGGTTTAAATGACTCCACAGGACATCAACCTGGAGCAAGAGACCTAAGGACCAGGGATGGGGACAAGAGACAGGAAAGAAGGGACACAAGACAATCAAGTGGCAATTTTGTTTTTCTTGGGGCAGTTAATATACTTGGTAGAGCAGGAGACTAGGAGGGGCCTAGGTCCTCCCCTGTGTTTTTAGGCTGAGAGAGTATCCCTCTATGCGGAATGGGCACCCGAAGTCAATTCACATACTAGGGATAAATACTTATCAACTACCAAAGGCCCCATAGAGTGCCCAGGCCTCCTACCTGACACTCACGTTCAGGGGTTTGGATCAGTCCTATGCTGGTTTCCCAGCTGTCAGTCTGGGGTCCTTGAGCTCCCCCTTGTTCAGGTCAGCTGTTTCTGTGAATTTCTCCAGCCTGGTCTTGACCCCTTTGCTCATCACTCCTCCCTCTCTGCAACTGGATTTCAGGAGTTCGGCTCCATGTTAGCTGTGGGTGTCTGCCTCTGCTTCCATTAACTACTGGATGAAGGCTCTAGGAGGGCATATAAGGTAGTCATCAATCTCATTATCAGGGAAGGGCATTTAAGGTAGCCTCTCCACTATTGCTAGATTGTTAGTTGGGGTCATCCTTGTAAATCTCTGGACATCTCCCTAGTGCCAGATTTCTCTTTAAACCTATACTGGCTCCCTCTATTATGGTATCTCTTTTCTTGTTCTCCTCTGTTCTTTCCCTGACTCAATCTTCCTACTCCATTATATCCTCCTCTCCTCTCTTCTTCTCCCCTTCTCTTTCTCCTAGCTCCCTCTCCCCTCCCCCATGCTCCCAATTAGCTCAGGAGATCTTGTCCCTTTCACCTTCTCCGGGGACCATGTATGTCTCTCTTAGGGTCTTCCTTGTTTCCTAGATTCTCTGGGGGTGTGGACTGTAGGATGATAATTCTTTGCTCTATGTCTAAAATCCATATATGAGAGAGAGTGCTCACCATGTTTGTCTTTTTGTGATTAGGTTGCCTCACTCGGATGGTTTCTTCTTTTCTTCTAGTTCCATCCATTTGCCTGCAAATTTCAAGAGTGCATTGTTCCACCCCCCCCCATGAGCAGTACTCCATTGTGTAAATGTACCACATTTTTCTCTACCCATTCTTCAGTTGAGAGGCATCTAGGTTGCTTCTAGGTTCTGGCTATTACAAATAATGCTGCTGTAAACATAGTTGAACATATGTACTTGTATGAATGTGCATTTTTTAGGTATATGCCTAAGAGTGAAACTGCTGGATCTTGTGGTAGACTGATTCTCATTTTCCTGAGGAACCACCATACTGATTTCCAAAGTGGTTGTACGAGTTTGCACTCCCACCAGCAGTGGAGGAGTGTTCCCCTTTCTCCACATCTTCTCTGGAGGACTTCTGAAGTTCAATAGGTTTAGGGTAAGTTCTTCCCTGCCCTTCATTTCCCCAATATTTAAAGCAACACCTAAGATGAGTGTGATGGCACATGCCTGTTATTCCAGCAGCCAGCAAGTTGAGGACCACAAGCTTGAGGCCAGCCTGGGCTACATAAGGGAATCCTATTAAAAAAAACAAGCAAACAAACAAAAAAAGCAATACCCAGAATTGTAGGTCACAGGTACCGTGAGAATGAGACCCTCTTGCTGCAGAGAATGAGAACAAAGAGAAGCCTGGGTTCTGGACTTCTGGGTCTCTGTGCATCTCAGAGGCTGAAGCAGGAGAGCCTTGAGTTCAGCCGGGCCTGACAAGGTCACATGGCAAGACAAGGCTTACACAAAAAATGAGCTGTCTCAACATGCTTCGTAGAGCCAGGACAAAACTCCTGGCCCATCGATGTTTTTGGGAGAGGGGCTTTGTGTTGGCTGAAGGAAATTGGTAGTTTCTTCCCTTCTATCCTAGTTGGCTCTAACTGTCCATTTGATGCCACCTGGAGTCATCTGAAAGGAAAGCCTCAGTTAAGATTGGCCTGTAGGGAGCGGGTTGTTGTCTTGATGTAGGAGGGCCCAGCCGACTGTGGGCAGCATCGCCCTTAGACAGGAGCTTCTATGTGTGTACGAAAGTTGTAGGTATGAGCCTGTGAGGCAGCAAGCAACGCTCCTCCATGGTTTCTGCTTCAGGCTCCTGCTTGAGTTCCTCTCTAACTTCCCTTACTGATAGATATGACCTGCAAACTAAGATGAATCCTTCCCCTCCCAGGTAGCGGTGTCTAACACAGCAACGGAAATAAAAGTAGAATACCTTCCAAGGCAATGTCAAGGACCCACAAATGCTCTCAAAAAATGTTGTAGCCAAATACAAAAACTACAAAATAAATCTCTTTTGTATTTGATCTCTGGACAGATTTTAGTAAGAAGTGGAGCTAATTGCTATTTACAGTGGCTGAGATATGGAACCAACCTGGACTCCCGACAACAGAGGAATGGAGAAGAATTAATGTGATACACATTCGCAGTAAAGGGGGGTTTTTCTTTTTTTTTTTTCCAGCCATAAGGAATGATTGTGGGCTCTTCGGGGAAAATGGATAAATGTGGAGATAGATAATCATAAGTTAGCAAGTGAAGCCAGTCCCAGAAAGACAAACAACTGTGTTTTTCTTTCATCTACATAGAAACATGGAATCATGTATGTCTTTACGAAGTGGAAGTAGATATGAAACTGTCTCGGGGACAAAGGGGAATGATGCAGGGCGGGGGCAGGGAGCAGGGCGGGGGGTGAACGGGGAGAAACATAGGGAGGTGGTCCAAGGCCCATGCTCGACACAGCGTGGGTGCTTGTGAGAAATTATTTCAAAGGAAAGGAAGATAAACCGGAGCATTCTGTCACTTCAGATGGAGAGCGGCCAGCCTTGCCTTGCACGCTTCTCTCCGGACGCTCCCTCTGTGTCTTCTAAGTGCTTCTGCGGCCAGCGTGTGCTGCGGTAGCAATCTCGGGGGGAAAACCCCTGCCCATTTGAAAGGCACATATTGGGGACCGAAGAGATGGCTCAGGCATGGGCATGGCCTAATCGTCCAGAAGGCTTACACCCTTTTCTGGCCTCCACACAGATAAATAAATTATAAAATTATTTGTTTGTTTTGTTTTTTTAGAAAGGGTCTTGATGAGGGGATGTCTTTCTGTATGCTGTGCATGTATGTTTCTCTTACTGTTGATGAATAAAGATGTTTTGGGGCAACGGACAGGCAGGATATAAGCCACGCAGGAAGTATGGGTGGGGCTGCCGGACTAGGAGAATGCTGGGAGTTGGAACTCAGAGAGAGGGGGAGGGAGAAGGGGAGGGGAAGGGGGAGGGAGAAGGAGGAGGGGGAGACAGAGAGGGGAAGAGAGGGGAGGAGAGAGAGAGAGAGAGAGAGAGAGAGAGAGAGAGAGAGAGAGAGAGAGAGAGAGAGAGAGAGAGAGAGAGAGAGAGGGAGGGAGAGAGGGAGAGATGCCACGTAACTGCCAAGACAGCAAGAGGCTTGGGCATCGCTGGTAAGCCTAGGCCACGTGGAGATACACAGATTAATAGATATGGGTTAATAATTAAGAGAGAGCTAGCCAATAGGGAAAGCCTGAGCCATCAGCCAAACAGTTTATACTTTACATAAGCCTCTGTGTGTTTATTTGGGACTAAAGAGCTGCAGGACTGGGAGGGACAGAAACTTTCTGTCTACAGGGTCTCACAGTGTAGTTCTGGCTGCCCTGGGACTTACTATGTAGACCAGGCTGGGCTCCAACTTACCTGCCTCTGTCTCCCAAGTGCTAGGACTAAAGGCATCTTATTGCCACCATGCCTGGCAATAAAATAAATGCTGTTAAAGTCACATATCAGGGCTGAAGAGATGGCCCAGTGGTTAAGAGCAGAGGACTGGGTTTGGTTCCCAGCACCCACATTGTGGCTCACAACCATGCTTATGAGAGTCGCTGTCCTCTTCTGACCTCCTCAGGCACCAGGTGTGCATCTCTGGTGAGCATACGCACATGCAGGCAAAACACTCATTCACACGAAATAAGGTAAAGAAAAAATTTAAGACATCCTATTAAAAGCTCACATATTGTACTTTCTCTGGTTTTTCTTCACTCTGGTCTTTTAGGTTCAGCCTAACCATCAACTTGTGGTCACTAACACACTCAAGTGGACTTCCTGTTCAGCTAGAGAAATGCAGGGTGACAGGTGACACAGAGACTCGATCAATTGCCATTAAATAGAAATCTTTGTCTTGGGACAGACATCTGAATTCGGTAAATGGATCAGAGCTCGAGCCTTGTTACTTCAAGGAGCAGTTAATAGATTTTCTCTAAATCTGGAGGCTCTGTGTGGAACTGGCTTAAATTGCAGACAGATGGCACTGGGTGGGAGTATCCTCTAATAAAGTAGGAGTCCCTGGTGGCTGGCGCTGCGTGTTGTCTTGGGTCTGCACTGCTGCTTGACAAGTTCTCCCTAGGCCCTTGTGAGATGAGGACAGCTGCTACAGGTGTGTGAGCCTTACAGGCACACCCGCTCCCAGACCCGGGGACCCAGGTGAGCTCAGCAACGTGCCTTATACAGGTGTTCTCATCACAGAACGGCAGCCTGGGTGTTTCAGGAATTTCATGAGTGAAACTCGGAACTTCAGGCCCCTAAAATGTCTGTTTTTTGCCAGGAAGCTAGTTTTTCAAAGATATAAATCGGCAAGAAAATCGGTCTATGAGCCGAGGTGATCCCCTGGGAGGAGAAGCTTCACCAGCAGAGAGACGATGGGTCCAGAGAAGGGCTCTAAGGTTGTCACACCAAATCCAGTAGATTCTGTGTGGCAAGTTCCACAGACCGAGGCGATAACTTCAAAAGAAGGAGGTCTCTTGAAACTGGCTGTGGAACTCCCAGGATGAGAAAAATATTGGGCTGTGATTCTCGTGGCAATCTCTGTTTGTTCTTCTATTCCCTTTTCGTATTAACGAATCGATCCTGAAAGCCTGCGCTGAAATGTCAAGCGAGAGGTGTGGGTAAGCAACCTGCCCCAGAGATGAGCCATGACCTCGTCTCTGGAAAAAACCAACGCTTTCCAGATCATTCACATAAGTACAAATAGCAAAAGCTCTCCCAACAATAAAATTTCATATGGTTGTACATGTGTCATTGAGAGTGGGCTTAAGTGTCTGGTAAAGAAAGCTTTTGATAAGAAAAAAGCTCAACATTTCAAAAACTCACAAGAACTAGGTAATAGATGTTAAACAATAACCAACCATAAAAATTGTTAATTTGATTTGAGAAATATGTAGTTAGACTCAGCCGATTCTGTGTTTTGATTATTAACCAAGGACAATTCTGTGTTTTGATTAACCCTGGATGATTTTTATGTTTCGGATTTCTACGTTACTGTGCCAAGTCACAATAATGTCATATGTTTGGGTTTGCTTAACTAAAACATCCCCTGAGAAAGTCTCTCTCTCTCTCTCTCTCTCTCTCTCTATATATATATATATATATATATATATATATATATATATATATATATATATACCTTGCTTGCCAGGCCAGGCAGTGGTAGCTCACGCCTTTAATCCCAGCACTCGGGAGGCAGAGGCAGGCGGATCTCTGTAATTTCGAGACCAGCCTGGTCTACGAGAGCTAGTTCCAGGACAGGCTCCAAAGCTACAGAGAAACCCTGTCTCAGGAAAACAAACAAACAAACAAAAAGCCTTGCTTGAGAACTGCAAAATACACTCAGACTCAAACTGCCTCTGTGTTTCTGTTTGTCACTGCCAAATCCTTACCCACCTAGTCTTCAAGGACCCTCATCCCAGGGCCCCCCCATACCTGGCTGGGGTGGTCCGTAACAGCTGGCACCCTCAACGTGGGGCTCAAAGTAAGTAAGCTTTCTCCCCACTTTCTCTCTTTTTTCCTTAAAAAATACTTTTTCGGGTAAGGTTAGGACCTCACCAGAGTGCTGCAGACTCCTCGATAGAGAAGACATTGAGTTAAGACAGCGAAAAGGTAAGAATCACGGGGTATTCACAGTCCAAAAACAGAGGCTTGTTCCTGGCAGTATTGAGCCATGTATTTGAGGTGTTAAAACCTCAAAGAAGAGTTTGACAGCAATTTTAAGAAGCATTTAGGCAGGATGCTTCCTCCCTCTGAGGGCTCGGACATGTTATTATTAAAAACAACTTGCGTGGGAAAATGCCAACACTCTCTGCCAGGAACTAATCAGACCAATCAGAAAGACAGGGACTGTGCAAGATTACATCAAAGCATGTATAGATGCCTCACCAGCAGTGGTCCAGGGCGTGGCCTATGTTGCAGCTACACAAGGAACAACATGGGCAG